AAGAAGTGATTGTAGTCCGAGTGTCAAACTGCAATTTGGAGGTGGACTGTGCATACAGGTCCACACAAAATTTTTGCATTTCCTTGTCATTTGGACCTTGTAAATCAATATTCAGCCAGTTTCCAGCTGGACACTTTGAAGCATGTTTTTTTTTTTGGCAAAATTAATGGCAAAATAGACATAACTTGGGAATAAAGTATGCAAAACTAGAGTATGCAAATTAAGTAAAATTTTCAGATAAAAGTCAATCACAAAATGTCCTTATATTTTGTGTGTAAAATGGCGCAAGCTAAACAGTTTTCAAGTGTATTTCAAATTGGGAACTTTCTTTTGTTTCAATACGAAATTGCATAATGCAACATGAAATTATCACCATCGATCTCCATTATAAAGACTTAATGGAGATTCAAGTTGATAACTGTTCAAAATGATCCAGTGTACTAGCATCCCCTATTTGACAGCTTTAGTTCAGGAAATTTCCCTTTAACAGGAAAGCTTCCCTTAACAGGATCACCACCGAGAAGGTAGCTGTCATGATCCCATGTTAGTGAACGCAGAAGGGGGAGGGAGAGCAGAAATTAGATGGTGCGTGCTAGAGATGGAAGGGGTGGGAAAGAGAGGAAGCAGGGAAGAGGAAAGGTAGATATGAAACGGTGCGTGCGAGTGACAGAAGAAAAGAGGAGGGGTGGAGAGGAAGGAAAGAGGATGGAGGAAAGGCAGATGTGGAACAGTGCGTGCGTGCGTGCGTGCAGTGAGTGACGATAGACACGGGATGAGGGCAGGGATGGAGGGTAGGGAAGGTAGGGGGGGGGGGGTATGGGTAGAGGCGGGAGGAAGGGCGGAGGTATGGGGAGGGAATGGACGGTGATGAGCCAGTCAGGAATCACCAGGGGGAGTAAGGGAAAGTCTTGTCTCAACTATGGCTGCAGTGCAATGACTAGCTCCAGCGTTTCATAGGTGAGATGCAACTCAGCAAATTGAAGGTCCATATACTCAAGCAAATGGTTACTACTAAAAAGTCACTGTAAGCATACCAATAGTCAGTTGGCTTGTGGTACCAAATCAAGAGTACACAATTGAATACCCATTTTCCCCTACCTTTTTGTGGGTGGGGTTGTCTATTGGAAATGGCAAAGTAAATACAAAAAACCTGAGTCATTTATCAAGACTTCTCGCAGTGAGGTAAATGAAACATTTGAGCAAACTCCCTCTTTTGTGGGCGGGACACTAGTCGTAATTAGGGGGTTGGGGAAATTACAAATTACAGAATAATACACTATTAATCCCAACCCGTGTCATTTTCCCCCCTGTTTTTGACCCTAGCAGTAAGCAGTAAATAAAGAACCCTTTTCAAGTGCATTTTTTATTTTTAAAAAATGGTACAATTTTGAATTTAAAAAAAGTTTAGATATAAAACAAGAATTTTGTCCTTGAAATCCATTTTGTAACAAATAACATGTATTTGAGGGAAAAGTGTTTAAGAAAATTTTTTTTTTCTCAAATAACTCAATTTCTAATAGCTTTTACAAATTTTAACTTACTGTGTACTTCAAAGTTGAAAACCGTGTATTTTCTTCTTCATATTTTCTTGCATTTTAATTTGGGAAAGGCATTTTATCAATGGAAAAGTTTAGTTTGTAAAAGCTGTTGCAACGATGCGTTGGGGCATTTGTTCCGAGGGCAAATGTGAGCACGAAAGTCTTACAGTGACGTTGTGGGTGTGGGGTGACAGTTCACACAAATGGAATTTCTTGTTTGTTTATGTTTATGTATATCAAATCACACAGTAATCAATCAGAAAGGGAAACTATTAATTTCTCGGTCTTTCAAAAATGACTGCCATGACCATTGCTGAGATATTATTTTCATTTTTCTTTCCTCTTCAAATTACAATACATGTTTTATCCGTGACACTGTCAGGTAAAAGTATCAAAGTTCTTTCAATCAGAATGTTGAGGACAAAACTCCAATTCACAAGAATCAAGTGAGAGAATTCTGGTCATTTACAAAGGAGGTTCTTAATGGTGCACATTGTGATGAGTTTTGATGGAGCAGGTTGTATTCTTGGTTTGACTCACCCTTAAGGTCATTCCAGTCACCATGGTGATGGTCATCCAGCCTGTCCTGCCTAGTCTAGGCACTGGTCTGGTCCAATCCAGCCTCAACATGATTTGCAAAAGGTCAGTCTCATCTGAGGACAATAAAACATATTAAAAATAACAATTTCCGTACAAGGTCGGGAGAACCTTTGAAAATAATTCTTAAAATGTCCTCTGAAATGCCTGAGCGGGTAATCTGGTAAGCCTTGGTCTTAAAAAATCAAACTAACCTTAGGGACAATTTTGAGTTTTTTTTCTGACCAAAAAAAGGCACAGGTTAAATTTTTAGAAAGAATGTTGCAACTTGACGCTTCTTCAGTGGTTGTGTACAAAGTCTATGGAGAGTCTAGTATTTACTAACTGTCACGTCTAGACCAGAAAAAGTCTAGAAATTTAGTTTGGGCTTGCTGACCTACCCAAGTAAAGGAAGCAAAATAATTTATCACAGACACAAGATTTAAATATGAAGGAAATCAAGAAAATAATTTAATATATGAAAGACAATAATCAACCAATGAACAGGGATTTGGAAATGTTTCTGGGAAGATTCCTGTATCTGGCCATCACTCGTCACCCTGTGCACAAACCCTATGGGACTGGTCAAACCATTTTCACCTCACCTTGTGATTTCAACCAAGAGGAATCCAGGAAACAGCGGACATGCGAAAAGAATTAGTAAAAATGTGTTTTTAGAGCACATTTTGGATGCACATGTAGTGCAGATCTGAGTTGAAGCAGCTAGCCGGTCAAAACTGATTGAAGTGTCTGGAACAGCGGTACGTTATACGCTAGCCCCATAAATGTGGCCAATTTACTGGACTGCCTCCGTAAACATAGGCCACACATCCACATGTACAAAAACGTGTCGACTTTGCCAAATTTTGATTTTCACATTTAGGCTTACTTTGTAGGTTTTTTTTGCTTTAGAAGCATTCTCACCCTCTATATAGGCTAATCAGAAAGTGCTGCCTTTTTCAGATGTCCATTTTTCGTGAAATTTCCAGATTTTTTTTGCACACGTTTGCGTATCAAAATTTCAACATGAAATTTCACAAAAATTAGACATCTGAAAAAGGCAGCACTTTCTGATTAGCCTTTATAGAGGGTGAGAATGCTTCTAACGCAAAAAAAAACCTACAAAGTAAGCCTAAATGTGAAAATCAAAATTTGGCAAAGTCGACACGTTTTTGTACATGTGGATGTGTGGCCTATGTTTACGGAGGCAGTCCAGTAAATAGGCCACATTTATGGGGCTAGTTATACGCATGACATCGATAACCATGACGTCGCATGAGCCGGCCAATGAATATATATTTTCTCATGAATATTTAGTTTATTTCAATGGATACTTCAAATACGTCCAAGATTGATCATTGCAACAGCAATTGTGCGCGGCCTAGCGGTTAAGAGTCTCGTGTATCAAGCAAGCGTCCGAGGTTCGAATCTCAATGAAGTAAGTGACTGATTGATAAATAGAAATTAAGGAATGGAGAGGGTGAGAGTAGAGGAGGGAAAGTGGAGGGAATAACCAAAAAAGATGTAACTTTTGGCGCTAGAAATTTAATTGAAAAAAGAGCGATCGAGTATGGTATTTTTTCCGGATAGTCCATTCTTTTCATGAACTTTAAAGTCATAAAATTAAAAAAAAAATTGTGCATAACGTTTTTGGGAAACTATTTTGTGGAAACAGTGAGAACAAATAATATTTAAAAGCTCCACCAGATTTAACTTTAGAAGATGTAATTGTAGGCCTTACATTGTTGATATACGTGTTATTAGGGTGTTTGTTGAGGGGGGGGGATGGCCGTCCACCTTACTCAAGACCCCGCCCACAAAACTACCAAAGTCATAATGCACACAACTGTGCAATTTTTAGGCCTTTATTTTTTTGACAAATTGATTTCAAAATGGTTCGTGTCTGCACTCACTTTATAGTTGGTTGACCTTTATTTCGCACATCCATCTCATTGACGACCAATAACGGTTATTTTAGGCATAAAATGTGTCTCTAAAATGTGAGCGCCAAACGTCGCATCTTCCGGCATCGTCGAAATTCAAACATGTCCGCCACTCCGCCTTCTGATTTCGCTGGTACCAGATTTTTAGCACGTAGATGCTATTAGGTTTACGTGCACCAGCGAAACACGTGCGGTTGCGAAATTCAAAAGAATTCGGCGCGTGCGCATCTTTTCTTGTAGACTTGTTTAAAGCCTTTGGGAATATTAATGTACTTTGCAGGCAACACCTCGCATACAGGAATAAAAGTGATAGACATAGTATATAGACTTGAGGTAAGGTTAAAAAAGCACACAATTATGCACATTTATTTTATTAAATTGTGGGGGCACTATTGTAATGTTAATTAGCAAGGTGTACAATAGAGTGAGAACTTGCACAAAATGCAATATCTTTTTTAAAAATTATTTAAGTAAACATAGCTTTTTTTCATTGCAAAGAACCCATTATGACCCCCAGCCTACCTTCCAATCGGACCTTTGTTATAAACCGTGGCTGCATATATACCATAGACATTAAGATTTTTGTAATTATTTTTTTGCTACCAAAAATTAAAAATAAAGGAACAAAATATAAATACCAAATGAAGGAAAAGACGATGGGCAACTGTGTGTTTTGAGGATTTCCACAAAGGAAAGTTTTTATTCCCACAAAAGGCAAATTCTGTGCCGTCACACTAGATGCCTATAGCTCCCAACCCTAAAAATCTCTTTTTGATATTCTCATTGCAGCAGAATCATGGTAGAAATTATTATTTTTGGAGGGTTAGTATTACACTTTATAATTAAAACATTTCTATGAAAGAACTGAGTCATGACTTGGCACTCAAACCTAAATAAACACTACTATCTAAGTGACACCAAGCAAAAAGAACAAGAGAAATCATGATATTTTTACTAACATTTATTCTTCGGCACTGTTAGCACATATATCACCTATTTGGGTTATAATTTACATGTATAAACAGATTAATTGTACACGTTTTGCATCTACTTCAAATTAATCTAAAGACACATCACAATGATTTGGAATTCTGATAACTTCATTATATCATTAGGAACTTTATATTATTCCTGGGTACTTTTAACAAAATTACAGAAAACTTGATTAATACCCTACATACATGTATTTCAATTAGGATTCTCTGTACTACATGTTAGCTTTTGGAGTAACAGTAATTACTGCTTGCTGTCAGGAAAACGTTTAAAAGAATTCAAAATCAGCTGCGAAATAGCTAAACGAGATTTTAAACGTAACAATCCTGGTGATGTGAATTCTCATGTGTATCATGAGTTCGAAATAAGTATCATCTCCATAGAAAAGAAAGGGAATGTATTTTTGGGCACTTTAAAACTAAAAGTCACAATGTACAAAATAAGAAAGGCCAAATTGCACTTCAAACAAAAACAGCATGGACATCATGTACATTAAATTATGTGCTGGAACTTAAAAACGTCTTTTTACCGACATAAAAGCCTTAATACTTGATGGAGCAGGAAGTGAACTTCACTTTTTCCTCTTTTGGGTGGGAAGTTTGTTTTTAAGTCTCAAATCTGTATAAATAAAATATATAACATAATTTCCAAGATGTTTTTTTCCTGTTTGCATAAATTAACATATCACACTATTGTTCGAATAATTAATCCTAATACTTGAAATTCAAAGAATCCAAAATTCAAATAATCTTGCAAAATGACACTTTATCCAATAAAGAATTCAAATCAACTGATCAAATGTTAAAACAAATTCTCATATAAAAAAAGTGGGAAAATACCTTTTGGTTCAATGAAAACAAAAACTTACTCTTACTCTACTGTTACTCTGTATAATTCTTATGTCTGATGAATTTAAAATGAAAACCCCCAAAACATTTTGTTCATGAGTGTGGACGCCATTCAAAATTGTCAAATTTAATGGCAGAAAGTTCAGCCTAATTACTTGGGCAAGATTGAGATTTGCATAAAATTAGAGAGTGGGCAATGAAAGTTAAAGATTTTTTAATAACATCTTTTATAATTATAGATCTTGGTTCAAAATGTCTTTTCAAGAATCGTTCTAAACAAAAATTATTTGAAGAATTTTAGATCTGTGGCACCTAATAATTAACACTACAAAGCTGTGCTTCATTTGAAACTAATACATATTTGTTTCAAGTTTTAAATCTACCTTTATAAATAATTCACAACATTTCAACTACCTATGATTGCGTGCAGCTCTGAATAACAAACAATTAGTGTCTACTTTTATATTTCATTCAAATTTGTACACATCATACATGTACTTCAATTCTTGTAATATTTCAAATCAAAAACATATACACATTTTACAACACAACCATTTGGCATTTTCGGCAAAAATGATAATCAATCTGTGGTAAATGCAGTGTTTCTAAAACTTATTCATTTTGAGAGGATAGACAAAAAGTAGCAGTTCATATTTTTACCAGAAGAAATTTCTACAATGAGGCAGGAGCATTCTGTATTTTTTCCCATAACAATTCCATTGTGAAGTATGAAATTTTCATGATGATTGCATATGTTTTGTCTGTGGCATTTCCATCACAAACACTTTTTTTGGGGGGGGGGGGTATGTCTTATTCCCAAGTTTAAAAAGTCTCTGACCTCGTTTGGTTTCATTAGTGTTGGATTTGAAGTATCAAACAGTCTAATTTCACTTTCATTTTTGTCTTCGCCCTACATCAAAATGAGATTTCCCTAAGCAATGCCAATATTGATTTGGAAAGTAATTGTCTCTGAAGTCTTTTATCGAATGTATAAATATTGACCACCTTTAAAAACCACTTGCGGAAAGCAACTTGTAGCACACCGAAAAGACCTCTACAACTAATACGACTCACTGGAAACATTTGTCCATTTCTAAGAAGTTGTGATATGCTTGACTTTTTGACAAATCCACAGTTTGTGTGGGAGATCACCAGAAGCCATCTTGAATTTCGTTCCAATTCAGGCCATGCCCAAAACGAGCCTCCACAGCTATTGAAAGCTTAATTTTTCCCACCTAGCTGTTACTGGACACGGCCTTAGCCTTGAAAAGAAGTGATGAGCCTCAATCAGATTAAATGGCCGAAAACCTTTGATCATAAATATTTAAAAGACTACTTTGTAATTTCTGAGTAATCCTGAACAGTTCAAACAGTTTATACAACTTGAGCACACACTAAACTTTTAGATATTAACAATTTTCTAGTGGATGATTTAGGTTTGTGTTTTACAGCAGTGAGCAAGGACTGGAGAAGTTTCGCAATAACATTTGACTACAGCTGGTTGAATCTCATGCACAGGCAAATGGTGCATTCGCAATCATACATGTACACTAGTTATATTTAACAGCTGTTGATTGAACTTGATCTGAGACACCTTCAGCATTTACTTAACCACAACTTCTTTCAAGATGACCTCTGGTGGGGAAAAAAGCCCCTGCATGATATATAAATATACAGTTTTTATTTAGAACACTTTTCAGGAAGGTACCGGTGGTGGGAATGCTTTGAAAACATTTGCCCTATTAATCAGTAAGTCGTGATCGCCATGGATGTCTCACGCAATCATCGGTTTTCAGGGATAACAATAGCGCCCTCTGGACGTTTTGTTGTGTCAAAAACCCTGATGACCTCCGCCTGTGATTTAAAAGTAAAACATTTTTAAAACACTGAATTTTGTAGATGAAGTGTAAATATGCCAATTACTCAAGAAACCGAACAAACTGAAGCTGCCTGATGCAGTTTGTTGGCAATCTGTGTTTACTTTTTGCACAAATTTGTTAAAATATGAAAATAGAGTCCATTCTTTTTGGTTTGTTGTGAAACAATCTCTTTATTGCCTCTGAAATCGTTTACGGAACTCCACAACTCCAAACATATTTTTACATGCTTACTACCACAAACCATATAATATTTCAAAAATACAAACTTGAAAGTCTTGCTAACAGTTTTGGACTGAGCAAACAGTTTGTTCTGGCAGTATTTAAACTTGTAGTTGTATCTTTTAGGATATAACTGTGGGGAAACTACTAGGACCAAACAAAAATTGCATCTCACCTGTGCAATGGCTCCATGCTCCTCTTGCGAAAAGGCGTATCCATCTGTAATATCAAGCCAAATGGTTTGAAAATTAAAATCTTTGGCCTACTGTTCAGGAAAGGGATGATTTTGATACTATTGGACAATTTTATCAAATTTCACTAAAATGATCAATATTTTTGCATATGTCGTCTGTGTTTTATCCATTAGTCTATGAACCACTCCAAACTGTTCTGGATAACACATTAGCACTCAAACAAATACAAAGATTCAATCATAAATGATTATTACTCCTGGAAACAGTATTGCAAAAATATGTGGAAAACAGACCTTACACAGATTACATCGTTACATCAAACAACATTTGGTTGCATCCATATTTCCAGCACTTTTTGGCCTTTTCCAATTGCATAATCTACAACAGCCTTTCATGTGGTTTAAGGTAGATGAGTATATTGCTTGAAATGTGTTAAAAACTAATAGGTACTTTGTAGATTAACAAACGATTCTGCTCCCTTTTATTGAAGGGGGGGGGGGGAATTGTAATAAATCTCAGATGCCTGATGACTTACGCTGTGACAGATCATACTGCTCAGTGACTCGCCGCGAACTGCTCGGTGTTCTCTTGAACAGCTTGTTCAACAGTCGTGATGTCTCATTGAAACTGTAATAAAAAAGAATAATAAACAATAATTTACAATACTGCCCCCTATTCTCGATGCAAACCTATATTTTTTGTAAGGCAGGAGGATAGTGGTGATTGCATGCTGAATAAACTCTAATTTGGTCTATGCAGACATGCATACCAGTACAGGTGAATGTTATGTCTGTAGGCTAACCCAAAAAAAGGCATTTTATAAAAAATAAAACAATTAAACAGTGCAAATAAAACACACACTCATTATTAAATTTATTACACCTGTTGAGCCAACTGTTGAAAAATAGAAATTTGGCAATTAAAGACAACATCTTTATGTAATCAGCCAATGGCAAAGTTGATAGATGATACAGGTATGTGTCTCACACACTGAGAGGACTATGAGTGATTTGAGCTATGAATGAAAATGATATCACATTGTCATGCAGTTTCGAATGAAGGTGATTATACACAGTGTGAGATTAGTAGCAGCACTTCTGTTATTTGTTGATAGAGTGTTATTCAAGATATTCAGAGATTTAGTATGTTTAAAGTTGAACAAAGAAATTGACTGGAGCTGGGTTTGAACCTGCGACCTCCGGATTACCGTTCTGGTATCCAGCAATATGTTAGCGGTACCCCAATTCGTCAATGTCTTTGCTCAGAGATTCATTATCTGCAATAATGTTTAATCGATATTACACCAATAGGGCTCGGCTCGTTCAATGACGGCCATCTCTGTAGGAGAACTGCAACTGCATATTTTACGCAATCATGCACGCATTGCGCAGTGTTGGAAATGTTCCAAACAAGCGCGCTTGTTGCTCGAAATGTGTTCGAAATACGACGCAGCCGATGCGCATCATGCAAGTTGGGGCTCAAAATGCCGATGCACGTGGATGGTCTGTAGGAAATGACGTCATTTGAACGAGACCTATATCAGTCATTCACTTATTTTTTAAGTATCAACTGCACTATGAGCTCAATTTGAACATCCCAGCATGCAAAGCAAAAACCGTTGACTGAATATCTGGCTGCTCACTGATCATGCACTGAAATAATGTAATAATTAATGAACTTGGTCTCTTGCAATGACTTAAAGGCAACATTCCTCTTTTTATAAGAAGTAATGATGATTGTTCCCCCATTGTCCCAGAGCTACATACATTCATAACCTCACTACAGCCTGTCTAAAAAAAAATGGTACAATCAGAAAAAAAAATTGGTTAAATATGAAATTTCAAAATAAGTCATTCTTACTTGGCATAATATTAAAGAACAAAGACTGGGCTTTCCAATAGTGTTTGTTTGATCTTATTTGCTTTCGTCAATTCAGAGATATAATCAATTTAGTGCGATACACCAAAATCGATTTTGTGCCACTTTTATGCATGGGCAGAGTTGTTTCGAGTACTGTGCCATGCTGTCTTGAAGCTCACAAAAGATTGCAACTTGGCAAAAGAAACAAACTCGATTTTTGTGTTCCACAGTAAACTGGAGTTATCTCTGGATTGACAAAAGCAAATGAGACGAAACAAAAAATCGTTTTCGATTGTACCATTTTTTTGGAGACAGGCTGTATTGCACTTAACTTTCTGAATTATAGTAAATCCCTACTAACACATGCTTGTGAACAAGAACCATACCCTCTCCATGCTAAAAGTAAAAACATTATGCCCACACCAAACTTATCAATTATAAATCCATTCACATGTCCAATAACAAGCAGGTCACAATCAACAGGTGGTGAAAGGAATACCTTCATTGCAGTTCATATGAATAGCTTGTGACTTAACTTGCGACTGACTTGTGATGCATTGTGATGAGTTTATTACGACCTCGCTTCATGCTACATTCTGTCTATCATTATACACTTTTGACAATGCACCGCCCAAGCTTTTCAGAGAGGGATAAATAACCATTATCTTCAAGTAAACTTGAATCCTCAATCCTGATTGGTCGATCCATGGCAGCAAACCGTGCTACATATAACCATGTAGCACGGCCTCGGTCCATACCACACTCCGCGTATTCCGCTGTTCCAAGATGCGAGCGACATTCCAGCTGTATACGCTAAACTGCTGAATGTCCATGTAAAGCGTGCTTGTTCCAACTGTACTGCGCGTCAAGTTTGCTTGAAGATAAATTCGTTATCATGCTCGCACTCGTGGAACACAGAAAATGTAGTGCGTCTGCGTCTGTGCCTTCGGCCTCGTGGTATGTGGGACACAGACGCACTACATTATTCCGTGTTCCACTCGCGCTCACGGGATAACTTATAATATGCAACACCATTCCAATACATGTGCCATTAATGAATACATTCCTTGATTAGGTATGGCGTGCCAACGTGCCAAAAATCACTTGGTGGGGACCCACTCTGATCTTACCCTTGAGCTGCCTTGCCGCCAATTGCATGCAATCTAAACAAATGGGCAACGACAAATATCTAAAATGTGCATGTACAATCTAAAAGTGAGTAAAAGTCACTGGACAAATATGTAACATGGCTCTCTAAATGTATCTAAAAATATTAGGAATATATTACTGGTAAACAATGCATCAAACCCACGACAAGCACACAACATAACTTTAAAGGGAATGTACATCATTGGCTTTTGCTGTAATTTTCAGAAATGAACTATTTGAGGGGTTAGTACAATAGATCAAATTTTGTTACACTGACATGTTTGAAGTTTTTTCTTCGAAAATGCTGGAAAAACCAAGAAAAACAAAAAAACGTTCAAGTAGTCTGGTTCCCTTACTCCACTAAAGATAAAATGGATCAATTTCCAGATGCCGGAAAATTGTAAGGTAAGGGAACAAGTCTAGCTGGCCTGCACCCGTTCATGAATATATAACCAATAGCAAACAAAATTTGAACTGAATAAAAAATGGTAAATTTTGAGCAGTAGTTGCACAATAGTTGGGTTTTTCCAACGGTGGTCCGCCAACCACCGCTAGAAACAGATACAAAAATGCCATTTTCTTGAAAATGACTTCACACCAGGTGCCATAATTTCACAGGATGCTTTAGACTGTCGTTTACCAACATCCTAGTAAGGTATTTCGTAAAAACTTGGTAGTTTTATTTTTCGATGTTTGCAAATGTTGTACATTCCCTTTAAGATGTGCATTATAGAAGATACTGCTCCACTGGTTGTATGACATCACACCGTTATGACAAAGTTAATGTAATACACAACTTCAAATTAAAAAATGATCTAAATGAAGGAGTTAAGTAGCATCTATGTAAATTTGCTGTGAACAAGACAAGGCAGAATAAACCACCTATCAAACCCTGTTGGTGCTGTATTTATAAATGTAAGGCAAGTGGATGGAGTGTTAATGGGCAATGTGCTTTTCATATTATTTAAATAAGTGGTTAAAATGAGATGACCCATTAATTTGTATTTATACTTTGTGCAGTGGAACATGTTTGAAAGAATGCAACTGTAATGGTCCTTCTTGTATTCTTCAGTGCAATGAGGCATGCCGTGATTTGCAAAAGGTAAGTACCAGTATTTGCAATACACGTATCTCCACCTTAAAAATATAGCCACAAATCTACATTGTCTGGTATGGATTTTGTGCACAAAAGCCTCAACAAGGAGAAAGAGAGCGATACATGAAACTGTATGATAGACACTTGAATGATACTGCCGCTGTACCAGTTATGCGCACATTCGGATAAAACTGGGCGTGCGTAATTCGCGCCTTTCACAAACCAGTGGGCGCATGCAATATTTCCCACATACTAAAGCTCTGGTGAGTGGTCGGAAAGTGCCATCTACACCATTCTCGCACGGCGTCTATAGACCTTTATTATGCTGCCACCATTTCAGTCATGTTCCCTGTATCCAATAACTGTACTGAATAATAATGGGTTTTTTGTGTTCATAAAAGAACCAGACTATTTTTCCTTCCCGCCTCGCTTTGGTTCCGTTGATTTGAATGGGGAAAATTCAAGATGGCCGCAACATGATAATGGTCTATTAGGTTGCACATTGAGGACATGAAGAAATCCAGTTTATTTTCATAGTTACCATTCAACCATTATAGATCTTAAGTTTTAATGAGGCACGGGCATTGTTTGCAGTGGTGTGCAATAGGAACGGGTATCCGAGTGCTCGACCAATAATGTCAGGAACCGGTTCCAGATCAAAGGATCGGGTACCCATAACCAACTTTACAAATTCCTTCGTTCCTTTTTAGACAATGAAAAAGGAAAGGTTTTGAACACCATTTGTGGGGAATTTTCAAAATGACAACCAGGCTACATGGAAAACAAAAACAGATTTCTTGTTTATGTGCATTCTAACATGTGACAGATGATGCTTGCGAAAGTTGCAGTTTACACCGTAAAGCTATAAAGCCTTTCAGACAACTTCCGGGATTTGATTTTGGGGTTTGGATTTAACCTGTGTTTTACTTCAATAGGGGTTCCCGTACTACCTAAAAATGCACACTTCTGATTGTTTGCAACTGCGAACATGGACACCGCAAGTTCAATGGGAGGGTGGCAATTCAACTGCCCAGACTGAAATTATGACGACCTTTCCCAGAATTCATCGGCACCGTTCTACCACAGTGCAGTGTTGATGATGAAAGTACTATCGTGCTCACCGCTTCATTTTTGGTTAATGTTCATCTTACCCATAAGACGTTTTAGCAGATATTGCACGAAGACTAATTGTGTACAATAACATTGAACAAAATGGATGAATGCCAAACAAATTAAATAAGATGTACCTACATATCTGGGAAAATTGTTCAATAGATTAGCAAAATGAGTGATTTTCATTACAGAACATGCTGTATCTAAATTTTCTTTACATTATGAGGAAATGAATGAATCAATTTACGAATGGCAAATAACAACTGACACAGAATTTTTAGAACAGAAGTGGTCTCATCTATTTCCAAGACAAATTTTTAATGTATGGAAGCTTTTGACCAAGTTGTGTTTCATCAAATTTACTTCCATAAACCAATTGACTGAAGTTTTTTTTTTACTGACCCCTGGAAACGATATTGGAACAGCCCATCAGTCATTACTCACCTCTTTTTGACGGATCGCTGGATTATAGCAGTAGGGTCTATCAGTTTGACCTCAGCTTCCTGAACCTCCTCTGCAAGGCTCTTGAAAAGAGTCCGCTTGAAACTATTACAAAATAAGAAATGTGAAGCGGAAATTTTGTCCAAATAAACAAAAAATGCTGCAAAATAATTAATTTCGATCAAGTAAATCACAAGTCGGTTTGGCAGAGTCAGGTTGGCATAGCGGTTCTTTCCTCGCATTCCACCGCTGTGACGTCGGTTCCAATCCCGCCTGGGCCAACATGTTGATTGGGTTTTCAGTCCCTGCCTGATTCCGTGGGTTTTCCCCAGAATATTCTTCTGATGGGGTTATCCTCCCACCTCTAAAACTGTAATTTCTTCTCATTGTCTTCTCTCTACTGGTTTCTTCAAGCTTGCGAGCCTAGGGCACTTTTGAGGCATCCTTGGTCTCATTACCAGAAATAATTGATCACAAGTCACTTTAGGAAATGGAATGTCACGAAAAGTCACAAACTAAAAATGTGATCTGTGCAATGTTCATCCCCTATGACCCGACTTGTTTTTCACTTATGATTTAATTTGTGTGATCACTTAATTACAACTCTGAATACTAGAGGCAATTTTGTGTTTGCGTAAATGCATTTTGTCGCGTCAGTGCAACAAGGTCGTAACTCCATTCTGCAACAAAGTCGTATCTCGCGCGAATACGCTCCGTGCAACAAGGTCGTATCTCGACGTCCATTGACTTTGCGTGTTCATCCGGGTTATTTTAAGCGAGATACAACCTTTTGACATTCTAAAACTCGCGTTTTGCGTCATTCATGCCATTTTAGGAGATACGACCTTGTTGCACCGACGCGACGATTTATAATCTTAAAATTGCTGCTAGAATCTTTTGAGTTATTCAAAAGCACTTACGCTTTCCAGGCCACATCACGCCACAAAGCTACGACAGGAATGAGGAAGAGAAGCATCCAGAAAATGCCACTGGAAAACACCATGCGGGCCTGGGCAAGAGAATCATCAAGAGAACCAAATGACATGCATCTTCAGTTGCTTTTAAAATATGGATAAAGGCTGGTTCACTGTCTTAATAAAATTGGGGTGTGCATTTATGGGTAGTACCGGAATCGGGTACCTGATTGAACAAAAACCCACATGGGTATCCGGGTACCCGTTAAAGAAAACCAACCCCAAAATTCAAATCTCAGAAGTTGCTGTTAGACTGTTGATAACGGTCCGCATGATAATACTACTGCATCGTTGCGTCAATACAGCAAGATACAAGTGTGTAAATTGAGCTTAATAGTTTTACAGTGAAAACTGCAACTTTTGCGAGCGTCACAAATGTGAAATATGTTTTGTATTCCAATGTCGCCTGGTTTTCATTTTGAAAATTGCCAACAAATGAAATTCAAAACCTTTCTTTTTCATTGTACGAGAAGTTACTAAGTAATTTGTAAAGTTGGTAAGGGTACCCGATCCCATAATCTGGAACCGGTTTCTGACATTAATGGTCGGGTGCTCGGGTACCTGTTCCGATGCACAGCCCTATTATGTAGGCAACCACAAACGTGATTTTGTTATGACAAATGTTTACTCTGTGAATTTGCAACAGTCTAAATGGGCACATTTGCATGAGCACATGTATCAAGCAAGTTTTATCTGCAGTGGAAAGAAGTCCAAAATCTTCAACCCTGGTTCTTAAAAAACATGAGCAAATTCCAAAATGGCGGGGGGGAGGGGGGGGGGGGAGAGATTGAGGGAGGAGAGGACCCTATTATATAGGAAACCACAAACGTGATTTTGTTATGACAAATGTTTACTCTGCGAATTTGCAAAAGTCTAAGTGGGCACATTTGCATGTGCACAATGTAATAGGCAATTTTTATCTGAAGTCAAAAATCCTCAACCCTGGTTCTTAAAAAACTTGAGCAAATTCCAAAATGGCAGGGGGGGAGGGAGATTGAGGGAGGAGAGGACCCATTTAATTGGTGGATTGCCGCTAATATAAGGACTCCGTGCACAAATAACCTCTCAAAGATTACAACAGAGTAAATGAGGGACCATTATTGCTGACCTGTCCAGTCATGTCGGCTGCCATCTTGATAGCAGGGAACAAGGCTGAGTAGATGCCGATGAAAATGAACCAGGCGATGATACTGAACCACATGGAGAAGTGGACAGGCTAAAGGAATAAGATCAGATTGTTTTTAAAAACATCTTTTTAAGAAATTGATATTTTAGCGTTGGGTAGCACAATGTGGGCAAATTCGTTTACGGAATGCTTCAATGAGATGTTTGGGGAATTCAAATGTTTGCAATCATAACTTTAAAAAACATTTTGATAGTTTCGCTTCCTCTTATCTCTGCACTCTTGCCCAATTTCATATTTGTTATGAATTATTTGTAGGTAAATTTATATTTATGTGTTCCTCAAAGTGTTCATTTTTGTTATTTACATTTTTACATGTTGATGGTATTTTGATGAAACAAATCAGAGTTAATTTTTAAAAGCTGCTCAACTTTGTCACCTACCCAGCTCCAGGCATCCATTGTCAGACCCGCTTTCAAGGTGACAACAATAAGCACATACTGCAACAAGAACAGAAATAACATGAAGTTGGAGTGGTTTTTTTCTTCGCACTCTTCTTCAACTGCTCGAATAAACTTTCCAAACAATTAATGCAAAAAGTACAATCGTGTTTCTTGTTTGTTTTTCTTGTAGAACCCAGGACAACTTGTAAGCATCTTACCGTGTAAGCCATGTTGCCCATGAATAGATGCCCACCCAGTTGGCCGTCAGAGAATGCAACGTCTTGGTACAGGGCACCGACCACAAACCAGAATATAAGCAAGGAGTGGTAGACGGCATTCATGGTCCACATCCAAAACACCTGGCAATTAATCATGTAAATTAGCAATACTATTCTTTCATTTTTCTAAAAAAATAGACAACAGCTTACAAGTTGATGATGGTTGGACTAATTTATGTTGACTAATCAGGACAAGCCCACTGAGGTTTGTCTCAAGGGCCAGTGTTGTTTCACATTACATTTGTAAATGACATTTGACCGTAGTTCAACATTAAAACTGTTAATTTTAGCACGCTGGGGCAAGGTAAACCACATATCAACTACAAGTAAACCAATATTTTTTATCAAACTTGTTAGGTATTTTGTAGTACTTTTTCCAATCCTCAGTATCTGCTTTCTTGTTTCATTTCTGGTAATGATACCAGAGAAGATGATGAGAGATGTTCACTTTAAGTTGTGGGAGGAAAAAACCCTAACATATATTCTGGGGGAAAACCCACACACACAGGCAAGGACTGAAACCCAATCTTCACGTGGACTTGGGCCGGATTCGAAACCCAGACCATAGGGGTGGAAGGCAAGGAGAGATGGCGAACCATTGCACCAACCCGACTCCTTATTTTTACATTTTTGAACACATCAGTTAGCCAGGAGTGGGATAAGTAGACCTGGGGCCAATTTCATAGAGCTGCTTAAGCACAAAATTTGCTTAAGCACAAAAACGTCTTGCTTAATAAAATCAGGTTACCGGCCAAAACTCCATGCGATTGTTATGCTAAGTAAACAACAGCTAAATACCAGTCACAAGAAATGTACATCGCATGTAGTTTTGGCCGGTAACCTAATTTTACTAAGCAATGTTTTTTCGTGCTTAAGCAAATTTTGTGCTTAAGCAGCTCTATGAAATTGGGCCCTGATCTCACCTTGGAGTTGAAGTACTCTGAATTCTGGGATGGCTTGTAGAGCTGCGGGAATCTCTGCATACTCTCTACCCTGATGTTACGATCAAAGAGGCCGATGGCAAATGGTGGTAGGGCAGTGAAGGCCTAGGCAAGAAAAAAAATGTACACACATGTAGAAATAAAATTCACGGTTTGTTGAACACGATTTTTCAAATAGCAAATTGATTAGACGATTTTTGACTATGCTTGAAGAAAATATTGGCATCGACTACAAAAAAACTACATCCCCCCCTAAAAAAAAACTGAACAAAACCACAAAACAAAACCAAAGAAAGTAGCTCTGTCAACTTGAATCTTGCAAATTTTGAATGCCTTGGTGTACGATTGTGTTCAATTTCTCATTTTATTTTGACTTACCAAGTTGTAGATGCCGATGCACCACTGGTTGAAAAGGATCTGGCCTGACCAGCCATTTACAATGGCAAACCAGAACTGCAGAGGAAAAAAAATTATATTGTCAACCTCTACAAGAAATACACAAGAAAGAATGCACAAACGGTACTTGTGTTTTTGGCTTGTGTTCAAAACTGTGTAGTCTGGATAAATTGCTCTCCCCACTAAGAGTCTAATGAAGGCAAATGTTGTCGTGACTCCTCTTTGTTTGGCTTTAAATTTAGATAACCAACTGATTTACATACTCACCTCCATAATGTAGAGGCAGATGTTCTTGTAGAAGGAATACAGGATGACTTTGGACAAACGATTGTAGCTCCAGACTCCATGGACCAGCATGAGCTTGTGAAGGAATCGGAACTGGGCGATGGAGTAGTCGGAGCAGTTGGCTGCCTGCAGACCCTCCCGGCCGCTGATGCCTATACCCACATCTGCAGCCTGGCAGTAAAAGGGAAGAAACGGGGTTATTATTGTTGATAATGTGAGTGGCAGAGGTGTTGGAGTCCCGACAGGTCAATCACTAGTCATCCGAAGTGAATGCGTCACGCGCACAAAATGTGTGTGAGAGACATTAGCACGTGATTTAGCCCGAGAACCAACACGCGCGCAGTACTCCATTCGTTTGCACTGCACTTTCTGGTTCTAAATGACGTCACACTTCGGTACTCCATACCTCGTAACTTGTGACTGGGTCTGTGATTTTGGCTTGCACCCGACTTGTGATTTGACTTGATTTGCCTAACAATTTGACTAGTGATGGACTTTACTATGATTCTGGTTGAGTTGAATAGAACTGTTATTTGGTAGGTCAAAAATCAGACGGAAGTGGAAAGAGCTTCAAAAGGAGTGCTACCTAAGAAAAAGATGCGTTGCTGATTATAACAAATCGTGAAATTTTGAATTTTGTAGTTTTTATAAATGTGTCTTCACATGGGTACTTGGCATACAGTTTTCAAGGGTCTGTATTAAAATCTCTCTTTCTTTGTTTCTTGGATGAGGGGGTACTTGTTCACAGTTCATACCTGTATCATGCCGACATCGTTGGCTCCGTCTCCGATAGCTAGAGTGACCACCTTGACGTTTTGCTTGACCAGTTCCACCAATTCGGCCTTCTGTCTTGGAGTGACCCTTCAAATCGAAAAAAGGAACTGTTATTCACAAAGATCAAGTCTAAATCTCGTTACTTACTGAAAGCTTTCTTGTAACAAGTATCAAGTCTAAATCTTGTTACTTACTGAAAGCTTTCTTGTAACAAGTAAGATTGATTGAATGTTTTTAATTTTCAAGTGGAGCAATTCATGCAATAAGAGTAGTTGACTTATTAAGACATTTGCACTAGTAAGCAGGAGGTTGTGAGTCAAAGTCACACGCAGGCATTCTTTTAACTGGACGGCACTGAGTATATATACACTGCATATAAAAATTAAGTTAATGAAGGGCAAAATCAAATCTTAAAAATATTTCCCTAATGCAATATTCTATCAAAAGTTTTTTTTCTCACCTGCAACACACCACTGCTTTACAGGACACTGCCAAGTCCAAGAAATCCTTCCTCATGTCAAACTCCAAGGCAAAGTTCAATGTCTGTGAGAGCAAAAGCAGGAAATTGCAGAGATATTTGAGAATTCTTGGGCGTCTGAAATCTTGAATTATGTCCAAGTATCTTGATAAAAAGAAGTATGGTAGATAAAAGCAAATGTGTAGTTATTTATTCTATGACTTAATGCTCACCATTGAAGGTACTTCTGAAAGTATCATTGTCATTTCTGATATGTGCCACCACTCCATTTCAGTGATTAAGGCTTGATTTCTTAAATTGCTGTTTGATGGTTAGCAGGCAAGTTGTTCTTAATCTTGCAGACTAATTCTGCTTACTTTTATCAAGCATGCTAATACTTGCTTGTGCACTCTGATTTCTACCGTTGCTTCAATATTTTTATCAAATTTGTGCCTCTTAAGTTAATTCAACGGAGAACTTAAGAGCAGAGAAATGTGTGCTTAGCATGGCCACAAAATTGGGCACTGGTAACAACTGCTCCATGGCGCCGGAAGTATTTCACCTTTCCATCAATGATGAGGCCCACATCGTTCTGTTTGCCAAGGTCTTCCCCAAACGTCGCGGTGTGTCTGCGAAGCGTCTCCCTTGTGTCATCGTGGCTACTTTCATTGATCACAACCAGCGGCATGTTCTGGGTCAACAGCTTACACGAATAACCTGAAAAACAGTGTAAAATGAAGGTACTATTTATTTACAACTTCTATTGTCATCAAGTTTGGGCAGAATTAATTTCAATTTGGACGATCACAACTAATAGGGACGAAGAAATGACAAAGGAATGATTGGGTTGAAGTCGATATGATTTGCCTCTACCTTGACTTGACACTTGGTGATTTGTAAATGACTTTTTAATGATTTGATTACAGTGCACATTTTTTAAAGAAAACTATGGAAATCAACCAACGAAGTTGAGTTTTTTTATTTTGAAAATTGAAAAGCAATCATGGCAATTTAATACCATATCCACATCACCCTCTGGAAATTCAATGCTCAACAGTACCCACCGACATTGATGGCTGTTTCCTGTTTGTCTCCGGTGAGTACCCACAGCTTAATGTCTGCCTTCATCAGCATGTCAATGGTCTCTGGCACACCCTGATCAAAAGGCAAATAACGGGTCACTTTAATCAACAAAGATCCTTCATAAAAATGGCAGTTGAACAATATTATTAGAAGCAAGTTTAGGGCCAATGATTTTCCGCGATGGCGGTAAACGGACGGAATTTGCGGAATTTTATTGATAAAAAAACCATAATTTCGTTAAATTTATTGAGTACAAAACGAATTATTGATGATTGATTGAACAGACGAGCCATACAACAAATGAGCGGTGTTTATATCACGATTTTGGGGGACAAAAACGTTCAAGATCAGAGCAATAAATGTTACGAGATCATTACCGTAGTACGCTTAGTCATGGGAGTGACAGTCCCGACGCATGCCGTAGCTGTCGGTCAGCGCAACGGTCAATGACGTTGAAAATCATCACACTCACAGCATGCTCTCGCGGGTCTCTTTTGCTCCATCGGCAGGTTTATTTTTCTCTGTTCAATCAATCAACCATTCGTATAACATCTAACTTTGGCTCTATTGAAATGCATGTTGTGCTTAGGTCCAAAATCTACCGTGTGTTCTTATTCCTCCGTGCGTAAACTATCCTATTTTGTCGCCAACGTTAGCCCGAAAACAAAATGGCGGACATGAATTTTGCTTCGGCCAGCTGATGTGTGACGTCATGGGATTGGCCTATACGGCTATTGCATGTTTTTTGCGTGTGTGGAAGTGGCAGTGCAGTATACGACTTGACTGTGGTGAAGTTAAATACTATGTCTGTACATTGATCGGCCGTTGATAAAAAAGAAATCTTTTTGGGGCAGTTTTCCCGCGCTCCAACCAAACGACTATTTCATTATCGTCTTGGAATTATTTACTGCGAACATGGTATATGTTTAAATGCCTTTTTATGTATTGAATAAATGTGAAACGGAATTTTCCAGCCTGAAATGGAATTCAGGATTTTGAAAACGGAATTTGCACTTTTCTGAAACGGAAAATCATTGGCCCTACAAGTTCAGCATTAACTGTAAGCAAGTTCAATCAATACCTATAGTTAGCCATAGTTTGGCTAACTTTCATCACTTGCAGGCATGGTGACAATGTTGGACTAATGAAGTCAATCGATATGCACATTATTAATGGGGAAAGTTAAAGTGGGACTTCATGGCTAGTGTTTGGTACCGAGATATTCACATAAAAAGTGATTGTGAACTTGGAGACTTGCACATTCGATTTTACTCACATCCTGCAGTTTGTCTTCGATGGCTGAGGCGCCAATCAGATTGAAGTTCATCTCAATCAGCTCGGCAGCTTCCTCCAGCTTGGCCTCTCTGTTCTGCAGGGCCGTGCTGGCCTTGTAGTAGGTGGCACTCCAGTCTTCGTACTCCTGCTTGGGGATCTCACGGAAGGCAAAACATAAAGTGCGCAGACCTACAGAAGGAGGGTTGTGCAATTAAGAGAATGGCAAATTTCTTCTTACAACTTTCTTCTTAAATCATTTATGTGTAAACTCTAGTGATTTAATTAATAATAACAATGTGGTGTTTATATAGTGCTTAATACCAAAGGTCTCAAAGCGCTTCACAATTATTACCCTTGTTCTTCAGACCACAAGACCATTTTTTTGCAGCACCTCGAGATCAGCGCAATCTGATCTCTACCTTCACAGTTTAATACCCATTAATACTCCCGGGTTAGAGAGAGGCAATCGTAGTAAAGTGTCTTACCCAAGAACACAAGCACCATGTTCCCCTGTCAGGGTTCGAACCCACGTACCACGACACTTGAGTCGAACACCGTAACAATTGGACCACAACGCTCAGACAAAAAATCGTGAACAGTATATGAACAATGTAAAGGTGTTAATACAATTCTACTGTTCTTTGAAATTTCTCTTTGGTGGAGGGAGATTCTCTGGTAGAAAAAGAAGCAATCACACACCTTCTGAAGCAAATTCTCCCAAGTGCAGCAATGTCTCATCCCTGTGCTCCTGGTTGTCACCAAGTCGTTCATAGATCACAGAGTCCTGCAAACATGTTGATAACAAATATTTCATTCAAATTCTCCCAACTTGCAATGTCAATTTTCACAAAACAGTTTTTAAGAAAGTGTTCCCAAAGCCTAAAAGTTTGCATTTATTTTACGGTACTCACAGCTCCTTTGCACAGCAGTAGTATGGTTCCATTGCTGGTGCGCACAATGACCGACATTCTCTTCCGGACACTGTAAACAGATAGAGACAAACTTATCATTTCCAGGCAAAAGGTTTAATTATTACAATAAATATGTAATTGTAGAACCTAAAACTTGATCAGGTTTAAATGACTAAACATCAGGGGATTGAGACAATTAAAGGGAATGTACATCGTTGGCTTTTGCTGTTATTTTTAAAAATGAACTATTTGAGGGGTTAGTATAATAGATCAAATGTTGTTACACTGACATGTTTGAAGTTTTGTGTTCGAAAATGCTGGAAAAGCCAAGAAAAACAAAAACGTTCAAGTAGTCTGGTTCCCTGACTCCACTAAAGATGAAATGGATCAATTTATAGATGCCGGAGAATTGTTAGGTCAGGGAACTAGTCTAGCTGGCCTGCACCCGTTATGAACATGTAACCAATAGCAAACAAAATTTTGACTGAACAAAATGGTAAATTTGGAGCAGTAGTTGAAAAATAGTTAGGTTTTTCCAACGGTGGTCGGCCGACCACCGTTGGAAATTTATACAAAAATACCATTTTCTTGAAAATGACTTCACACCAAGTGCCATAATTTTACAGGATGCTTTAGACAGTCATTAACCAACATCCTAGTGAGGTATTTCGTAAAAACTTGGTAGTTTTATTTGTCGATGTTTGCAAATGTTGTATATTCCCTTTAAATATGACTGGGTCAAATTTTTCATAATTGATGAATACTTGAATCTGAAACATCTGAAAACATCTTTTTTTATAAACGGTGTCCTACTTTGTTATACAAATATGACAGAATTTCATTTACAAAAAAATTTACTTCAAAAAATTGTTAAATGCCTACCTGGTGAAGTCCAGAACATTCAGAATGTCGTATCGTTCCTGCTTCCCCATCTAAAACAAAAAGAAAGACACAAGAAAATCTTACCCAGACACCGAAATTTGTGCACGATTCTCAGCTGATCAATCTAAACAATTTTCACCACTAAAGAGCTGTAAGTTTCCCTGATTTGCATGTTTCTGCACTTTATACACATAGTCTAATCATTTCTTTTCTCAGACATTGTAGAGTATTAATAACTGAACTTTTTTTTTGCACAAGAGAACATACCACATTGATTTCCACATAGTCTGGTGTCCTGACATTAAACACGAATCCCAATGCATGGGCTGCATCAATCAAGGCACCTTCATCTGTTGATAAACGATAGCAAATGTCAGTGGATAAAAACAACACAACTCAAACACTTTTTTGTTGTTGCTAAAATATGTGGCGATTCTATTTGTAAGGTAATTGTAATAAGAACATAAACCATCAGCAACAGACAAGCAACTGTAGGGCCACAAAACCAAGAAATTCCAAGACTTCAGAAGACTCTGTACCGTGTTTTTCAATTAATGGCAGACGTAGAAATTAAAAAAAAAATTAAAATTAGCTGATCCGAGGAAAAGTTACACATTTGAGCAACGGTGAAATGCCACTATTGTGAAGGCTGTTACACATTTAGTTTAATCTAGAGACTAAACTGGCACCAACAATCAGAAGAAAACTTTTGTGAAAATTTTTGGTTTTAGATGCTTTCTCCTCTGCTAGTCATGTCCCTGTTTGTCAAGTTGTAAGTCATCATGTTCTGATGTAATCACTTACCTGGGGAGGATGCTTGGTAGGTGATCTTATCACTATCTTGTTCTTTCTCTGGGATCACTGTGTGACACACGGCCATCATGGTCAGGAACATACGGATATGAGACGCAGTCGGCTGCATAGAGAAAAGACAGACAAGAAATTGAGACGAAAATTGGCCCTAGGTGCTGTTTTTGACTGCCAGACATAGAAAGATGAGAATATTTCCTAACGGTTTCTGGTAAGGCATGGGGCATGGAGTGACAGTAATTTAATATCTACCAAGCAACTTCTAGGAATTACATCACCTTAACACAAACAATTTCAACCTTTTCTTTGCAGTATTTTAAAAACGTACTTAGTATAGATCCCACAAATTACAGCAACACTTTAATAAGAAGCCTGCTCATTAAAGTGTACAACAAAACATGTACAATAACAAGCTAAACAAAACTGAACAACATTGCTTGCTATTTGCTCAGCCGAATTCTGCACACAACCAAGGAAAAGCAAAAAGCAAGTATTTAAATTAAGCGTGTAAATTAGTAACTATTCTCACATGTTTATTTTGCAGATTCTCCAGCAGCTTAGCCTGTGAGAAAACATTTGCATCATCCCCGTTGGTACCGTACACGATCCCTGCCACCGTGCATCGCTTGAACACCATGATGTTCTCAGTCAGCGTACCAGTTTTGTCCGAGAAGATATACTTGACTTGGCCAAGTTCGTCATTCAGGTTTGACGTGCGAGCATTGGCTGCTGTGTTGGTGCCCTCATGGTACATATCAATGTCCTAATAATAGGAAGAGGTTGAAAAGAATTTAATTTTTTCAAGGAAAATTGTTCTAAGTGAAATTCAATCAAACTAGTATCCAAGGGGTGAGGGCCTCAAAGTAAAGTCTGAATGATGAGGCTTTGCTGGCGTTATTGGGCGTGTAATCTTGGAAGGAGATTGGAAATGTAAGATAATAAAGTTGTCAAAGTATGAAACATGCCCAGTGTAACAACATAGAACAAGTCAAAAATCTAAATGTTATACTGCCTCAGAATCCCTAGTTGCCAACTGCAGCAGGATACAATTGTGGCGTTGTTCAATGGGACTCGTCGTCTCAGAATTTATAGTTTATGCACCAGTGTTGATGGCCAGGTCCCACAGATTTTTACCCACGTTGCACTGTTTTGCATCTGGCAGCGTTATAGTTAGTCACTGCATGTGGTGTTTCTGTGAACATCTCCCCTCTTTGATTTGTGGTTTGAGACTCACCGCGCTAATGAACCAGGCCTGGCCAAACTTGACCAGCTCTAAGGTGACTGGCAGGCTGATGGGAATCAGGTTGTTGTACAGGATGATGAACGTCAAAAAGTTGTAGAAGAAGGAATTAGGAGAAAAGTCTGTTGGGAGTATCAAAGCAACAAGATTTTTATAAGTTAGTACGAAAAAATACCTCCAGGGCCCAATTTTTGAGCCTCTGCCTATTTCACATATTCCATTTGAGGTAGGCACAGTAAGCAGCACACCACTTCAAAGACAAAAACAATCTTATACTGTGTGTAGCAAACCAGTGCTACACACAAATCTTTACGTGAAAGTTTGTTTGTTGCAAGTTGTGTTAACTTGAGATAATTTCTTGGGATCAAGATATTGTCTTTGAGTGTTAGCCGAAAAAAAACAATGTCAGAACAAAATACTGAATTAAATCTCACTCACAAGTAAACTGATGCCCGTTACTGCAAAAGCTCAGATCATTTGTTTTACAACCAACCGGACTGGGATGTGACCAAGTGTTAAGATTTTAGTGCGACAAGTCAACACACAGCACATCAAGGGTATCAAAATTAACAGGAAAAAGACAGACCAAAGCCACACATACTACCTTTTGCATCTGGATTAGCAAGAGCATCTAAACATTTCCATTTCGCAGAAGCGGGAAATTGAATCAAAGGGCAAAATCAATTTGAAAACTGAAGGCTGTTTGTGAAGGTTGCAGCAGCATTACAGGAGATCAAAAGCTATACATTAATTCTATACTGTCTAAGGAAGCTTGGGTGGGAAGCTTGGGTGGGAGAGTAAGCAATTCATAGGCCACTTGACTACTGAGTACGTTGTCTTTTGCAATGAACAAAAAGACTAATGAAGAATTTCTTTCTTACCTTGAAACCCTATGTACCAATCAGATGCCAAGTGCCGCCTGTTCCACACCTCGGCTGCAATGGAACTGACCAGGGAGAGCACAAGAAGTATAACAAATAGGAACAGAATCTGGAAGAAACCATTGGAATAAAAGGGTTAATACAGTAAGATAAAGAGTACTGAGAAAACAACACAGTAATATCTGAAACAAGAAAATACTCCGCTTTGAACCTCAACTTTGACTCTGTATGACATCTTATCGATTTCTTTCGTGACCCAAAATTCTCACCTGTGAATTTGTTGTTCTATCTACTGTTGATCTTTTCAATGGTGCTGCTTTGGAATTCTGTAAAGTAATTTGAACAAACAGTGAAGTGGTCAGTTATTATGTTAAAGATATATAGGTCATTGATACAAACAATAATTAATTTTCCATATCTTCCTACTTGCTCAAGACAATGCTTAGACCCTTTGAAACTGTAGTTGCATCTGATTATGAATGCACTTCTAACCAATGCATTAAACAAAATATGAAGCAGTGGAAATCGTTTCCTGAAATATAAGCGTTACCAACCAAAATTCAGAATTATTAGTTGGGCTGAAATATTCAATGTAAATTGAGGATTAACTAACCTAATCATATGAATTTACCTCATCAATGTGTTTATACAGAGGAAATCTACCTTACCAAGTATCTCAGGATTCAGGAAAAAAACACTGGATTTCATTCATTTAAAAAAAATGACTTTTGGCAGATACTGTACACAAATTGGAAGCTGCAAATAATGATGTATTTCTCTTGAATCAGTTTGCACAACAATTTGGGACAATTTTTACCACACGCCTGTCCCTGTCTCACCATAAGTAGCTTGCTCTCATGACCCGTATAGATGGCTATCCCATGAATCCACTGTGTGTTCTTGAGTACAGCGCCCCTGAGTAAGACCTGCTCTGGACCAATAGGTACTGACCTGAAAAGCATACCCCAAAATATAGAACGATTAACCCATACCCTGTCAGGTATATTCATTACTACAGTCTCTTGTACCACAGATGTGGTAAACTGGGATGTTGAAATAACTCACAGCAATCAATGCAATCTGGCACAACACAATGAACCAGCGCCATACTATCGCATGATCTTGCTGCAATGTACTGCTATAGTTGTTGATTTCAAGTGAGTGTGTTGGATTATGCTGTATCATGTATATTATTTAAAGAGGTTGTGGAATGCTCGAAGACATTTCCGTCATTTTTCGGGTATATGTAGCCTAAGGTGTGATGAAATAAAAACGACTATTGTGTCTGTCATGAAATGAGTAGAAAAGGTACTTTTGAGAGCTGTTTTTCAGGTCCTGTTTCGACTCGAACGTGCAATTTGTGTAAAAGTCGTCGTTGGGGGCAGCAAACAAAACGTAGTAAATTGTGACGTAATAAACAGGACTCCCGATGCAGTGTAGTATAAACGAGTCCTGTTTATTACGTCACGATTTAGTACGTTTTGTTTGCTGCCCCCAGCGACGACTTTTACACAAATTGCACGTTCGGGTCGAAACAGGACCTGAAAAACAGCTCTCAAAAGTACCTTTTGTACTCATTTCATGACAGACACAATAGTCGTTTTTATTTCATCACACCTAAGGCTACATATACCCGAAAAATGTCTTTGAGCATTCCACAACCTTTTTAAACTGTATCACTGTGATTGTAAGTTAAGTGTTGTCAATGCTAAGAGGTAGTAAAAAAAAGTCATGGACATGTGCAAATCCAGATGTCCTACTCAAAAAAAACGGCAGACTGTGAAACCAGACTGTGAAACAGTAAGCTGGCACTCTAGTATCTGACAACTCACAGGGAGCTCCAGTATGTGATTCACAGCTCCGCACACACACACCAACACTTACCTTACATACCTGCTGTGGATATTCCTTTGTATTCGTGTAGAAAAAAAACGGAATAAAATCTACTTTTACTCACACTGTGGACACTCTTTCAACCGAAATTTTCGATCATGATTTCCTTGACTGTTCCTTTTCATTTTGCGACTGATAAACCTAACCCCAAAATGCATCTAAAACTGTTTTCCGGAGAGGGGAAACCCTGTGTGAACATGGGTATTCCCCCACAAAATGTTTACACTTCCTGCACCCTGTGGACCTCTTTTGTTCACCGGTCCACAAAGAGTATGCAATGTTAGAGCACTGGTTCTTAAGCTTTTGTTGCAAACTACGCACAGATAATTTCGTTGCGTCAGTGCAACAAGGTCGTATCTCCTAAAATGGCATGAACGACGCAAAACGCGAGTTTTAGAATGTCAAAAGGTCGTATCTCGCTCAAAATAACCCGGATGTACACGCAAAGTCAATGGACGTCGAGATACGACCTTGTTGAACGGAGCGTATTCGCGCGAGATACGACTTTGTTGCAGAATGGAGTTACGACCTTGTTGCACTGACGCGACGATTTCATACTGATTGTGCATAAACGACACACAAACCCGTAGCATCATCACATGAGTGGAGTTATAGTCTGTCTAGCTCTCTGTGTCTGGCTTTTTTTTTTGAACATTGAGGAGATATTAGTGCACAGAATGCAAAGCAGTATAATAACAGTTCCAAGTTTGTAAGTGCTTACAGTGACTGGTCCTGTTTAACCCTGATGTTGCCGGTGAAGTCATACAGGTGTCGGTTTGGCACATCGCACTCTATCCTGCCGTTAATCTGCATCAGCTCTTGATCCGAGACTAGGTGGGCCGTCTGCGGGACACCCTGGCGAATCTTGAGGTTGGTCTCTCCATCTAGCTGGGCAGTTTCTATGTAGCACATGGCCTGTGGGGCACTACGATGGTACCAAAAATATATTGTAATGAAATGAAAATGTGTACACAGTTAGAGTGCCATGGACACTTTTGAGAAATAACTGCTTTCATTACCAGAAATAAATTAACAATCAGGGGTGAGATTGGGCAAAAAAATGAAAAATCCGCAAAATAATCAGCAGAGGGTTTGAGGGTCGCCTAGGGCCCCAGAGCAACGTAGGGCCTACACCTATGGTACATCTATGGTATATGTCTGTATTTGCCTACATTAAAGCACCTCTTACAATACCCACATCTTTTCTGCTACATAAACTGTCATAGGTTAAAAACAATTTTATGGTTAAACCTTACGGACTCCGTATTTCAAAAGGGATTCTTAAAATTTTCCTGAATTCATGAAAAACCCTGGCAAATCTCACCCTTGTACAATAATGATAACCCTTGGGGACTAGTTTAAAGGATAGATGTGTGTTATCAGTCCTTACCTGGAAGCAAGTAGCACTAGATCGGCAGGAAAGAATTCCTCTCTGCTAACTTTGACTATATCACCAACAGCCACCTGAAAAAAAGTAACAAGAATCTTTCTTTTACTTCCAAGAGAAATCAGAAATTTGGTCAGAATACCTGAAAGCCGTAAGGCTAACATTAACACTAACTCCTTCGGGTGTAAAAAAAATCATTTGAAAATTTGAGGACTCGGGACTATTAGGGTTAATTTTAAAATCTAGGACGCTCTTATTTCTCTAAATAGAAAAAAGCTGGTCAAGATATTATGAAGCAGGGTTAATACTGCCACATAAAAAGTGCTTGGAAATGCATATGCCAAAAACATATGCCTCACATCTTTTTTTCTCTAGATCTAAAAGAAATTTTAAAAACTAAATCTAGGTAGTGTTATAACATCCACACACAATAAAATATGATAATAAAACACTAGAAGATTCAATAATTTGTTTAGACCATTATGGACAAAGGGATTTAGTAAAAACCTGACCCTATAACAGTGTGCTTACCTCAACCCACCGTACTCTCATCCAGACCCCGTAACGAAGAACTGTAACAAACAATGACACATATAGATTTATACGTCACATGTGAGACAAAACATGTGAATTCCATTTTTATGGTAGTGTAGCCTTAATATTTTCTCTACAGGGAAGCACACAAAGAAACCATACACTGATTGGTGGTTCTAATTTTTAAATATTTTTTATTATATAACCGACATACATATCCTTGTCAGTTGATTGGTGGAACTCACATCACGTGACATTCGTTATTACTCCCATTCGCGCCGGCTCTCAAAAGTACTATCCGCCCATGAGGAATGGGAAATACTATTGAACAGTTAGGATCATTCTTGTTCCAATATGCGGTATTTGTGTGCAAAGGCGTGCTGGTGTGTGCGTTCAGCGTTGCGCATAGCGCGTATTGTTCCAAAGAGCCAGCGCTACAGAGTGGAATTCAAACATTTTCGTGAAAGGGTGGTTTGGAAGAGAGAAATACATTTCCCATCAATTTTGTAGTGAAATAAAAGTTCAAATATATCAAATGACAAGGATCTTTATGCAAGTGAAAGGATAATATCCATGTAATAAAATCATGAAAGCCACCTACCTAATACTTTACGTCTGTTAACCTCATCATCTGCACGGTGGCGTTTCTATTATAAATAACAAATGAATCAATCTGATTAGAAATTAAAGTTCAACTGAAATGATTTTAAATCAAGAAAAATAATTTTCGTAAAACATTTTTTTTCTGGTGGAATGACCTAAAATGTATTAGAAACGCCACAGCTGTAAAAAAAAAAAAAATCTCTTGGTAAAATATTTACAAGTTATGATAAAAAAATGAAACAATTATCTGGGCATTTCTTCCCTTTCTGCCACTGGTATGCTTTCTACAAAGCAATTCAATCATCCTTTGTCATCTAAATTGAGATCACATCTTTGAGATTTTTATGAAATACTTCAACTTTTGACTATAACATCAAAGTTGCTAAAATGTGGATGAGATTATCTTGTTAAGGCTCAAAATGTCTGTCCAAAGTCAAAAGTCAAAAGCAAAGTCTTCTGTTCTCATTCACATATAAAGTTAGAGGTCAAAAATCAAGTTGTTTTTGTCCAACAAAAAGCCAAACGGACAGAAAAAAATCAAACATGCTCGGACTTGTAAGCCGTCTTTGAATTTTACTCACCAAATCTTCTGCCGTTTCTTTGACACCAGCAACAGTAAGAATAAATAGTAACGGTATGACAGTTGTCAAGGTCCCATTGGGGGAGACACCCGGGATTTGCTACGATGAAACGGGGAGATACACAGGAGAGGAGAAAAGATTGGTGTGCATGCAACATGCAGGAGGGGAACACTGAACTTACCTGATGTGCAAAAAACATGGAACGGTCCGTGAACTGTTGCCATGGAAGATGACTTTTCTTGGTTTTCAATATGAAGTGTGTTTGTGGAGAATATGGAATGTAGGACTTACCTGTTTTAATGTGAGTTAACCTGCGCCGAATGATGTGGTGAGTTGAACAAGGAAATGGTAAATGTAACAGACTTATGGCAGTATTCTATGATTCTTAACTTGTTTGTAGAAATGCTCAGAATACTGGGAAAAAAATTTCACCGCTGTCGGATAATTTTGGGGAGAAATTGAAAGCTAAATCTTACCTTTATGCAGTGGATTAAAGTCGCCCCATGTCAAATTATGTGGTGAAATGAGCCATGAAATAGGAAATGTGGTTGGCCTCTTTCTCTGCATTTCTTGTGAAACCATAGAAAATAAAAGGTCTCTGGACAAATGTCGTAAATTCTCTCTAAAAAAGTTTGGAGTTTTTTTAAAAATGGAAGTAGAATGGGCAAACAAAAAAAACTGTTTTTTTTGTTTGACTTGTTTTGTTTGACTTGACTTCATAAAATTGGATAAAAAAGTTGTGCATCATCGTGATCGAAGCACACTTACTTTAGAAACTAACTCCTGAAATCGGCACCTTCAAAATGTCAAATGTCAGGGAGAATCGGTCAAGTCAAGGTTGAAAGCGGGAGACAGGAGAACAAGAAGGAAATTGGGGATTAGGCACCGCGGTTTCTGAACTTACAAAATCCTCGATGATTTCTTTGATGGCAGAGACAAACAAGATGAATAGGAGTGGGAACATGGTGGTGAATTTACCCGTTGGCGACACGCCGGGAATTTGCTGTGAATGGCATGGGAGATAAAAAAAAATGATGAGGAATATGTTTTAGTGGTTGAACAAACTGTTATGAATGGCACAGCTGGCATACATGTAAATAAGTTACGTAATAATTTCCATTTCTATAAGGCCATCAACTGTTGTAAAACATTGATCTTCTTCAAAATCTTTTTGTTATCATCGTTCGGATCATCAGTATGATAACATGTCTGATGTGAATGGAATTTACTATCCAAACATTATTAAACTGTAAACTTTATAATATTCATTGGAACAAATGAAAATGTTGAAATTATGACATGATATATTGTAAATGACTACTAAGAATGTATGTGCATGTGTGATCATAAAGGGAAGTGTTTATATCTTGCTGGATGTTTATGTACATGTATGGAACGCACTCATTAGTAAATTCGTAAAATATCTGTAAAGCAGTCAAAAACACACTTTTGTTTTGAATACACGTACATGAAGGTGCATACATGTACGTACTTTACAATTACATTCATGATTATTAACTTTACATGTACAATAAACTCTTTTTCCCAGTAAAAAAACGCAAAAAGTAATTTACCGATGTACATGTGATAAAATATGTGTGTAACTTTATACTGAGATGTTTAGAAAAACACACACGCTCCACAAGTGCATGTAATCAAAGAAGAGTTTTAGTCTGTCAAAACAAGTACGCAGCCACAATGCCGAAGGCTGAACAGAATAAGTACTTGTGACTGGTTGTGATAAACAAATTTCCTTGGTAATATTTTCTGCCAAGAAACTCAGGATTTGCCTGAAGAACCACTCAGTATATATCTTGTGCCATTTTTTCTTGAGCAATATTTTTTCCCCAAACAAAACCTTTCGGTGCTCAAACTATTGCTTGGCCGCTTTGCAAAAAACTGAAGACTTGTCAAAATTGAGAGACAGGCAGCATAAAAAAACACAGAAAAGCACAAAACAAAGCACAAAACACAGAAACACTCACTTGTAGCAGTGCAATGAAAAGAAAGAAGACGTTGGCATATCGCCGGAACTGCTCAAACAAGAATTTGGGCAAGAAGGTGACCACGCTGTACTTGCCCGTGCTGCGGGAGGAAAATGACAAATATTGAAATGTTTACTTGCATGTAAGCTTGGTTGCTCAGAAAATGACTTTCTTTTTACATGTTAATCCTTATAACTTGCTACGTGTAAGGATGCTTCTGATATCTGCCACAATTTAATGGACTCGTGTGACAAATGAGGGCAGTGTGTTGTAATATCAAACTGACTTGCTGAGGGGGTAATTCGTCACCGTTTTCACGAACTGACACTGACACGTAGTGTGGTGTCAGTTCCTGAAAACCGCGAAATCAATATTTTCGAAGCAGGTCGTTTCGTACCCAAGTCGTTTCGTACCCAAGTCGTTTCGTACCCAAGTCGTTTCGTACCCAGTCAATTATGATGCACAAAGGAGATTAAGCCAGTCATGCAAACACGGAAAATACATACACAGACAAGCTAGATCAAATCTGTGAATTAACTTGCAAAAATGTTCTTTCTCCATCGGTGTTTTCTTGGCATTTTTACGATGTCTTTCTCGGCATTTTTACGAATCCGACCAGTTGACAGAGCGCTGAGCACGTGCCTGCGCCTGCATAGCCATGCTAGCGCTATCGATCGCATAGCTGTGCACAGACTAGTTACCGCATTTCATCATTGGCCCCTGCGCGGCGCGGCGGGAACCAGTCGTCGCCGCATTGCGCTTATTACGCACGTGATATAGACATCGAATTGCGAAGTACATGTAGTTGAATCGCGCAGTGAATTTGTAAAAATAACGGAGTTTTCTTTTGAAAAAACAGCGAATGTAAGTAAGAAAATAATAAATACAAGCATTTTTTGATGCAAAAGGGTTGTTGAGAGGTACTTTGTAAAGACAGACAAGACATAAGATTTTTATTTTTATAAACAACAACCTGGGTACGAAACGACTTGGGTACGAAACGACCGACATTCAATATTTTTGGTTTCACAATCTACGCTACATATTTCATACACTGACGCGAAACAGAACGATTTTTCGTTTTCACGAACAGAAACGCAAGCATGTGGCTGATATGCAATTTGGAGAAAAATGCTTGGAAGGGTTTGACACGAATTTAATCCATCCGTATACTTGTGGACTTACACAAAAATTGAATTGAAAACCTTTTTAAGGTCGGTTTCAGTTTGTGAAAACGAAACGTACGGAGTGTGCGCATGCAGTGCTGGCTGTCGGCTCGTGAAAACGAAAATAGCCCGGTCCAGTGAAATACGCGCACGTGCTACGCGCAACTGACTGTCGGTTCGTGGTGTCGGTGACAAGTTGTGCAAACATTTCATACTGTGCTGTAATTTTTCACCACTTACTTGACTTCATTGTTGCAGAATTTGGTGGCCTGTGTCTGGTTCAGATAGATGATCCTAGACTCTGGCTCGGCCGGCGGGAGAGGGCTGAGATTGATCCCATCGGTCAGGTCCGTCCGTTCATCTGCAACAGGAAGAGAGGTTGGTATAGATTTTCATGATCGTGGTAAGGTTCTTCAAAAGCAAATTTATCACTTTGCTTGGTAGTAATTTTTTTCTAGAAAGTCAAGCAGTTAAATTGTCCAGGAAAATTTTACTTTGATTTTGTCCATTTATGACAATGAGCCCAATATGGTAAATTTAAAAACAAAGAAACAACAGCTTTGGTCTATGAGGGATTCCACAATAACAAAATAAAAGAATCGTGACTATTCCCGTTTTTTTAAGCCCTTTAATTTGTGTGCCACACATGGGTGAAACAAATATACTTCAGATTTTTAATTATTAAAAAACCATACATCGTCAGCTTTTTAAAAGCTTTCTAATCAAATCACATAGCGCTTCAATGGACGTGTATTGTTTGGCTTGACAATTCGATCAGCACCATAATAAACGGCGCATCACTGTGAAAAACAAATGATCATAATTTATGGGGCAGCAATTGCTGTGTGAAGTGCTTTTCCCTGGAGGGAAATTCAGCACACAACACACAGTTCAATGTCTGTGCACTCGTATTAACAGCGAGTCACCATAGCCACAGTCAACACAAAATCAATATCGCCACATGTTACCACAGTGTAAGAAGTATGTTTGCACAACATGTAGGCTTTATATCAGTTCCATATTCATTGATTTTTTTCCCCATGAATGAATTTCCAAATACAAATGTCATCACGGAGCATTGACTGATACTTGAGAGTGCAGGTACTGGAGAAGAGTTTATTGTGATACAAAATCGGCTTGCTTCACATGTTAATATCATAAACGTGTAAAAGTCTAAAGATTTAGTTTAAACATTTATTTTACCCAAGCTAAATATGTACATATATGCTGTATGGAGTGTAAGATACATGTACATGTACATATACCGGTACATGCAGACTTCTGAAAACCATCTTGTGTAAAATGTACACAGATACAGTACATGCTGTTGTTGTTGATGTGATGTAATGGCATGTTCGGCAAACTAGTGCCCTTTGTGCCATAAGCAATACTTCTGCGTTACAGAACAGTAGGTTAATCAGCAAACAAAGACGTTCGACATGAAAAACAAAGACACTTCGTGAGAGTTGTGAGAGAAAAAAGATACAGTACACACACAGTCCTTCTGATTTGAGGCGTGCGATCACACCCCCACACCATCGCACACCTAAAAGCCTCCCGAGAAGTGTGAATAATTGCACGCCTGAATTTCCCTGGACCACAGAATCACACACCTAGAAAACCACACACCTAGAAAAAACACACGCCTAGAAAAATCCAGAACCTGTGTGTCTTTTTCCACACGCCTGTGATTTTTAAATCAGAAGGACTGATGTACGTGCTCTCATTTCACCTACTGGATACATCTTAGCAGTTTACTGTCCAGGCAGTGCCAGGAGCCATTTTTAAATCAGTTAGCATGGTTAGCATATTACACAGACTACCATTTGTGCAAACAACTGCAAACACTGAACATAATTTAAATGAACAAACTTACCAGCTTCCATCATTTCAGAGTCGCCCAACATAATATTTTCAATCACTCATTAAACTCAATTTCTACACTTGCAAAAGTATACTTTTATGTCAGTATTTAAGCCATGCAACAATTAGACTTTGGATCCCACAAAATCCGGTCAATTACTCAAAATAAACAGCATGCAACACAACAAAACATCCTGTTTCGCACGAATTGTTGTTCAAAGAATTCAAACTGCATGTAAACCTTGCTTCCTCTACTGAACAACAGCTGATAATAAGATGCATTGCCAATTTGCTGCAAAACAAACGGCCGTGGCGTGCCGACCAGCCACTCTGCGCGGTGTCAGGGCTGTTAGCATCGGAATTATGTGGAATTTGCGGGCGGGTCGCGGCTGTCGCTGCTGGCGGAATGTCCCTGGCACGGTAATTATCTTCTACATTAATCAACCACACACAGGTTATCATTTCAGAAAGACACATATTAGCTGTTCAAGGGTCCTCATATCCGCACTATGCAATGAACTGTGTCCGTCTCTGAAATTGCCTGTTTAAAGGGGACCTGCATGTTGACATTGAAAATTAATCCAGCACATTTTTTTTCTGAAGTGTGAATTTTAAAGGAAACAGAAAAAGACAAATTCATTTAGCAAGTATAATGCAATATATATGTGTTATCATTATTTAAATGCTTTTCAATTGCAGGTGGGTGATTGTAAAATTCCAACTTAGGCCAAAACAAATAATAGTTCTGCTTCCGGTTTCCCTACCTACCCTATTCTGACAGCCCATACCCTAATTTTTTTATTGGAAAATGAGAAGAAAAAAAACCACCCAAAACCATCACTTTATACCTTTTACCCTTGACTACATGCAGATGCCTCCATATAATCGTACACAAAAAAAATTGGCAAAAAAATAAAAAATTCCCTACCTACCGACCCTATTTTCGAATGCCATGTAATCGGAAGCAGAACTATTTTTTGGGGGGGGCCTTATCTAACAACTTCAGAGACCGTTTGTAGGTTAATAATTTGCATTTAAATTTGCTGGTATAAGATAGCATTCTAAATATTTCCTTTGAACACGTACCCTGTATTTTGCTATAATATGAAATATGAATATTTACTTTTATAAAAGACATCAAAGATAAATGCAGGTAGTTTTTATTTAGATGTTCTACATGAAATTAAAGTATTAAAATGGAGAGCGTCATTTATTCAGAGACTTTTTTCCGGAATTTTTTTTTTTAATTTGTAATAATTCTCACACGTGCGTGTAAAAATGCTGCCCGCAAAAACATAAAAACACCATTATCGTAAAATATGACATGGAATTGTGAAGACAGTGACATTATTATCATCAACACTAAAAATAACAATGGCAAACTTGAAATAAATTCCAAATTTGTCTTTCCTTGACTGATAAAAATGCACTGACTTTCTCTGAAAATCAGGCTGCTTGTTGCATGATAAATTAACTCTGAGTTGAAACTGAAATGCAGAGAGCTGTCTCATGCACACTGTCTGGCATACACATTATCGTACATGTCAAATTTCTACATGTGTGCATTTTGGACCATGGTTTCTCTGTACTTGATACATGAAAATGACACATGCTACACGTACATTATTTAGTATTAACTTTCACGGCTGTTCTCACCTTTTTCATCTTTCACTTCAACAACTGCCCCATCTTTAGCAGGCTCAGATTCTGGTAAAGCACTTGCCATTTAGAATCATTGGCTTTTTTTTACACAATCCGTCAAATATTTGTTTTGTGAACAGATGTTCACAAACACGTATATATATCCAATAGCTCTTCACAGACTGCACACTTTCAAGATGACTAATACGAGACGAAGATAAGAGGCAAAAACTCGAACAAAACTTGGCCAACTCCTTGATGACTCACACCCCTTCAAGACAAGTTTCAAGACAGGGTATCCAGACTGGCCAATTAAAATGTTCCTGTGTTTTGTCGGAGTCAGGAAGTATGAGATTGATGTACAGGCTGCATGTAATGCATTGTGCATGGTTTGGCTGGGCTTTTCGTACAGTGCGCTTTTAGTGACATCTTAGTCACTTGAAACACTTGTACATTTGAACCTCAAACGAACAGGGGCAACTTTAAGCTTCTCAGGTTTGCAAGTATTTTGTTACAATATCTAACTCAGAGGCAGACTTGCCATGTTTGGCATCCAGCATCGACAATGGGTTCATTGAGTTAATTTATATCTGGACGTGTGGGACACAGTTGCATCACAGTTGCATCAAGGATCTTGTTGGATGATTCATGGTAATATGCTGAATGCATGTAGTTACACATGGTATATTTGTTTTAGATTTCTGTTTAAAAATTCTTGTTGTTTTAAAATTCTTGTGTTAAAATAGATCTACGTAACACTAACAGATGCTCAATAAATTCAGTGCTTTATTTATATTATGTTTAAATTGTAGTAAAACTTTTAAAAGCATGTTTTCGACAACTTTTAAGGCTGGCTCATACTTCTTGCCAAGGAAATTTGACATTAGCAGGAAATAGTTGTTTCAAAATTCGCAGGGGTTAGAATGTGTTCAACTTTTCAGAATTTGCAACACGAAAACTTGTCTGACCACACAAATTCACATTCGCATATTCATGGTAATGCGTGTATGCTCAAAGTTGTATAAACTGTACCATACTACTATCACACAGTAAGTTTTGTTGCTTGTGGGAGCAATCAACATACTCAACACAAAGCATTCCAGTTTGCTTTAAAATGATTGAGGCTAGTTTAAAAATAAAAATAAAAAATGACGATCGATATTCGATATGTACAAGAATGGACAATCCTGATTGTTGGAATTTATAATTAATATCGGCTGATGACATGCACAAGATTAAAACATCAACATTTTGTTAGGTGATAAGGTGCTTTGCTTTTCTTGTAGAAGTTTTTTTGGCAAACTGTCCCACCTTTCAGTGCAGTATCACCAAACTCTTGTGATTTAAGCATAAAATTGTGACTTGACCTTGATCATCTTCATTATGCTGCTGGTATGATAATATTTTTAAAAGTTATTCATTACTATTAAACATATTAAAGTTTATGCATGTTACTGTATGTTACTGCAGGTTGATTTGAAAAATGTACTGGATAAATATCGCTACGGCAGCTGTAATGCAATTTTAATGCTGTAATGCTGTCGTTACGGCATTACAAAACTACCATTGCGACAGCCAAAACTACCAACAGCAAAACCCATCCAACCAGGGTTCAACCAATCAAGCTAACGAAGCAGTAGCTCGATTGGTTAAATGTTCAAGTGCTATGCTGAAGATTCTGGTATCGAATCCTCACTGCGCAATTTTTATTTTTTAAAATTATATTTTAATACTTTCTCTACTTTTATCTTTTTTTCAAATCGTTCTTGCTATTTCAGTAGGCCTAGAATAGATTTGATTTTCTTCTTTGTAATCAGTGGCTCTTGATCCTTTAAAAAAAAGGGAGGAATTATTAAAGAATTTCGTTTAATAAAATCATTTAAACCATGAATTTATTTTAGGCTAAATCATATTTTAATTTTTATGGTGGTTTTTCTTAAGTTGCAGGAGGAAATTCTTTATGGCAAAACTGACGGTGATAGCAAAAAGAAAAGTTACAGGCTAAAAAAGTAATACTAATTATTACTAAGCATGCTAAGTAACTGAGTAAGGCAACTCTGCATATGGGCCGGGGCGACTTGACACTTTTAATAAATTATTGGCCCCCTGGCCCTGCACTGCAGATTCGTTTACATTGTCGATTGTACGCACGTTGAGTGACCATATTTACTCACCCTGAAAACGCCTGAATCCTGGCATATTGGCGCGTTTTTCTGGCTTCTTGCTTTCAGTACACCTTTGATGCCATCACACAACTCAATTTCAAACAAAACTAGCGCCGATCCAGGTCGTACATCTTTCATAGAGGGAAAAATATTCTATCGATGGTGACTTTTCAGTGACAATCCGCCATCTTAGACGTCGGGTGTTTTTTTTCTTAATGAATGAACATGACGTCATTATTATTTTCAGAGATGGACCGGTCCAATATGCTTGCACGGGGATGTTTGTACCCAAATACTGTAATAAGTTCACAATAATATTAATAAAACTTAACAAAAGATGAATTCAAACTTGCAGGTTTATGATTACTCTCATACCTAAATGTATTCCGTTTTAAGTGCTTTTTTTTTTAAAGAATGTGCATGTACAATGTATCTATACGCCACTTCTTTGGCTGTGCTAGTCTACGCTTTTTCAAAGTATTTTCTCAGTCCGAGAGTCACGTCTTTTCAACTTTTTGTAGGGGGCCGGGAGAGTCGGGTTAAATTCGAGGGTCAACATGATATATTTCAAAATTAAGAAAACATTCCAAAATGTAGAAAATGAATCGAGACAGTTAGTATTTTCAATATCCACAGTGCAAGCTGATGCATTGGAAATTCATCACATTCTGTTTCCTTTTTCCTGTTTGAAGAACTTTTTGGTCTATTTTTTTTAGTTTTACTTCCTCATTGTTTGTTGCATGACTTGCTGTCATGTGACGGTCAAGGGCATTATGGAAATCACTGAAAACTTTCGAGAATTTGTATCATTGATCTACAATGATTCCATCTTATGAATAATTTGTATATCTAGATTGGTACAAAAAGCATAGGGAAAAATGTGTACTGGATTTTATTTTATATATATTTTTTTTGGAGGGGCAATTTAGTGTTGAAGTCATGCATAGAGCAATATCAAGTTACAGCATAGGGAAAAGCTACTACACCTAAATTTTCATAACCTTTCAAAGTAAAAACTAATATAATTTCGAAGATGTGAACAAATTTGAAGGACTGTGTCGATCAGTGTAGTGCCCAACACTAAATCAAGTATTTCAATTTGCTTTAACTCAGAAAATAACTTTTTATATCACAAGAGTATACCCAGATGTGGACTCAAGACAAAGATTCAGAAAAACAAGTTTAAATGTACATTAAAAATGTTTTTATTACGATATTCCAGATTCTCATTAACAGGAAAAACATCTTGAATTGTTCAGAGACCCCCCTTTAATGCAATGTTGGATGATGGAGGTAAAACAAAAAAGAAAACACTTAAAACTGTCTGTTAAAATAAAAGTCAAACTTTTAAAATACATGGAATTCATTCACTGTATTGAAAAAAAAAATTAAATTAACCGGGTATTGATAAAAATATAAACATAATATACATAATGAAATCTGGTGAAATAGGTTGCAGGACAAATAAATATGCTTTGAAGAATTAAAAATTTGGACAGTTTTTGCACTAAAATCACCCAATGATCATTATGGACAACAAAAGCATTTATAAGACACGGCACCATTAAAAAGAGAAACTGTTTTTGTTCTAAGTGGGAATTTTAAAATGTGCATAGCGTGTTACTAGCAACAAGTGCGTTGGCTATAAAATGACTACTTCCCGACAACCCAAGGTTTTTGAATACAAAGTTCACATTTAAAACTGCTATAAAAGTACTTAAAAGGATGTCCTCAATTTTTGTCACATGTAAAGAGTGATGTTGTCAGTCTCGGAATTTAAATAACCTCATTTAAAACAAGTTATACAGATATTCATTTAAATCGTTAAAAATCATTTGAGGTAATCTCATTTTGTCCAGGTTTCTAGTATAAACATCCACACAATTTGGTTACAAGAGTTTATAAAAAACATGGTTGCTCTGTCTTCAGTTTTTAAAACTTTTCCACTTGTAAAATGCTCAGTAAAAATCAACTGGTGCTAAAAACGGCGTAATTTCTCTCTGGGAAACAAGGCATGATGGGATAGCTGCTATATTTGGACTATTTACAGAGGGCAGTGTTTGCTGTGATTACAGCCAAAGCTTAGCAGTTTTCTGTTACAAAATACTTTTACAAAAAAGCTGTCAGCTGTAACCACGGAGAACCCAATCAATTACCGACAACAAATTGCACTTGGTGAGAATTTATCAAAACTTCGCCAAATGGTTCAAAGATTTTCCTTTAAAACAGTTGGAACCTATACAACTTTTTAAAAGCCCCTGAGGTTTTTGTTTTGTTTTTATAAAACCAGGTGGCCCCAACACATGTACAACTAATTGCTATCAAGGTTGCCACGCCCCCATGGAGCTGTCATCAACTTGTCCATTTAACAAAGGGCATTCCTTAAGACATGGCCCCACAAATGGATAAACAAATTCCGGTTTACTCTGATTGGCTGAGGCTCCTTCCATCTAGCAGTTGATTGGCTCTCGCAGCGATACCCGTTGTCATGGCATTTTGCCAAATCCTCATAACCAAGAGGGCAGTGTTGTTGGGGCCACAATCATGGAAACACTGTTGTATCTGTGGGAAAAATGAGCAAGTTGAAGAGAACTCTTCAGAGTTGTTTTGCAAAATGTTTGGTAAATTTTTTTGAAAGTCTTCTTCAGACAGGTAGTTACTCATCTAACAACTTAATTACTACCCTTTCATGGGTCGGACAGTGCAGCCTGTAACTCACCTCTGCGATTTGTATTTCTCCTGGGCCGCCTGCTGGCTTTGGCTTGGTGCGTTCGTGAACGTCTTGAGTAAATCACGCACGCATGGAGCGATGTCCTCCAAATTGTAGCCAGAGTGCTTCGCAAGCATTGGAGTCTGCAGGATAAGTGGGAACAATTAATTCAGAGTTATACTTTTTGATTAGTTTTCTACATGTAAAAATTAAAACCTGTACATTTTGACAGGGTGTGAAATTGTAGAAATTGATGTTTGAAACAGAACCATTCGAATTGAAGAAACAAACGCAGGGTATCAAGGATTGAAGAACGTGCCATATTGCAAGCTTGTATCACTTGCAAAACGTTGCTTGTATTTTTTTGTCTCGAGGCACTCTACATAGGCTCAATACAAAGCACATAAAGATGTTCAAATGTCCTTACTTTTTTTAAGGGTTAGGAAGAGTTATGCTCAAGTACAGTGTCTGCTTACCCAGGCCGTTCCACTGAGCGTGTAATTGGCAAGACAGACGGCAGCTGCTGCAATGGTTGATGGGATATACTTGATGTACTCGCAATCTGGTAACGTCAGCTCAGCCAAATACTGTGGACAAATAGAGTTGGGGGGGGGAAATTATAATCATCATGAAATGGAAAAGAGCATTTGAACAAAGTGCTACATATATACTTCAGAGAACTTTTTCTGCAAATTCCATTCGGTAATTGTATTGAAAATGTGTATTGATTTTGGTTAGTCAATCACATGAGGCGTCACAACCCCATAGGAAAACTACATGTATGTATTGATTGGCGTTTATTGATCAGAAAGAATATAACAACTTGTTATTTCCATATACATGTAATAATTGATTTCTGTATCTACATAGTTTGAAGTCACAAGTAACATGAGTTTATCATGACAAAGGAAAACTGTGAGGGTTAATCTGAATAGCTTTCGAGTGAATAACCTTTCGATTAAACAGTGATTGACTCAACGATTCGATAACAACTCTGTAAAATCTGTGTTGTTTTTTATACCCTGGCTAGATGTTCCATCCTGGAGTCTGCCTTGGCCGCCTTCAGGTACCTTGACAGGAAAGCGTTGGCTGTGGGCACGGCCACGTCAAATGACAACACCTTCAGGATGAGATGTTCCATGCGTAGGACCTGCTTGACCGTGTACGTGTCGTCGGTGATGTACACAAACTCGTTGACTTCTGGAGGGTAAATCTCTTCAAATTTTCTATTGAAAAATTAAATAAATAAAATGAAAATCAATTCAACGTTGTTCCAGACGTTGAAATAAACAATATTTTGCTTTTACAAAATGATGAATCCATCACATGTACATGTAGAACTAATTTTTTTCACTTGCTTTGTTCTCACAGAACAATATTTGGCAGAGCAGATTGTTTTTTGTGCACATTTTGACTGCTAACTTCAAGTTGCCGAGCAAAAGTTACTTCCATATTTAATAGCTCTAGTCGATGCTTTAGGCCTGAGAAAGTCCATTAAGATTTCTCAGGTGGCATACTTAGGATAGCTGTAGCGAAGTCCATATGTCAAATCACAAGTCAATTGTAGACGTGTAAGGTTACAAAACAACAGGATGAACAATGACAAATGAATGACAGTGTCATGACTTATGATTGGCTTGGGCGGACTTGATTACAACTCCGGATGAATGGAAACGCTACTTACGCCGCAAGGAACATGCTGGCAGCGCCGACCAGCTGCAGCTTGGACCTGAGCACGCTCATCTGGGACAGGAACCTGTCGATGTAGGAGACGGCCAGGTAGAGCGTCTCGTTGTGAAGCCGGTATTCCTCGCCTACCTCGATGAGCCAGTCTACCAGGATGGAACGCATGCCTGAGGTGATATCTGGCTGCTTGCGCATGTAGCCAGGCTTGGGACGATTCCTCAACTACAAAGCCAAGAAAAGTTTTAGCAGATAGTTAGGCCCCAAAAAAATAATAGTTCTGCTTCCGATTACATGGCATTCTAAAATAGGGTAGGTAGGTAGGGAATTTTTTTTTTTTTTCCCGCCAATTTTTTTGTGTACAATCATATGGAGGCGTCTGCGTGTAGTCAAGGGTGAAACTTAAAAATTGATAGTTTTGGGCGTTTTTTCTCTTCTCATTTTGCCCATAAAAAAAATTAGGGTAGGGGCTGTCAGAATAGGGTAGGTGGGGAAACCGGAAGCAGAACTATTATTTTTTTGGCCCTAGGATTGACTCGTTAGACTTAGTCTTATCCTGAAAGGGAACATGAGTAATTTTTATGCAGCTGGGAAATGCAGCATGTCCTGTCAAATTTAGATAAAGTGATGCTAAAATGAAAATGTGGAGGGATGAGATAAAAAGAAAATGTAAATGTCCATGTATTCAAAGTAGTGTTCATGTATTCAAAGTTATCAGAGAATCTGATAACATATACCTGGAACTAGTACAAGCTCTTTGCTTTAAGGGTGTTTTTTTTTTATGGGGGGCGCTTGTTTTGTTTAAGCTTGTGTGCACATGACTTTTTGTCTTGTATTAAAAACAATTTGATGGTTGGGAGCACGGTGGACAAAAGTTCAAGAAACTTTACCCTGCATGCAGTGGAGGTATGTGCCATACCTTACATGTCTCACAAAGTCCAACAAAGCCTTGGTTATTTATCATGGCTTGAGTGGCAAGGCAAGATCTGCTTAGCTGGGAATGATCCCACTGTTATGTTAATGAGGAGTCCACATGCTGGCAGATGGTGAGTAAGACCCTTTGTTTATGTGCCTAACCCCACATTGCTATTTTTTTATTGCAGTGAAAGGACAACAGCTGATGAAAAATGGTTTTATTGTTGGGAAACTTCAAGGAATTTGTCTTGCATAACTCGGTGCTTGTTTTTATAAGCCCAAGAGCATTTTAGCTTTTGACATGGATAAGGGCCCAAGTGATTCAAGAGCGTGCTTCCCATTTAATGTTTTTCATAAAATAGGCCTGCTACGAGTATCGTTTCACACCTTTTGTTTGTAAATAAAAAAAATCTAGTACATCTCATCTTCATTACAATTGCCCTATCGCGGTAGAATCGCATCAATGCAGCATGTAAAATATTGTCCAATTGTACGGAACGCGCAACATCCAAGACAAACAAAACTTGGTGTACAAAAATCCCATTGGGTTGTGCAAGGGGCGTGGCTAACTCGCAAACGGCGATAGGTCAATTGGAGAGTATTAAGTACCCGCTTTCAGATTTGTGTTTTGGGAAAAATATTTGCTTTAACCGACTATCATTGATGTAAATAACAACGATATACATGTTTATGCATAACTTGCATAACATTGAGAGTTTATTTTTTTTGCTAAGTTGGACGGCACCAATCATATATTACCTCTGCCTCTCTTAGGTATTCGTAGATATCTTCTGCGTACTCCGGAACCCCAAACACACCGTCTGAGTTGTCTATGTCTTCTATCGTTGCTGGCGCCGTGTTCTCCTCACTGAGCGATGTGTCGAGGACCATAGGAGATGCTTGGTAAAAAGACAGTGACGATCAAAATGAGATCAATGACAAAATGCTTAATTCATTAAACCTGTGTCAACACTAACTGACTAACAGGAGTGAAAATTGAACAATTTGGCTGGGAAGTTCATTTATTTATTTATTTTTTTTAATTAAATCTCATTTAATGAAGAATTTCCCCTGTATTATTATTGCTTGGTACCCTCTCCCCCCCCCCCCCAATATAATTCAAAAATTTAAAAAAAAGTTTCCAAAACTTCTGTGACGCATTTTAACACATTCTGCCCAAAACAAAGCTATCATTTTTATAAAAAAAATACAGGGCCTATTTACCACTTTCATCGAGAGTAAAAACAGTTCTAAGGGGCTGTCTTTCTACTTCGGGTAACGAAGTCACAATGGGATCTAAAGGCAGTTCAGTAGGTTTTTGTTCCTTCAGGAATCGTGCCCGTGGTGGTGCGGGCTCCACCGGGTCGATGTGGATACTGAAGCTGGGCTGGGACGCGGTGGGCGGCAGCGCGAAACCGCAAGATCCCGTTGACTTTCCCGCCGCTGGCCTGGCAAAGGCGTTTTCATCCTGATAATTGTAAAAGCCATCGGCGAAACCAGACTGCAAAAAATAATGATCGAAGAGCAAATATGTTCAACTGAATACATGGTGATGTCTTTGATCTAAAATGTACAATGATTGACGATTTTAAATGCAGTTTTTGATGCATAAAAATTCTACAGTGACTGACCTGTTTAGCCGCGCGGGACGGCTGCTTTCTCGTAACATTTGTGCTTAGCGTTCCTAGGGCGGCTCTTTTGCAGGCTTGTGGTCCATTTCCCCTCCCTGCATCTTCCCTTTTCGTCTTCCTTGTCTGAGGACCAGCATTTTGTGAATTTTCCACGTCATAAGTCAGGGGGTTTTCACTGAAGGCGAAGGACATGTTGAGTGTTCACTTTGTTCCCGAGATTAACACACACGTACAGCAGCAGTTCACAACCACGTCTCTCTACTGTCGTTGCACGGCGAGTAACTGACTGAATGTTCACGGTACGTACGGATATGTCACGCGGCTGAAATACCTCTATAATATGGTTCCCTTCATTAAACCAAGGGCGAGATATTCCTGATGTCTTCCTCACACAGGATGCAGAATTTGAAGCATTTTGCATAAACGATTTAAGGGTATGAGCTTGATAAAGATTCAGCCTTTTGTTGACTTTCTGTAGATCTTTGTATGCGTGGAATGGAACAGCTGACATAAACCATTCATTCGATTTGAGTTCCCCGCTGCCGCCGTCGCTGGCCAATCACACCTCGTGCTGTCATCACGTGCATGGAACCTACCATTAAGGAATTGGGAGGGCGTGGCTTATTCAAGCGCCGTATTTTCTTAATGGACAGGTGTATTGGCAACGATCCCAAAAAATAATAATTTATACAGTTGCATAACATGATAATAATGTATACTATGTACAGTGCACTATATTGTGAGCAATTAAAAAACTTGAAAGCAACATATAATGTTCACATCTACCGGGCAAAGGATTATTTTGGCTGGTGCGCCACCAGCGTCTGCATGTTCTATCGATGTGCGTAATGACGCGCTCTTGAGAACGTCTGTTTTCGCGTTTCTTTTTCTTGCCTTTTTTTTCTAAACCTAAATATGTCAAAACAAATCAAACAGTCCAACAACAACAAGAGTGATGAATGAAGAAAGACTGGAAGCCAAAAATAGACTTTGAAAAGACTAACTCAGTCTTAATCTTTTTTCTTGTTTACATTTTAATTTTGTAAATGTAATTTATCTCAATGTTCGACCGCCTACCCCTTCTCCTCTTTCTTTTTTTCTGTTTCCTACTTGTATTCATTTTCGAACATTTGTTTGAATGTTATTAAGTAAGTGCCAAGGTGCAGTTTCCGACGAGTTCGGGGGGGGGGGGGGGTCTCCCAAAAAAACATCGCCCAAGAAGTGTCTTCTTCTTTTTTAAAGTAAATACGTCAAAAGGGGAACGTTGACAAATACAAGGTTGAGACTGTCAATTTAACAAGTCTAAAAATTGGATGAAAGGTCTGAAAGATGTAATGCTTTCTATACTCTTTCTCTGCGATTCAAAAAGTCTGATTTCAGACAAAAGTCTGAAAAATCTCATGACTGCAAAAACTTTATAACTTAATTCTAATTCACTTCACAATACGGATGTGTAAAACAATTACAAACAGAGATGAGCAAAAAGGGGAAGAGTGCCACTATCCATCGGCGTCACAAGGGGGTCGCTTGCCCCCCCCCCCCCGAAGAAAGGGGGGAGGGAAAAAAAACAAAAGGAAAAAGAGGTGCGAAGCCATATTGCTGTTTATTTGATGGGGACTGGGGGGGGGTTAGGGCAAATGTAAATGTTCCCCTGCCCACGCTCGGAAAAAAAAAGATAAATTGAGAATATGTTGAAAAAGTTAAGGAATTTGTGGGACAAAATGTGCTTTGCCCCCCCGCCCCCCGGAAAATAATCCTGGCAACGCCCATGCCAATAGAATCAAATGAAGTCCGTCCATTGATAGAAAACACAGTGCGAAGGGTAAGATACATTGATTGGTCAGTGGAATAAGTTCATGCTACTGAACTGTACAAAATAAATTGGACACTGTTTTTTGTTTGAAATTTTTAAAAGAATGGGGGAAGGGCAAACTCTGCACGCAAGAACAGTAATGCTATAAACAACAATCAATTGAAAAACACCATATCAATAATGACAACAAAAGTTGGTGGTTTTTTTTTCAACAAATGCATTTATTTAGTATTCGAATAAATAACGCCCCCAAAACTGCCAATCAGTCTAATAAAAATCTGTAACGGTTATCATCTAATGATATTTCTCAATATTAACAGGTCAATATAATAAAACACCAAGTAATAACAACGTCTCAGGTTAATTTGTACAAGTAGGGAAGTCGAAATAAAGCTAACATTTACAAATAGTACTATCAGTGGAATAGAAATATGTACAGGGTCTGGTACTACATTACATACTGCTCTGCTCTGAATAATCTGAATAGGTAACAATGAGTAACAGGTGTTTGGTATGTTTAATCTTAGTGACTGCAAAGTCAAAAACTGAAGCAGAATCTATATGGCAGGAATAAGGAACTATTCAACTCTCAGACCTTTTTGCATCAAAGATTAAAATTTTCAAAATTGGCAGACAAATCCTATACTGTTTTTCAATTAAATAGATTTCAAATAGAAAACTGAAGACAAATATTGGATTGATACAGAACTGTACACACAATTAATATTTAGCTGCTTTTGCAAATCCAGAATCAACAGTACAATCTGTTTTGGTATGTGCAAATGTACTATTTATGTGTTTTGCTAATTTTGTCGGAAATTATTAGTGCTTGGTAGTGAGCTGGAGTTAGAATATATCTCTTTTCACTTTATAAACACATGGAACAATTAAGTTCCTTTTAAAACAAAATTTATAAATTAGGTAAATAAAATATCAATTCCAACCATTAATATAAATGATCTATATAACAAAATGATAATATATATGTTAATATCTGACCCGCTAAAAACACACACACTATTGTAAAAAATTAATCAATAAATCAATCACATCAAAGAAAAAATAAGTCTTCTAGACAAATATGGTCATTATGTACAACCACAATGTATTTTAAATGATTTGTTAGCAGCTGGCTTTAAAATAAATATCTACAGAACTCAAATGAAAAGTTATTTTGTCAAGTATCAGTAGAAAAAAAAGTTTTAATATAATTGATTGCAATGTACCTCTGTATGGAACATGAAGAATTATAGGAAAATAAACATATTTCTGCTATAACCCTATAGCTGCACAAAAAAAGTAACAGGAAACGGTTGCCTCAAATGTGAATTTCAGACACAAAAAAAACACCAAGTTTCATGGAAAGCGTAAACAAAACAAATAGCCAACTCGTAAGTGACACCCAAGATTTGGAAAAAGAAATTATCAAAGTAGATCAAAGTAGCTGGTAATCAGTAACAAGTGTACGTATTTATGTGGTACAAGAAGCAGGGTACCAAGTGGAAAATGGCAAATCATGTCATTTGAGCTCTGTGGTAATATCAACAGCATTCATTCACCAAGAATGATAATTCAAGATTCCAAAACGGACGGTCAATATAATACTGTGACCAACAATTCCAAAACATATATTACAAATAATCAATGTTATTGCCTTAATGAGAAACATTTCATAACAAATAACAATTTTGGCAGAATCATTTCACTGTTGTTTAACTTCTGGCAACTCACACTTATCCAGACTTAAATTATTTTCTCAATGTGACACCAATTCCCCCGCCAAATGTGTTCTTTTAAAAGAAGAAGAAAAATGTATTATTCATTGTTGACATTTATTACAAACCCAACATCTATAACTGACTTCGGTATTTCAATTAATATTAAATGTTTGAAACTTGTTGGCAATCACTCTTTCATTTTCAATCTGTCTTTTTCAATTAGAAACCAAATTCCCCATCTCAATCTACACTAAAACACAAAATTTACACCACAAAATTATGACATAACCAGAAAATTTACCTCCAACGTTATCAGTTACGTTGTGGGAACAAACTCAGTTTGCAGAATATTCAAGTGATGAGTAAAACTTTATAACCTTATAACTTTATAACCTTATGACTTCAAACATTATAACTCCGAACAAATAGCTGAATCCTCATCAGTCAAATCAGACTTCAAAACTATTTACAAATTTGTCACTTATCCACATGAGTAATTTTTTTTAAAAAATCACATTTTCCCTCACAGCATTTAGACTTTTTATATTGGTAGGAAATTGATATTATGCTTTTCTATAAATGTTCTGGACTTATCCCAACTTACTTTTTGTTGACTATTTCCATTTGGAAATGGATCAATAATCTGTATGGGCAAGGTGCAGATGACTCCAAATTTATGGTTAGTATGTTATGTAGATTATTGACATGGAGTTACAAATGCAGAAATCTAATATATTTTGTTACTTTACATATAGTAATATTCAAGCAAGTGTCTCAGTACTGCGACTTGGGTGGCTCCAAAGTCAACGCATTCTTGGAGCCATGTACATCTTAGAAATGCTTACTTATACATGTATGACATAATTCTGTCCAAGACTACATTATACTCAGTCAACTATTTCTGTTGTTATTAACACATATTCCATTGTTTGCATAGGAAGTTACTGACCGTATACTTACTTTTAACATAGTCACATTTAAATAATCACTGAAAAATCTTTATGAAGTACTCGTAGGTTTCAGTGCCAAATCTAAAAGAAATCTTCCATCAAGTAAATGCAGCGTGTTTTTTTTTCGTGCAATATCTTTTACATGTCCTGAAACTAGTTAAAAACAGTTTTTTAAACCCCAAAAAACCTTGTAATGTTTAAAGAGGTAACTGTTGATTATGCTTACCACAGCAAAATATTTTTTTTTCAATGAACATATTGGAGTTCAGTTGACAATTACTGTCTCTCTTCTACACACAGCCCAAGTTTGTATTTTTCTCCTACATGTACATAATCGCAGTGATACATCAAACACCTTTTGCCTAGCACAACATGCACACACAAATATATAAAAAGAGTTCTACCTGTTTATAGTAGTGACCGCAAAATGCCAACAACAAAATAAAACCATTTTATGGCAACAGTACAACATATGTCCACCTCATGACTATATCTTTTGACACAAGATTTTACATTATTTACATTATATTACATTTGACCGAGCCCATACTAATGTTCTAGGCTTTTTCTTGCAAAGGTATGTAGGTCAAGGATATTCACTTAAACATTGTGTACACTAAAGACAAGGCGTGTGATAACTATGAGCAAAATTACTCGATGCCAGAGGATAAACAAAGGCAGAACTTTATTTCTCGAAATGAAGAACTGCTTGAACGATTACAAACTTAATTTGTTATATATATCAGTATTGCTGTGTGACTGCAATTATCTCCCATTCTTCACACATTCTAATAGGGTGAGTTTTTTTTGTACACATGGCTTTCTCGTACAACACAATAAATTTCAAACATTCTGACCCCTCCTATCATTAGATTAAAGAATACATCATGATCACAGTAACACATTTCCAGATAATAAGTAGAGCCACTTCATTGATTGATAAATAAAAACAACAAAGTGTTATTGGTTTTTCTTCTTGTTTTTTTTTTTTTACACTACCAGTCTTTCTTGAAAGAGAACAAGTTTGTTGTTGTCAAGGTGTAGCACCTGTTCCAATTTGTAACAATTTGATCCAAAATGTTAAACAATTAAACACGATTTTTGGGGCAGTCCCGAAGGTTGTTTTAGTTAAAAGTGACAAACCAAAGGTTAAACCTTTTTTCCCCCCAGGTTTTCTATTGAAGAAAGAAAAACAAAACAGATTTAACTTAACAAAAAAGAGAAAACACAACTCACAAACATGGGAACTATATAACAGAAATACAAAACAGCAAAGTATGTAGAATTACATTGCCTTGGGTAGAAATAATCATGCAAGAAAAAGAGACAATGCATACCTGTAAATACTCAGTCAAAATTAAGTCTCACAAGTCACACTTAAAAAGGCTGTGTTTATTAATTTTTTGTTTTAATCTATTCCTGAAACCCATCAGCACACATCGTTGAATGAATATAGTTTAACATACATGTATTATATGTACATTCACAAGTTGATTTTAATTTTCAAAATTCTATTGTCATTTCAGAGTAACAATTTTCAGCAATGCAACACGTGACCTGGCTTTGAGAGTTCATTTTTGTGACCGAGTACATAATCTGTGGTCAGTGAATGACGCCGCCTCCTGCGCACTGCTTTGAGGCTAGAGTAACGTGGACTGCAATTCAAGTGTTTACCTCTACTTCCCATGCTTTCCCAACCACCAGTGAGATGCATTTGGAGGTGCATGCCCACTCCTACTGTGCAATACATACATCCTAGGATGTACCTCTACAGTGTTCAAACCTCATGGGCTGCATGCAGTGTTCTGGATTTGTGCCTCATATAGATAGTATATCATATGCGGTTCCATATCATGCTTGCGGTACTATTTTTGTACATCTGATTTCATGGGTCCTATTCCACTAGAAATGCCATTAGGGAGTGTTATGAGTTTCCGCTGCCGCACTGTCACGATGACTTGGGCGCGACTCCTGCCACTGTACCATTATTATTATTCTCGCTCATCTCCTCCGTACCCATGACCTTTGACCCTTTCCCTAGCTCCGCCTCCCCCGCAAGCTCCTCCTCAGTTTCCTCTGACAGGTCCACGCCAAACTCTGTGGATCCGTTCTCGCTCTTGAATGGGATCTGAAAGAAGTCGATTGAGTTGGCGCTGCTGAGCTTGCGCAGGTTGCTCTCCCGTTTCAGTCGTAGCCACATTGTTTTATTGGCCTCGATGTTTGTGACCAACTGGAGGACCGACGGGAACACCTCGGCCAGGATCCTTTGACGATGACACATATTGACCATCATTTTGGCAGGATGTCATTGGCAGGAAGATGACGGACCAACCACCAGCATACAATGGTGAACAATTGTATGATTTTGGTTTTTTTGGTGGCAGCGGTGGGATTATACCAGGGGGTAGACGAGGGAGAAGGAGTGTGTGCGTGAACGTGCAGGTAGGGTGCATTGGACGACGGTAAAATTGTTGGTTGACGGACACGGTGGACGATGAAATGACAGCAAAGGAACAAAAACAAAAAAACGAAAGACATTAGTCAGTTAGTTGGTTAGAAGCTGCCATCTCTTTAGATCTAATGCGACTAGTTATGGTAACTACTGGTTTGCTGTCTCGGTTTAACATAATCCGAATTGTATTGCTAAGTTTTTTTCTCTTTAAAACTAAGAAAAGAAACAAATCAAACAGCAACTGGTTAATGAAAACTGTGGTTTGCAGAACTAATCAACCACTGACAAACAATGAAACACTGTAAATAAGGGAGGAACACATCTGGCAACTAGGGTAAGTTGGAAGCATTAGTATCAAAAGAAAATCAAGAGTCAGCCTTAGAACCCAACATGCAATGTGATATTCACCTGGCCTTCCAAAAAGTGACAGTTCAAAAAGAAAAACCTTCTGCAGTCTAGCAGTCACAGTGATGGTGACTGAAAACCTTTCCCGATCCCAACATTTTGGATTGAATAAATCTCCACTTCAAATAATGACTATGCAAGAAGGGAAGACTATGATCCCATTTCAAGTTCAAGCTTGTTGGCAGGCCTAATGAGTACCACCTAACAAACAAGGTGTTGGCCAGGTCATACTCTGTGCAAATGCAAGCTAAACGGTGATCTGTGACCAAAAAAAAAATGTATTCCCACTACATCTTTAAACTCCAGTTAATTTTGTTCCTAGTGTTTCGTGATGTCAAATTTGCTTAGCATTCACATTCAGTATGAACGGACCTTTAATCCAACAGGGAATGTTCTTGAAGGGAGTGCCATGTGCAGTTCCATGTCACTCTTCACTGAAAATTCCAGCCTTTGAGACCGTTACCGAAAGTTACATGCAAATGTAAAACCTAATTGGCTTCAGTAACCACTTGCTCCTCAGAGCAGGGGATAGGTTCTGTCTCTAGATGTGACAAGGACTGTTACGACACTCCCTTGAAGGATCAAGTGGAACTGACATCAGTTATTGAACAGAAACTTGTCAGGCTTCAAAATGGCATCAAATCCATCACAAGGGAAGGAATACAAGACAGTTGAAAGGTTCAGGATGGAGATTTTTGTGTTAATTGAAATCGGAGCCTTCCAATTGAAGGGGTACATTGTGAATCTGAGAATCAGTGATCAACTGAGAAGGTTAGCCAGCTATTGCTGCCCTATATAGGGACAGTATAAATAACAGAAAGATTCACAGTCTAACAGGCACCCATCTGGACACAAGCCTCTGTGACTTGTGCATAGAAACTCAAAACTTTTAAAAAAAGAAGGAATCCATGACCTTGCATATAGCGTTTTAAGTATTGTCTGTGTTTGATTCCTTCCAGTGATGGATTTGGTGATAATTAACAGTGAGAACAGAACTATCTAAATCTAAAGTGCATCAGATAGATTATGTGTGGTTGTTGGTCTTGGTTTTCTTGGCCTCTTCGGCAGCCTGCTGGGCCCAGTTATGCTTGTTGGTATTCATAGTCTCCACCAGTTGGCTGAGAGGCGCGAACAGCTTGGCCAGAATCCTGTGCACAGGAGAGCAAAGGAGAAGGGGGAAAAAGAAAAAAGACTCGAACTGTATTGCTGGAGTTCACCTCTCTTTTTTTTTATTCCTCATTTTTCTGTAGCTGGGTAGATGGGATGACAACGATGGAAGACACACGAACACATGTGATTGGATGTCACACAACACAACAGAAACCTTGAGAAATGAATTTGCACCTTTAACAGAAAGGGAATTTAGTACATGTGATGGAAGGGGAGAAAAAAATTTTTAAATGAGGAACAAAGTTACTGTGTATGCATTCTGGAAAACACTGAATGGGGTTTGATCATGGCTGGACTTTGATTTCCTACGCTGAATGCAAAGATGCTGCTTTGATATGCTCCAATGGATACTGTGCAGCAATAATAGTTGTCTGTGTTCTTCTCACAAGAGCTTCAGTGTGTGAAGCACACAGTGCATGCACTTACTGGTTTGCACACCTATTGTGTAGAGTACTCAACCAACTTTTTACCCGTATGTTCCAAAATCCCCCCCCCCCCCACCTTGACAGAAAATGTGGACTGATTCAACTAGCGAACTTTCTGTGGAGCCTTACTACATGCATTTTAAGAGCGATACTTTGTCCACTCAGCCAGTCCCTCACTGCCCCTTACGATCACCCTAAACACCGAGTGAAACTTCGCTCCATTGCAGCAAGTCACTTGCTCTTGAATAATTATACTATCAGTTACACTTTGCCCATGCATCATTGAGCCCCGAACTGATCCCATTTTTCTGCCTTGGTCCGCTGAGTGAAACTCGGCCTCATCAAGGTACGTTCGTCACTATTTTCAATACAATCAATTACGCTCTGCCAACACGGCATTGAGCCCCCAATTGATCTCCCATGTTCCACCTTGATCCACAGAGCTAAACTTTGCCTTATCGCTGCAAGTCACACGCTCCTGATTAATTATACGAGCAGTTACACTCTACCCACGTGGCATCGAAGCCCGAATTGTTACACTTCGCCTTTTCGTGGCAAGTCACTCACTCCTGATTATACTGGACGGCTCTTTGCTTTCTCTACTATGGTCCACGGAGTGACACTTAGCACCAACGCAGCAGGCAACTCACTCCCTATTTTCTTATTCCCCTTCCACTGCCCCAACTGTGGAGTGAAACATAGCCCCATCGCAGCACTTCACCTTCTAGGCAACTCCCTCACTCCCTATTATACTAGAGGGCGAAGCATCTCTCTATTGGCTAGGATGGTTGTAGAATAGGGAGTGAGGGAGTTGCCTAGAAGGCCAAGTAACGCTCTATTTGCCGGGGTGGATGTTGGGGGTGAGGCACTTGCCTAGGGGGCAAAGTGTCACTCAGCAGTTTACAAGGCAGTAGATCAGGAAGGCACGAATCAATGCCATGAGGGTAGAACGGCACCGGGAAAAACTGTTCGAAAGACGCTCAAAGAAGACTTGAAGGAATCTAGGAATGACTTTTAGACTTAGCGAACAGGACTGGCTGACAAAAGACGTCAAAAAAGAGCAAAATTTGGAGCTCTGAAAAGCATGTCTTTCATGTTGTGCGCGCTAAGAGTAAAGAGAAAGTGTCATGGTGGACGGACCGCAAGGTACCGTGGAAAAATCAATTTAAGCGAATCGCTATATAATAAGGCTCTAGTCTACGGGTAAGACGAGCGCAATAGAATCATGGAGCTTGCTAAATGGCATTCAAGAAATTTGTGATCATCGTGGTAGCAATGGACTTATGACACAGCTTTGCCAAGTCCAATACTTAGGGTGAAAACCGACAAAGCACAGGTCAGGAATGAGGTCGATTTGGTTACCAAAATGGAAAATGAGTACAGCGTATTTCATTCTTAACTATCACTAAGTTTTCCTCAAAGTTTATACATTTATGACCTAATATGAATGTATAAACTAAATGCAATCTGCAAGGTCAAACACAAAAACGAGGTTATTTGCCAGACTGAAATAAAATACTGATATGAGGGAGGGAAAGCCATTCTGTTCTAACCTGGTGAAAAAAACTGACAACAAACGTGGGTTAATGGTACTTACAGGGTTGAAACAAAATAAACATATATAGGGTTCCATTATGATCACACTGCAATGCATGAGGGATATCCAGGTTGAAATATGACTGGGCTTTTGTGGAGGGAATTGACTAATGGTCATGTTTAATGAACGGGATTTAGCTATGCTTCAAAACCCTTCCAAATGAAAAAGAAGTACAATAACATATCAATGAAAAGAAATGACATGCTCTGCAAAAACAATGAACGTATGTGACAATGCAATTTGTGAATTCATGTTAAGTCATTGGAATGGTAAAAACACTCATAAATTGGATTTGTTGTTTAATTTTGGGTGTTTGATACTTTCAACACGACTCTTATAAAAAACGGATATTGTTTAAAGAAGACAACCAAAAAATAGTTGACTATTTCTTTGTTCAGTTGGAATGACACAGTTTGTTTCCACGTTAATTTTACATTGTTCTGCCCTGCACCAAATCCACCCTATGCCATTGCTAGTGGCAGAGGTTGTGAGGCCAAAAATACAAAATGATGTGTTTCTGGAACCCAGAATGTCAGTTTATAAACTTCACTTTTTTATGTAATTTTAAACGAAATAAAAAACTTCCCCCGACTTCCTCCAACAAAGGCTATAGTAAGGATGGAATAGTGTTCCTTCATACAAGCAAAGTGCATGTACCTTTAAGCAATAATGCAAACCTGCCCACTTCCTATTTTTAAATGTCAACAGAAACACACAATTTAGTTTTCTGGCCTCATCTTTAAAAAAAAGAAATCTGATACTCACTGGTAGACAGGCAGAGCGATATGATTGAGAAAATTGATCTGCAACTCGGGGATGCAGGCCTTCTCTCTATCGTACATCTCAGGGGTTTCCATACCCATGGCCTTTTCTAGGTCTCCTTGGGTGAAGAATTCCTTGTAGATCAGCTCCTGATTAATAGGCAAAATATGGAACATTGTGATGAAATATTGACTGGTAGTTAGGGCAATAGTAATGCAATATTGACTGTTGTGAAAGTATTGACTGGTTTTCTTTCTGTCCAAACATCACAGGGTCCCTATACCCATGGCCTTGTCATTGTTTCCTTGGGTGAAAAACTCCTTACCGATGAGCTCCGATCCAGGTTTCAAAATATTGACTGGTTGTGAGGGCAATAGTACTGAAATAGTGACTGTTAAGATAATATACTGACTACTTGCGAGGGCAATAGCACAACACCTTAAACTTACATTTTTAGAAGGATACCTGAACAATAATATCCTATTATATTTATAAACACATATAGACTAGTAAGGAAAGTAATATTGACTGCTAATTGTAACAGTATAAAAACATTGTTCCAACAATAGGCTGGTATAAAATTGACTGATTCTGAAATAGCTTTCAAAAATTAAATTTAAATATGAAATAATGGGAACACATATTGACTGCTGCTAAGAGAAATAGTTTTATATAGACCGGTAACCTAGTTGGTGGTGTAGGCAATAGTAACTTTATATAATGAAGGCCAAGCTTACCGCTATTCTCTTTGTGGTTTGCCAGTTCTTGGTCTGATCTGAGAGGTCACAGCTGGTCATGAGTAGACACAGCAGTAGCTTGTGGCAATGGGGGTCCTCTACCTTATAACCATCTGAAACAAACAAAAAAGCAGCAGACCTTATTTCATTTCAGAGATTCTCAACACATTACACTACCAATTGTTTGCCTGCAAGACGTTACTGTTCAACTTCATCTTATTTTCAAGAATTCAACTTCATCTTGTGTTTAAAAATAAAGTAAATTAACATGTTTTTTTCATTTCTAACAGTTTAATTATGCAACTTTTCAGTGTGAACATTGGACTTCTTACCTTCAGCCATCTGTTTGAGCTCTTTGATGATGCGTAGATGGTGAGCCAGGTCAGTAGCTAGGATGATGTCTTGCATGAGGTCCAGGCCATTTTGATAATCCTATTGGACCAAACAATACAATGAAACTTGAGTATTTGGAAGCATGCAAAGTCAAGATTGCTTCTCATAATGTGATGAAATGGATATATGGGTGCACTATCTTCTTGAATCAGCATGTGTAGAAGCCAATAAGAAAATGCTGCACTTAGATTGCCACGTAGCAGAAGAAAGTCTACTGCCAAATACTAGCCACATATGTACAATGGCACTCAGGGGGAGGTGGGGCGGGGGGTTTCCTGGGGATATACCTATATGTTACACCCCCACTCACAGAAGTGTGGGTTAATTCTACAAGCAAGTAAATACCAAATCCATTCCAAAGACACTCAAAGAAGACTTGAAGGACGCTGAAAAAATGACTATGAGACCTACTGTACAAGAAAGGTGGTTTGCAAGGTACTGTGGGAAAATAAATCTTAGTGAATGGCTAATGCCCTCAGGAGAGGAAAATGCATAGTAATGCTCTACAGGTAAGATAGCGCAGTAGAATATATGGGGTATTTGAGGATCTGGGTACGTAGTGGGATAGCTGTGTGGCACCTGGGGGACCAGGTGGGCCTTTTATTCAAGAATCTAGGTGCATCTGGGATATCATTAGGAAAACCTGTGGTATCTGGCCAACCTTTAGGGTACCTAGGGTATCTTGAGGGATCTGGGAATGACAGGACCAATCAACCAATGCAAAATCGTGCTATATATCAGAACAATTTTAACACTGTTATAATAAATCTCCACCTACGTCTGTGGACAGGTTCTCAAAGATGTTGCAGCCATCTGTGTTCAGGATGCACATGGCCTGGGCAAAGTGATGTCTCTGAAATGAAGACATAGTGAAATAATTTGATTATCTACAAAAATAGCATCACATGGGTGTCTGGAAAGTCGTCAATAAGAAGTGCAATAGTAGCCCATTAGCAATTAACATCAGCGTTTAAGTTTGAAGATGGAATCAGCCAGGAGAATGAGGTCAAATCTCACTAACTTACACAATCAAAGAACCATCTATCCCTCCAACACATATTTCCACCAGTCTTTATAATTTCAAACCTACCCCTGCCCTTACCCTCCCATTTTTTCAGCTGTAAGAATTCCTACTACTACACATCTCTTTCTCAGGAGTTATCACAGTTTGCTTACCTCCATGACTGATCCTTCAGAGCTGTAGAGTGCTGCCAAGACTGATTGCTGTAAGCAATCAAAATCAATGAAGTCAACGAAATCAGAATATCACAGTCATATTGAAAACAATCTCATGGATCTGCTAAGCACAACATCTGCTTAGCACAATCACAGTTTTGCTAAGAACAAAAGGATCACCAGCCAAAATGTCATGCACTGTTTACTACATGTGACTGCTTCCCAGCCGATTTTTAGCTGCGGAAAGCAGATCAAGAAATGGCCGTGTCTCTCTGTTAGTTGGTTCGTTGGCTAGTTAGTGACAAATGTCAGCAACAGCCTTGCATGGCCATAAATCACCTCGTCCTTCAGGATGTTTGTACTGAAAACACTACTCCTTCCAGAAATTACATGGCACAATCACGCCACACATGCATGAACACAAATGCGTTGGCCCGCAGCTTCCGAGATCATCTCAAGCTTGGTTTCTAAGCAAAACAAAATAGTTTACACTATTATGTGCTCAGACGCTCCATGAATTGGCCCTTATCTCCCTAGAACAAGCAGTACGATCAGAGAGAGGATATGGAGAGATTTTCAAGATTTCTGAGCTAAATGTGAGTGGGGATTTACCGAGTGGACTTGGAAGCTATTGTTGGTTCCTCTGTGGTCCAGATCATGACAGATGCAAGAAACAAAGAGGGCAAAGATCTCAATATCCCTGTTGGCAAAAAAAAGAAAGGGTTTGTTTTTAATTATTTCCACCCAATTTTCTCGGACCATTATACTAAATAAATTGTCAATTTCTTAGTTTCCTTAGTGTACAAAAACACCACTTTGTAACAAACATTTATTAAACTGGTACCCACTTCAGCATATTGAGCTGGTTGAGGTTCTTGTAGAGAAGGAAACAGAAGTGGCCCACGGAGAAGGCATGGTACCAGTTGTGGTAGGGCGGGTCCCGATAGCCGCGCCTTACTAGCTGGCAGAAGTTGACCAGCGTGGTGTGACGGATGCGATACCGACTGACAAAACCCATGTCGTAGAACATACTCAATGTTGCCTGCGAAGGAAAAAGGACACAGTTACATGTAAACACTTATTCAAAAGGGATGGATCCATGTTTTTTTGAAGGTGGAGGCGGTTAGCTCAATATTGTTAAAGGCAGACCTTCACATAGGGGGCGGGTATGTATGGGATCACGCACCCCAGAAATGTGTTGAAATCAACATGCTTTCTCCTGCAGTCGGGGGCATGTTAAAAGAGAATCTACTTGTTATGCACTGGCGTTGATTAGAGTTCTGTTGGTGTGGAAGGGGGAGGGAAGGGGGTAGTGATTACCCAACTCAGTTTCACAACTACAGGGATTGTACCAAGAACAAATATAATTTCAGAAGCTCATTCCTTGTTTCAGTAGGCTGTGTTTTTTGTTTTGAGATGCTTCCTTATTTTTAAAAGTATTGTTTGATTACCACCCTAATTCTTTAAAATCACCTATAAGCAAAGAGAGTATTTGTCTCCGAAATTTCATACGGTTCTGTCGCTGTTGCTATGAAATAATGGGAATTGAAACACGTTTTGGAACTCATGATTGTACATATGCAAGATAAACATTTAATATAATCCAGAGGTTCAGAATGCAGCCAATTTCACGGTGTGTGCTTCATACTCACACTGATAGTCTCTCCGTCAGGGATGCCTCTGGGAGAGTAAGTGAAGCTAGCCATCTGAGGATGGAAGGCTTCCGGCTTGGGTACTGTCTCCTTGGACATGATTGACTTGATGTCATCCTCTGCACCCTAAAACATGCATGTAATACGAGCATATCAGATACATGCACTCGCCAGGTACACAGTCCAGAATCTGGACATTACATTGCTCAGCATGATTTTTGCTTAAATATATATTTCCACGAATTAACTCCATGTTGAGCCCATATTTCTACAGTACAGCTTAACCAGTTCAGGCCAAAAGCTGTGTATACACGCAAACGTTTTGCGTTATTCAGAACGGATGACAGATAAACACGAAGGGAGCGAGGCTGGAAATATCTGTCAACGACCCGCCCGAAAGCAAGCGAGGCCGGAAATACGAGTGAACTGCCCGAGGGTGATGGCTTCAACCCGCCTGGCTTGAGGTCGAGTGACAATAAATCACAAGCCTCATTCCGTTCTTGTCAAAATAATCCCGGCGTGAACTGGTTAAGTAGCATCTCCTCACAAACTTGACCACCTGTAATGCCGACACTGAAACACTGCTCATTCAAGTCTTCATTCCCAGCCACAGCCTTCAGAACAGGCAATGCTTACAGCTTATTTGAAGATATTGCGCAGGAAATGCAGAGTATTGTGTTCATATTTTTGTGTTAAACCCCGTTTTGCTTTGCACACACTCTTTGACTCAGGACCGCTCTGCAAAAATTTCGCATAGGTGGCTGCTTCTGTATTGGCTTATGTTATCAATGTGCACAGGGTAAGTCAAGTCAGTGACATGCAAAGCAATGACTCTCATCCAGGTGAAAAACCCTACCCCAGGCGGAAAGACTGATGCAGCTCCAGTGCTGGAGGGCTACTACGTGCAGATAATGGGCAATGCTTGTTATTGCGCCCTAGTCATCCTTTCGTTTCTCACTTATAATGGCTGCCTCCAGGTGTTTCATCTCACATACATCGTGCTATTTATTTTTTTAAAAACATGCGCCCGCTCCTGGTTGTTTTGAGTGAAAACGCCTTAATCTGTGAGCCTTCTGTCATTATAATGATGTGATCGTTCTCTATTACACGTATTGAGTCGACGACAACTTTACATTTGGCACGTTTTCAGTGAAAAACTGTGATGTCTCCAAGATGGTCGAATGAGAGCTACATGACCAGCTGTAACCTCGGCGCCTTGAAAATCCCCTTACGTAATTTTAAGCAGTAAGGCTCCGAAAAGCAAAATGGGGCAGTCCCTGGTTTGATAACACGTTGGATATTTACCTTCATGTGGTACATCATAAGTTCATTGGCCAGCTTGCTGCGATACTGGGCATCCTTCATCTTCTTATACAATAAACTCTGTCATAGCGGCAAAGAGGAGAACAAGTGAATGTTACACATACAATTGCAGTTGACTCTGAATAAAAGTGAACAATTTTAGTTTAAGAGATTTCAAAATCAAATCCAGGTCAAATATATTTCTGCCAAATTATCCTACCGTCGCTGAATTGTAGTAGCCAAAAAAAATTAAATCATGCAGGAGAAATTGAGTGCCTAAAGTTTTCCGGCCATTTTTTTTCTTCAGTACGGCCACAATGGCATCAACTTAAAAAGACCAAATCCAAATGTTGACAGCCAACTTTTAGAAGCCACTTATTAGTGGCCAGTTCTTCCTCTACTTACATGTACGATGCTGATGCCACAGTAAATGGAGAATACAGCAGCCACTTCCTCATCGTGTTTCGTGAAGTACAGACCTGTAAAACGGGAAAAATTAAAACACCTATTCCATCTATTCACGTGCAAAAGTGCTCACTTTAACACAAAAAATCAAGTGTAATTTTAAGCACTGTCTTAGTGGCACAGTGCACACATTTTTCAAGCCGTCCCTGTGAATAATTACTGTTCAAAAGTCGGTTTTATTTTCTTACCGTTTACTTTGTTGCATAGCTCAGCAATTCCAACAACAGCTGAAATTCAAAAGAGACAAGAAAACATCATTTGTAAATTTCCAAAATCAACAATGAATAGTTTTCAAAAATCAAATTACACAGTGAAATAAATGTAGTTTATTTTTCCCAGTTTAACACTGAAGAAAATGTAACAATTTGAATCATGGAAGTTGGTGTCAATTTTAAATAGAGATGGAATTCTGGTTCTGAAAAAAATCTAAATATTTGTCTTTGTCAAAAGGCACAAGAGACAATGTATATCACACATTGGCAATCTCAGAAAGTGTCAAATTTTAAAAATGTATTATGTGGAAATATTTGACAAAGAGCTTTCATTAGAGCGACAACAATTCATCAGAATAGGTCTACAAACATCGTTTCTCAAACAGTTTGATAAACAGGTGTTTGAATGATAATGATTACGCACAACAGAAGCTGTAAGGAATTAGTATAAAAAGTTGTGTAACATAACTCGTAAACTTCAAGCAACGCAACTTCAGATGAAAGGTATTGATCAAAAACACAACACAAAAAGCATCATGGATTAAAATATATTAAGCACTGACTTGGAGATGTCCGAGGTTTTATGGATGTAATTTTACAAAAAGCAATTGAAAAACATATAAGTAGAAGAGAAGACATGTAAATCATAAACATGAAGTCATACACATGCATGACTATACTGTTTAAGCACTGCCTTCTGAACAATGCTGAATTTGCTTTTGAGGATCTTGAGTGCTTAAACAATGTATGGCCTTACAGTAACAAACCATTACAATAATGACGGATACTATTTACTAAAGTAAGTCCAGGTACAGATAACCGTGTAATTCATATTCAGGTTATGCTATAACTTGCAAGCAAGCTTAGAATACAGCTATACTGGGAACGATTCTTCATATAACACAACCCTGGAGACATCTTGAAGTAATGAATAGAAAGCACATGCTCCGAGTGCACAATGAGGCGTATCCAACAAGTAGGCCAGAGATAAAAATGAGACTACAACTGATGAAAGAAGCAAGACCACAGAGGATGGCCTTTCATTATGGATGGAGGGAAGGGACAGGAGGCTTCTCATAATAACTAGGGCAATGGTCCTTCCAGACCAATGTTAGCACAACTGGGCTTATTTACGGATGTTCTTTGTCGGCATTTTTTTGGGTTTACATCCCCAGGAACACGTGTTTTGCGGAGAACGTTTTCACTGCAGTATCCAGGGCACGTTTTACTCAGTTGCATATTGAGGGGGGGGGGGGGGGATGTTCCTGTCGGGCACTTTCAGTGAGCTTTGTTTTAATGCAGGTGGCAACAGGAACGCCTGGGGGAAATGACAAAGCCAATTGCAGGCACAGGGATAAAGGTAACTAGAGCGAGGACAGCCTGGGATGAAAGAAGATGCTAAGATGGTTTCTTGGATTGTAGGACAGCAGTTTACACCTTGTTTCTTAGGACAACTCAAGATTCTGCAATTTGGAAAGTCGGGCATAGGAAATACACAAACCTAGTGGGGGACACGGTGGCAACAGATGGGACAACTTTTGAGCTGATGAATGGAGATGAAACATGGTGGAATCACATCATGCAAAGATCCTTTGTATGAGATGTTCAATAGGAAATTGCACGTCCGTTGCTGATGGCCAGCTACACACACTGACCCAAACTATGCGTAATGCAGCCCATGCCCAACGAAGGAGCTTTTACCACAGACAGCGACAATAAGATAGAGGAATGCATCTGAGGGAGGGTGTAGGACATATGGTCCTCAGGTGCCCTGTAATATATTTTTTACCGCTAAGGACATCCTAAGGCACTGAGTCAATATTAATGACAAAATCAATGCGTTTGTAATGCTCTCATTCAAGAGTAAAAAGAAGATTGCTTAGTTTCAACCACACACATCAAATGGTTCTATTCAGAATGTCAGAAGGCCGTTTTGTTATTTTTGTGCTTTTTTTCATTCTAAGATTTGCATGTATATGTATCTACCATATAAACTAGTAGCTGCTTAAGGGACGAGCTTTTGGTAAAAATTCTAAGACTACTTTCCTTGTGTATTCACACATGTCGAGTTTGACACTAATTTACTTCTTTTTTTTACACAGAACACACAACGATCAACTTGTTAGTAAGCAAGTGCAAACGTACAATTAGCTACATGTACAAGCACAGTTACCCTCTTTGTGAGGGGAGGTTTTTTTTTTAATTCTTGGAGGAAAGGATGGGGAGTCAGTTAAAGGGATTCTTTCTCTCAAAACAGTGACATACATGTACCTAATTCAAACAGTTTCTGCTTTGGATGACTAAATAAAACAAGCTGTTAATGTAAGCTGGATGAGATTAAAACAGATTTCTCTTGTTTGGTCTAGTAGCTTATAACTAGCAAAATAACAGCAATGGGGTATTTTTGCACAAATGACTCTCACACAGTAAACAAGCTGTCAGGTTTCACATCAATCAATTATAAAAAAAAATCAAACTTTTCATGAAAAAAAAATCCAAACAGCACACACGCATGCTTTTTATCACCTTGTTTTCAAGGGATGCTTAGTTTTGTTTAAAAATTGATGCATGATGTGCATGCTAAAACTTAAAGGTTTGCTTCGCCGGGAGATGGGATGAACAAATTATCATCGCAACTAACCGTGAAGGCCGGTGCAACGTTTACCGTCCCCAACACACCAACAGTCTTTCAACTGTGATGAGTCCTTGTGGAAGACTGAGGGACAGCTGGGCTGGCCTGTGTGTGTAGCAGAGAAAGAGGTCCATCCCTCACACACGTGAATATTCAATAGCCAGGTCAAGCCAGAAACAAGATGCATTATTCATGAGGTGAAAGGATTCTGATGAATATGTATGAGGTTAAAAAAAAAAAAAAAAAGTAAGTGTGACAAAAATGTTTTTATGTGTTGATGAAGTGCGAATACAACACATTCTGTGGCGTGATGGATGGAGCCAAATGGAGCCCAACAAAATCATAAGGTGTTATGAAATTAGACCCTGACACATCCTTCTTCGTGCATAAGAATACAAAAGTGATATTATTTCACTATTCTTCTTCATTAAAACAATATTTAAAAGTCTGACTTACAGACACAGCAGTACATTGATTCAAGTATTTTATGCAGCTCAATCTTTTTATAAGCGGGTGGGGACGAACCAACAACTGACTAAACCAGATTTTGGGATTTTTTAAGGGAACATTTTTCCAAAACTCAGATTAATCATGCTGATGACTTAATCAAGTCCATTTTACCAGAATGCTTGACTTCAGAATTACCCCCTCACAATGATATTGTCAGGGAAAAAGAGACAAACGAAACCCAACTTTGACTGAAAAGAGTGAAAACAACAAATCACGCCGATGAATATTGAAATCAAGGCCATTATGAAAAGACTGTTTAAATCAGAATTCCCCGGACTCCCTCATAACATCATCAAGGAAAAACAAATCACGAGCGCCATCAAAGCAGACGGTTTGATGGCCTGATCGGGCCTAATGAAGCGGCTGATGATCCAGTCAGGTGTTCAGTACGGTGGGGACAAGACACAGCAGTGAGGACAACATGTTTGTGCCTTGTCTACTGGAGCAGAAAATGTCCACCAAAATAAGGAGACAGCATAGAGGAATATTAATCATCCTCATTGCTTCTTCATCAGCCTCTATTTTGGGACAAAAGCCTGACAATAATAAATACCACTGATTGTCGACCATACTTTTTTTTAACAGGGGTTCAGTTTTGTAATTAACTTAAATTTGATGGTTGCGCTTAGATGATTGAACTCAGAGATTGCTGTGATAAAAACAAAATCACTCAACCCTACTCTGCAATGAAAATGAAGGTCTCATGAAATGAAGCGAAGGTTGTTTTGGGATGGAATGATTCTGATGAAACATGATGGGGTAGGTCAATAGTCGGGAAAATATATTAGTTTCAAACCTGTGGATTCATCGGGCTTTGAAGTCTACTACAATAAACGTTGTCAAAATGGTTTGTTATCATTGAAATTGAACTAAACAGAATTGATTGTTTTTTTTTAAATGAACTTTCAGTTTCAGTCAAAGCACTGAATTGAATTCTTTGACCATGTTTCACATAAGAGTTTCTCTAAAGCCGCTTCTCTTTTTTGTTTGGCTGATGTTCTGTCCAGAGATTGGTAACTAGTGCACAGTGCAATCTCATCACATGCCCTACTGTGTCAATCCCAGAAAAGGTAACTATGTCATCACGCCTCAGGGAATTCCCCAATTGGACTTCTTGATTTGTAGAGGGAACAAGCAATGATGGGACTGGATTGAACTCAATTCAACTGAATGAAACAAATCACTTCCCCTTCATGATTTGACTGGGATGGGATGAAATTCATTCATACACAGAAACTTTTAAATAAAACCAAAAAAACAGGAGGATGGGGAATTGGATGTGTTTTTTCTTAAATGTACTGAAACAACGTTTGAGCATGGCACTTCAGCCTGTGCAATCTGGTGAACTTGACAGCCGTGAAGATGGCGCACAAAACCTGAAGCGTGAAAAACAGCAATGTGACAATGCACTTCAGGGACAGTGTAAACATGTGTCCGTGACATGTCACAGCAAAACAACACTCTAAGACATTCACGTTTGTGGATAACATTTGGGAAGTGAAGGCTGGGGTTAACTGGGAAAGGGAAAATAAGATCGGTTAATGGAGGCTTCAAACAAGAAACATGTCACACCAAAATCGTTAGCTCTATGGTTACTCCTGAAATGTTTAATCTACTCATTGAATCAGGATTGGATAGTTGCCAAACAAAAGGAGAGTGGAGGCTTCAAACAAGGAACATGTCACATCAAAACCGTTAGCTCTATGGTCACTCCTGAAACGTTTAATCTACTCATTGAATCAGGATTGGATAGTTGCCAAACAAAAGGAGAGTATAAGTCTTCTAAACAAGTCTTGATGGTGCAGGTTTGAGGACATTACATGGACAACTGCTCAACAGAATATCTTATCTATCCAGGAACACAGCAAATACTCAGACATCTGGTGGAGAAATCAACACCATGCACTTCCAAACAAAATATCAAAGACGGAAACTTGAACCAAACAACCTCTAACAACAGTGTAGTAAGGCTTCAAGGACAGGAAATCAACAATCAAATACAACACCCAAAGTTCTCTAATTGACTTATCCTCTATTTTGACACATTTAAAAAAAAATAAGGGGACAATCCTATTTTTTTTTAATGAATCACTTTTCCAGGACTCTAAATTCTCAAAGGACCTCAAAAGCCCCAAAAGGCAATGCTCGATGCTAGGTCCTACAAGATGCCACTCATCTCAGCGGCAAGGCTTCCTGTTAAAGCTTGCCCTGAAGTGCTTCTCCAAAACTCTTCACAATTGGTAAATTTCCATTCTCCATTTATTTTTCAAAGATTCTAATACCCTTCAAAAGGAAAGCTGCAAAATTCCACATTAAAATATGCGGTCGGAATATATGAAGGGCAGATCTTCAAAGCAATAGCTCAGCGGCAGGGCTCCTTGGAAGACACCAACTTTCAAGTAACTACTGCTGACAGATTTTCACAACAAACGCACAAAAACGTTGTGGTAACAGCCCAACTAACATTACAGATTCTTATTCTACATCCATCTCAGCAGCAGGGCCCCTGAGAAAATCTCAAACCAAAACAGAAAAGGTTCACCTCAGCTCAGTGTGAGTTGTGTTAAAGGAAGCAGTGAGTATGGAGATGAAGGTGATGCAGAGAAGATCTCAGTGGGTGGTTAGTTCTCGGCAACAGATGCTTCTCTTTTTTTGAGAGAGAATGCGAGGATTAGAAAAATTGGCTAATAAATGTGTCCTGACCTCCTTCTGCACACTCACTTGAGCGATCCTTGATGGGGAAGCAGAGGATGTTGCGGGTCCGGAAGCCGGTGCTGTTGTCCACCCCACGGTAGAAGAGAGGATGCGAGTAGGCGTCCTTGATGTTCAAGATTTTGCCTTTAGGTTTTGGGAAGTAAACAAAAGAACAGTTTATGAGAGGAGGCCTGTTCACTTTCCGGCTAAGAAAAGCAGACGTGAAAACATTACACGCCTACGATTGGGTTAACTGAATTGGCAACTGTGCAACCAAGATTTTCAATTGTATATAATACAGCATTAGAAAACTGTGGTAATTTGAAAGATGTTACTTTAAAGACATTGATGGCAAATGATAATTGGTGACTGTAACAATTTCTACAATTTTATTCTAATTTTGGTACGTGCAAAATGAAATCTACTCTGAATCAGAATCATTTCAGTGACATCGTGACAATTTCTCTAAGATGTAATCCGGAGTTCTATATCACATGACTAATTTTTCTCTTACCTGAGAAATACAAAAGGTGGACAGACTATGCACTGAATTTTGGACTTTCCAAAAAAAATATGCATTATTGACAGACTGCCAAAAAAAATCAATTGGCTGTAATTCTAAGTCATTTTGGTTGACCGAATGAAATTATCAGGCATAAAAGAGTCAGAAAAGGGGTGGACAAGGGTAAATGAAAGAAGTTGGGGTGTGGCTTGGAGGGAAAGACAAGAAAGGAAAGCAACCAACCAGTTGTGGCTACATGTCCAGCAATGCCCTGAGTGATTGGTATCCGAACCTCTCCCATCTCCTGTTGAAGGAAGAAATAAAAATAAAAGCAACAGCATCCAGGATCTAAGATGTAGTCCAGAGCCCTGCAAGCAAGAGGATCTAGTAACTGCAGTTAATGTGTCAGAGCCAGTGCTTTGCAGTGGCAGGGTAGAGTGCAGCGACTCCACAATAACATACAGAATACAAATAAAAAAGAAATAATATGAAGTACCTTTATGTGCGTATATGCACGCACTTTCTTTTTACGGAAACAGTTCACAATTAACAGTTTATGCTGATGCATGTGCTTTCCTATGAAGAGCCTTTATCAGCTATTTCGTTATTTAGAAATGGCAACTTCGTAATTTAAAGTGACAGCTTAAGTCGTCATTAGATCACACAAAATGATGGTCCATCCGTCGTTCTTACAATATTCGCTCACATGCAAAACATCTCCATTATATTTATTACTACAGCTTTTATTGCTCAGGTGAGGAACTTGATTAACAATGATTATCCCAGGGTTCGAGTGTGACGCACGTACATCTGCGAAAGCATCTTCTAGTGAAAAAGGACAAGTTATTTAAGAAAGAACATTTCCTTTGGCTTAGAACTCCATGCACAGGCACGGCAGTGATCATTAACACTGCTCTTACAATTGTTACTGTCATTTCAAGGGGAGGAGGATAAGACAAGGGATTTGTACTTACATCTAAGACATGCCCATCAAATACTTTGGCTACAAGTTCATCGTTCTCTACAAGAAACAAGGAACACCTGCAACAAATTCCAGTTTGAAGAAAAAAACAATGAAAAAGATTTGAGATAAATGAATGAAAGCTGAGACTAATTAACAAAATTCTGCAGATGAGATTCATAAAAAACAAAGATGAAGAATGGAGGGAACTTCAGCAAAGTCTGAAAAAATCAATATCATATTATTTGGTGAGACGTCAGGAAATATTGCTTATGTTTGGAAACATTTTGCAGCTAAATAAATAAGGAGATTTTCTGCTGACCTTTCTGCTTGAGTCAGGTTCCTTGCTTCCATCATAATTTCCCTCAACAGTATCCGTACATCATCTAAGAGAAAAATAGACGGGATTCCATAAATCAATCAAATGGAATTCGAATGGAATCACAAAACAATTTGCAATAAAGTATATTGACTGATGGTAATAATTTTTTCATTTTGCAACGTACATTAGATGGAAAAATGTCAATTACAAAGTTAGTTTAATAGAATTACAGGACTTAACAAATACAAATGAATTATATACATGTTACTGTTAACAAGCATTTAAGGGGGAAAGGTACATTTTTGAAAAATAGATTCCAAAAACTGGTAAGCTTGAATTGAAAAACAAACACAAGAAGGAACATGGAAGTCTTTAAAAAATATTTAGTAAAGTTAGAATGCAATAATAACTAAATATTTATTGGAAATTCACAATAACTTTCAAATTATTTAATATATGTAATTAAGTAAACATGAAAACCCAGAGTAAAAAATACTTTGCTATTAAATACAATATTAATTAAAAGAAAATTCTGATTGAAACTGCACTTAAACTTTCAGCTTCGTTATGACTGATAAATTTTTTTAAACACTGTTAGTGTAAATGCACATTATGTGAAAGGTTAACAGAAAAAAAAAAAAAAAATCACGGTTTTGCATTTCTTTTGATGCCAACGGTCTTGAATTTTTCACAGAATGCAGGGCACGGACAGCACTGACATTAAAGAAACAGTGTCCAGCCCTGGCTGGAATTCAAGCTAATAAGTGTCAGAGCACATCAGGGTATAAGCACAACCGAGCTGTGAAAACATGACGTGGGAAGTGCGAGGTTGGGGCCTCGGGCCCGAATTGAGGAAAGGGGGGGGGGGGGAGGAGGTCGCAATCTAGGGGCCTGAGAGGGTGGAATGCTAACGTGATTATACTGAGATTGTACCTCAGGGTGCCATGTTTCTGCTACAAAGGTGGGTCACAAACAGGATCACGGTGACGTCAATGCCGACGTGATTCTTTGTGTAATCAACTTGTAATCATTGTGTATTTTTTTTTAAGCTGAGGCAGTGACAATCACAAGTCCTTCACCAGTGTGTTCCAAAAACACAAACAATCCAACTGATTCACATGTATTGCTTTTGTGGTTTAAAATTGCCATCGTCGATTTTGTGTATCTTCAAATGTGAAAGAGTAAAGATCCTAATATAGCTTTGAGACAAATCTGGTAAAATTAAAATACAGAGATGTAACAAACGTAGCATGCGTACTGTAACGAAAATTCACAATGGAAGCTGCACTGCCGCACGCCCAAAATATCTGGGCAGTCTTATGCAAACTAAATTGAAGCCAGACATATGTCATGCATATAAAAATCCAATTACGTTTGCATCTCTGGCCAGCTTTCCTGCATCAGTGCTGCCAATGATGCACCCGGATGAACGATTAGTGCACTGGTAATCACAGGGCGCATCCGGTCCGCAATGTATGAGAAGTTGAACATTTCCATGCGTAATTTTGGCCGTTGTTAGATTTTCACAACTCACTGCTTGAGTCACACTTCATTGGCATAACTGTAGGAAGTTCTTTTGCAGCTTAAATTTGTGAGTTTCCTTTGTAATATGTACATGATCCTAATGTATTATGTATATGATTTCTAGCAGTATAATTCCACATAGTGATGGAGTGATGTTGAAACATTTTTTTTTTTACCTCTCTTTGAGAATGGTCTGGTAAATGTTGGTTTTAATAAGGCACACTGGGACAGAAGTTATGGTGTACTTCTAGTGTTATTTGTTGTTTTTCCGGACATATGATTACATGTCCAAACAAGTTAACAAAGGAAGACTTTCACCATGAAGTTTTAAATATTTTGAAGAGGTTCCGGCAGAGTGCATAAAGTACACAGCTGAAATAAGACATGATGACACTTGTACAAAGAGTTCAATTTTGCCTGCATTAAGGTAAATCCCACACATCGAGTCCGGTCAAGAATCATCGGAAACTGGACAAGAGTTCCGTAAGGGTTCCACAATAATGCTCCAGCAGGAGAGACGCACACGGCTTGATATTCAACACCACACGTCTGAGAAGTGGCAACAAACAAGTCCATTTGGCCGGCACTTATCACCGAGTAGCACCTTTAAGCCATGTCACTCTGACATCTCTCTCAAACAGCAGCAAATTCGATCCTCACCCACGGACACACACTGCCCGGCCGTCAACAGCTGCACTGCCACTCAGCCCGGATTTGGCCATTTTTGTTTTTTACCACCCCACGTTTTGTAACAACAACAGGCGCTGATTGGGTGGATAAGTCGGATTACGATTCTTTTTAACAACTGTAACGTTTGTGTCCGTGCAGCCACGGGGAACGTACAAGACAGAAAGCCAGGTGAGAGAGGAGTTGCGACTTTGGACAGGAAAAAAAAAAAGCGAACGAGGGAGTCGAACCTTGTTGCCCGAGGGGGGAAGTGGGGAAAGGACGCAGTCCCCTAATGGAATTGCCAGGGAACAGAATTTGCATGTTGATTAAAGAAAGAAGGGAGGAGAGGCAAGGGGTTTGAGGGGATCACGGAGGCTTAACATGGGCATGATGAAGGCTCTTGCGTGATGGATTCACCTCCAAAGGGGGTGAGCTTTCTGGCAAAAGGGGAGAGGATTCGGGAACAGGAAGGAATTGGATTTCTGCAAACCTGCTGGCTTTACTCTTGCTGATAAGCAAATGATAATTTCAGCAGTAATATTTTGGCAAATGCATGCAGGACAATTCTAAATATGACTGCAGTTAGTGAAACTCTATTTGAGGAGCCATTTAGGTGAGTGAAATTGATACTATCACAAAGACTATCACAGAAAATCAAATATAAGAAGTGAAGAAAACGAGTGTTCAATTAATTTAAAGTGATTACAGTGCAAGATAAGAACAGCATCAGAGTCAACTTGACTCCAAAAGTCTATAGTCTTAGAAAACTGCAGAATGACATTTCTGTGTATACTCGTAATAAAATGTGTAGAAAAACTACGTACATGGACCAGCCATGTCAAAGACACTCCAATGTGTCTAGACATTCAACACTCATTGTCGCCCACATCCAGTGCTTGCTCAATTAAGGCATCCTTGCTACGGGCGAATATCATTTTTGGGTGTTACATTTCGAGACATTCAACAATGTTGGCCGCATTCTATGAATTCATTCCAAATGCTTTTGAAGTGCACTGCATTGATTTGAAAGACAAGTGCAAATATCAGGTTGACTGCCCTATGAGAACCTGTGGTTAGATTTAAGCTGAACTTGCTCTCTGATGAATCAATATGTCCGTGAGCAAAACAACGGTGACATTCTTTGCAGAAAAGAGCAAGCAAGTTGACAATTAAAAAACAACATTTGAAAGCATAACGGACTTCAAGCAGTAACCTACATGTACTTTGAGGGAAAATGTTCAACCTCAAATTATCGTAACTCAATCTCAAGTGGCTGAAAATGGATCTGAAAAATGAGCCAGTGTCTCATGCCAGGGACCTCAAATCATGAAAGTGGAACCTGAAGTTGAAGTTGGATGCGAAAGTAAGATTGAAAAACCCCTGGTCAGGAGGGGGGGGGGGGGGAGAATTTGGAATGGTTCAACTCTGCGAGATGGCTCGGCAGCCAGTAGCGTGCGTCATAAGACGTACGGTTGATGAATGACATACGCAGACAACCGAACGACCATTTAGATTGAAGAGACAGAAGTCGATTGATGACATCAATCTCAGAGAATCCAATCACCCAGAAGTAAGATCGTGGTTTATGGCCAACAAACTAATTCAATTCTGCTATCCAGTTACTGAAATTCAATATTTAGTGGTGGTCTTAAATGTATTTTTGGGGTTTCTTCAAACTCAGGAAAGGAAATTGTGCAAAATTATCGTCATCGTCGAGGCATGTGATATTATTTCATTTATCCAAACAAGCGAAGAGGGTTGTGATGACATACAATTGTGACAGAACAAACTCTCGGGATATCTCTCACAAAATCCTCCCTCTAGCTGGATTATTATTTCAAAATTATCATTTCAAGTGTTATTATGAGTTGTTACTCGTGAATACAGCTGTTTGAATGGGATAGGAAACAACTGCGAGTGTACATGTAAGTAATCTAGCATAAAAATTATGGTAGTTTGAATAAAATTGAGAATATGCCCCCAAAAATGTTGTCAAGCAAACGAGTCTAGTAACTCAACTGAGAAATTCATGAAAGAATTATAAGCAACAAAAAAAAAGTTTGAAAAATATAGTTGTATATTATTAAACCAAACCAAATCAACATTTTAATGATCTCTTTGAAGATGATCTCTTAGTAATGAACCAAACCAATCAAAATTATTTCGAAAAAAAATTTGAAAATTGACAATCATTAAGATTAGTATTCAAGATTGAATGAATTTTAATTGCAATCAACCACTAATTCAGTGCACTGATAACAGATGAAAAGCCAACACTTGGATAACTGAACACAAGAATACAATTAACATGGCAAGTAAATTGCATGTAACTGCTGGATGAACACTGGAAGATCAACCAAGAAATCAACAATCAACCAAGAAATCCACAATCAACCAAGAATTGAACGATCAACCAACTCAGAAATCAACAGCTTATAGTACATACAAGTTTCCTGCAACAGAACAGAGGGCGGCTGGTCAGTGTAGTGGACACTCAGGGTACCAGGGGACCAATCCAACTCAAGAACACTGCCCTGTCGACTTGGTAACCCTGCTCCTGATTGGCTGTCCACCTCTGCGGTCTCCCAATCAGCTCGGTGAATGGATGAGGCAGACCCTGGTTCTAATTGGCCTTTGGGGCTTGGGCGATGTAGGAGTATCGAGGGTGGCGTTATATCAGTGGTGCTTGGTTGGGATCTCTGGGTGCCTGGTAAATCAGTTGATGAGGATTCCTGACTGAAATGGACATGCTGTACTACCTCGGTGGAGGGCACGCTCTCTGGGTCAAACAGTGGATTGGCGTCGTCGTCATCATCATCGTCATGGCTCTGGGCGAGTTTCTTCAGGGAATCTTGGAGCAGCTTCATGTCTGCCTCATCATTTGCGGCTTGGAAATCTTTGGCCTTCTCTCTTGTGCCAAGGTGTTCGTCCCAGCCACAGGCGCTCTCATATTCCAGGCTGCCTGACGACGACGAAGCCAGAGCAGCTGGGTCACAGGTCGCAGACTCAAGGTCATCTTGGGGTGGCGTCAGACCTCCAGGAGCAGGGCTGTAACTTGAGTGGCCCAGCTCCTCCAGAGCATTGAGCGTGTCCCTTTCCATTTCGGCAAGGACCTCAGAGGATGGCAACTCCTCAGTTGGGAATGCTTCCAACTCAGACAACTTTCTCTTCTTTTGATTCTGGAGTTGTCTGAGGGTATGTCTGGGAGGCGGGGACAAGCGTGAGCCACGCCTACGCTGCCTGTCCTCGGCCGTGGGCTGTGCTGGATAAGGAGCCACTTTGGATGGACGGCTGCGCCTCTTCTCGGACGCCAACCTTTCCTTGCTTGGACTCTGTCCTGTGACCCGATTGGCTAGGGCTTCCTGTGCTTCAATCTGATTGGTCAGCAAGTCAGCACCTGCCAACCAATCAGTCACTATATTCTCTTCCCCTACTTGGTCGGGATCTTCTACAGGTAAAGGGGGATAGAAATCTAATCTACTGACAAAGGGGTTTGGGGTGGGCGGGAATTTGAACCAAGCGGTCACGTCATCATGCAACCTACCTAGATGTGTGAAGAGGTTCTTGGCCACTTGAAGCATAGACTGCAAAATAAATAAAAGGAATGAAACAAAATCAGATTTACCATGCAACAGGTATGTGTAAGTCAACTTACTAATGGAAAGTTGCTAGGCTGAATTTGTTGAATACATAATTTGGTTTGAAAATAATAACGAAAGTGGAAATAAATAATAGTACCACTACCTATTATTTCCAAGAATTACGAACAATAATGAGATCGGTAACGGAATGTCTCATGCCCACTTTTACATGCTTTTTCCTGTACAATTTCAACCTCAATCTTTAGAATACCGTACTAGTGCCTTACCAACTGAACGACAAGTATCCAGCTCTATGCTAGCGGTCTTCAAACACTGACAAATTAATGCATTGGTTTGAATCTCACTTTGGTCAATTACAGGTATATCCCTTCAACCATTCTGATATTTTTTTTAATGAAATTGTGAATGGAATTCTTTAATTGTGAAATTTGTAAGTAAATGCAACTCCACAACGTGACTTATTGCAAAATTCAATAAAAACCCAATTAGAGTTCTAGCGGGAATATTCACTCTCCCGTCCAGACAATATTCCTGTTTCTGAGCCTAACATATCGGCTTGCTTTACGCAACGAGTTACGAAAACAAATTGGAGAGAAGAGCTCTAATGGATCCGGGCATGCATATGTTAAAGACACAACGCACGGGGCAATGCCCCGAGTACATATCCCTTAAGCTAACAAATACTGCAGGAAGACGAGGTTATTGTCATTAACAAATGCACCCTTTGCTTCTGGCTAGTTGCATTTGCATCCCCAAGTTTGTTGAGTGTGAAATGTCTTAATGCATCCCCAAGGTCTTCAGTTAGGACAACATTTTTTTTTCCTTATCTCTTTTTCTCTGTAATTTTTCATTCAGTCGTCTAGATCTGAGTGTTGTGAGTGTTCCACGAACACTCACTGACAAGGCTGATTCCATTTGGTAATGCAAACTGCTGAGGAAATGGCTTTCATTGAGAAAGGTTCATGTACAGCGTGCTAATTCCAACTTCAAAGTTCCAACTTCAAAGTTTGCTTGAAGACAAATTCATTATTGCGCTCACGGAACACGGAAAATGTAGTGCGTCTTGCGTCCCACATACCTTCGGCCTCGTGGTTTGTGGAACAGCACTATATTATTCAGTGTTCCACTCGCACTCGCGGGATAACTAATAATGTACCGACAGGCTAACACATTGAAAACCACGGTTCCCATTGTTTTAAACGTAATGGTTCATTTTTTGAAAGTCGCAGTTCACTTTTAACGACGTTTGGAAATATTTATTTAATCAATCGAAAAATGGTCCTTTTTAGATCATAATGTGTACCTGAACAAAAAGCATGTCAAATCTTGACACAGCGCGAACTGCACTGTACGTGTAGAACATTCATATTACGGCGGCCATATTTTGAAGACTGGGGGCAAACTGGTCAATAAGCAACATAAGTTAATGTACGGTATAATGGGCATAGCTATCCAGTCAGTATGCATGCATAGTGGGCAGTGTTCCATACCTGTGTTTCTTGTTTGAGTTGCCGCTCTTTCTGCAATGACATGACACTGGTTAATACGGGTACCGTGTAGCGGAAACAGTGCCTTACAACCTCCTCATCTTCCTGCCCAAATCTAGGGGGGAAAAAGTACGACACCAAGATACATTAGTATAATAGTATGATCCAAAACATGTATGTAAAACATGCAAGAAGCGTTCTCCCTTCCCTAAAAAGAAAAATCGCCCCCGCTATGAAGTATTCTGCTTGGCTGCATGGCAGACAAAGATCTCATGAGAGCAGTCAATGAATCGGCCAGAAAATTGGCATTAGATTGGATTAGCTACAGCGACTGACTTTATCTTGCGGCTTTGCCAATCAGTCTTGCTTTGCCTTGCAAACACATATTCAGCAAGGGCTTGCTGATTTAATAAAACTTTTTTTCATGGGGGGGGGGAAGGGTTTGAGGTGATGAATCAGATTTAGAGATTAATTTCCATCCTTCTTGGAAATGGTTAGCATAAGTGTCTTGTATGATAATGACTTCTAGCCTTAGGAGCATCATGGAGGAATAAAAACACATTCAGGAGTGTGTCGTAACTTGTTTCCGTACACCAATGACTTTTGAGCCTTTCAGCTAGTCGGTTCGGTGGGAAATCAGCTTTTAGAACTTCAGGGAATGGCTATGGCTCATGAGCCAAGTCTTTATCTTTTAATCTTCTTAGTACACAGCATATTTGTGTTGGGAAATTTAATAAGTCTGTAACTCCATTAGCTGAAGGTTATTTGTATTACATGTATGTGACAGGGTGAACACTGGACAAAGACCGACCAGGGCTTTCTTTTCTTTGTTTTGAATATATTATCAGAACTTGAATGGATTTCTTACTTAGTTTTCCTTGACTTTATCTTAATATCTGATCAACATATCTTTCTCATACTTATCTTAAACCTACGTTACATACTTGCTTGCTTGAATTTAATGAAATTTTGACAGTTCTCCAATAGGGGGTGTTTAAAGTTTTGCCAAAATGACAAATTGATTTAACAAATAAAGGCAAACTTTTGAGATGAGCATCTGACCTGGGTGCTCCAATTTTGTTGATGCAGCAGGCCACGGCAACGACCTTTGACCTCGCTTGGTTGATGACGGGGACACAGAGCAATGAGTCGATCTTCATGTCCATTTTCTGTTCAAGCTCTGTTCTGCTGTTCTGTTGGCAAATGCACAAAAACAAGTAGGGGTTAAAGATTGTCCTAATATACTGTACATGAGAATTGCGTGTCTACATGTACATGTACATGTAGGCTCAAAACTTATACGATATTGCACATGATTGGTGTGGAAGTATCATTGTCAGAATCCTAGGGAGGCTTTCAAATCATGACTTTGTCTACAGTTTTGCGTTTGGGAGATTATTAGGACCCTGAGTTTATGGGACGACAACCCAATACATGTCCATATTGTTCTGCCTCTGGAACTGAACTTCTTATAACATGAAGCCACACGTTTGGGATATTTCAATTTGGTTTGGACATTTCAAGGCTTCCAAACAGTTCTGGATTGACAGGTGGATCTGAAGTGTGCAATTAGCCCAAGGTTATGAGAACCTCATTGGAGCATCTCAAGTAAATCCAAGGGTGGGGAACAGTGTTTGAAAACTAGTGAATCAATCCTAAGAGTCCCTTTTGCTCATGTTAAATTACACATGTACTTCACACATCAGGGCCCAATTTCACGGCGCTGCTAAGCACACAATTTTTTGCTAACAGAGCCTCCATCTACGTGTATTTCATGGAGACCGTAAGCATAAGCACAGCAAAAGGCACGCTTACTTCGGAGGAAAAGTTTGCTTAACTTAGTGACGTAACAATGGAAATCTCCATGCACACGCGACCCTTAGCACACACACGCCGTGAAATAGTGCTTAAGGTTAGCAAATTTCTCTGCTATGCTAAACACAACTTTTGTGCTAACTGTTAAGCAGCGCCATGAAATTGGGCCCAGATAATCACGTGTGGAAACTTGAATTGTAACCAACAATATAATACAGGTATGTTTAATGTTCTCTGGAATGCATCTTAAATTTTGTGCTACATCCATTTCAATGTTGTATCGTGTAAGTTTTTACTAACGCTGCTTTGACCTACAACTCCTTCCGTCTACACCCACTCCCCAGACACTGTACATTCAGTGGTAATCGGATTAGTAACCCTGAAGACTCAGGATCTTGTCCTGAGTGGGATGAGGCGGGTTATCCGATACAATCTTCCAGGGAGAAGCCCCTTACATTCATGTGCCTAACATCAAGACGAGCGATCACTCTCTGCTCTCTATGGTGCTTGACACAATTCTCAAGCACGGATGGCTGTCTGTCTCGCAAGGGTAAACCTTTTTATGGTTCTTGTAAACCCCCCCCCCCCCTCCCTTCCATGAACCGACATAAACATCATCCCACTATTAAGATCAGTATATTCTTAGTGGGCTGTGAATATAAGGACAGCATATGAACAATTTCAAATCAGGGAGATAATTAATAAACAAAAAACAAAAACAGAAATTTTAGGTTCTGCTCTTTTTAGACCTTTAAACCCTAAGATGAACATGTTTCTTTCAATTTTAACCCTCCTAGATCCTTGAAATGCCATCAGGTTTCTGAGGGTTTGTTTTAGGATTGAGGAAGGTACAGCTGACCTACTATGACTTTACATGGGGCTTGATGCCCCTTGAAACTTGGTAGGTACAAAGAGTGTGCCATTAGTTTCTTACACAGTGGAGGGTTTTGTAGGATTGAGGACGGTACAGCCGATATACTATTACTTTACACAGAACTTGATGCCCCTTGAAAGTACCAGCAATTAAAGAGGTTGATTTTGGAGGATTCTTGCTATAATCAGTTTAGATTTGGTGATATCATCATGATGGGTACAGTTTGGGGTGAGGGAAGCAAGATGGGGGGGGGGGGGGTTTCGAGATTGAGGTGAGGGGAGGGGATAGGGTGTTAACGTGTCTCACCTCTGGAATATCATCCAGCGTAATAGATCTCTCCTCTGTGACCACCGTGTTGAAACAACTCAACGGTATCTGGGTGGGGGAAAACACAAGATGGAAAATCGGTCAAGGAAATAAAATAGAAAACAGGTCAAGCAAATCTCAAATTGGATTGAATCAAACCGCTGAGGAACTGAATTGTCAAATTTCACGGGGGACATTTGAATCTTTTAAGAAAAACAACCCAACTAAACCAGACACCAGCGCTGCGATTCTGACAGACTTGTCAACCTTTCCCCCAGGGGGTTTGAGGCAATTATTGGCACTACTGCACTACATGTGGCTGATATTTCACATATGAGGGATGGAGGTGGGGAAGTAATATCTATGGGACAGGGGCATGCAATGTGGCTGCGTCTTTGCCCGGTTCTGAATAGTGGGTTTAAACCGTCCAAATACAAGACAATCACACAATGACAACAGAATTTGCGAATAAATAAGATGTTGAATGAAGCCTACATGTTATTTGAACCAGAACTTTGAAAGAAAGATATACTCAAACCAAAAAAAGTCATCAAGCAATAGGGCTACGCCATTACACATTGGTAAACACGGCGTGCCAAATATCACTGAAATGAAAAGGGGACAGAATGACTTGGAGAAGATTCAATGTCAAGGCTAACATCAGGAGGTATCACGGCAATACGGGGGAAAAAAAAGGAAATGAATGCTAAGAAATCATGCGGAAATGAACACTACCGTACATCAAAAGCTGATGGAGCAAATTGATATTAAAAAAAACTGGTAGGGTCGGTTGCAAGCGTCTACATTTGAAGAACATACACTGGGAGTTGTTTGTCAGGGAGAGGGCAAGGGGACACAGATTGGCTGAATGGGGAGTGGAACTACACATAATTTCAAAATGTTGGTGATGGTTTGGAATAGAATAGAAATCACACACAGGAGGGATGATTTGCTCTTGAATAGTCTGCAAGCATGCATAGGAATAAATGTGTACTTTATGGAGCTTGCTCTACGGCATGTCTACTAAAGTCTACTTTGATAATGGTACTGATTCTGATTGTACATGCAATGAGCTGGGAGAAAAACATTTAAGAAGGGGGTGTCGTTTAGAAAATAGCCTTGGATGATTGATTTATTTGTTTAATTTTAATGACGACAATCTGTTTGCAGATCTGAGATAACCGCAGAAATGTGAAACAATGGGAGAAATACAAAATTATGGGAGAGTGAGTGGTGGGCAATCTCACTGCTGTACCAGTACATGTAGATCTAAAATGAACACAGGGCTTGACAAAAATGACCGGCAAGTAAAAACCATCAAGTACTGCAGTGACATGAGAAACGTGTACAAAACTCTGGTGAAAAAAACAAATCACTGAAGCCATTTTTGAAATTAATTCTAATGAAGCCATTTTAAAAATTCATTCCAATGCAGGTCATAACAAGAGTACATAGCACAATTTCCACAGTAATTTCATATTGACTGAAGAAATTGAAACTAGATTGATATGTTTGATGAGGCATTAATCAACAGGCACACTGCTAAGCAAACTACCAAGCCAAGTTTCGTTTATAAAATTGTACTCTGCGATGTTGAATGCATTGAATGCACATCTGTTTTGTACGATAACTATATTGTACTTGAGAGCACAATTTTGTACACTGAAACTAATTACCAATGCTAAAACTGTTTTTCTCCTTAAAAAATTTCCTGTTTGGCCACTCAGAAAAGTTCTCCAATATTCAGTCAAATATGGAAGGAGAACACAATGACGTCTTTAGTTACCATTGATATGTTTTTATTACACAGTTTTTTTATCGTTTTGCCATTTTTAGAATTGTTACCAAAGATCTATATTTGCATATTGAACAGAGGAGGGTAACAAACAAGTACAATGTATAACATTTTTGTCAAACCTTGTGCGAGGGATGCCTCTAAATTTACATGGCTTTAAGACTAAAGTAAAATACGTGTGAAAAACTACAAAGTCTCAATTTGGAACCAAACTGATCCCAAATGAGGGTTGAGGCCTGTAAGCTGGGTGGAAGGGAAATGAGGAGCTGGATGCAAAAGTCAGCCAAACTACTTGATGATGTCCAATGATGCGGGTTGCCATGGCAACCAGTGACTTACCAACATCCGTAATTCCTCCTCCAGTACCCTGTTACCCAAAACCTGTCACGCAGGTAGACGGGGAGAGGAGTATCAAGAGGCAATTTGAGGGGAACGGGAGATGAGGAGGAAGGGGGGTAATAAGAAGAAGAAGAGCAGAGGAGGCAGGTGAAGCAAAAGCTTGGTTTGTTTCAAAGATGGTAAGTTATTCCAACAATAGAAGAATATAAGGTTTCCATCTCAATTAGATTCAGCACGATTTACTCAAGTCACATACTATTAAACACACCCTGGTGATGTGGATGTAAGTGAAAAGCAAAATGTGGGCTTTCTGACTCCACTCTTTTGCCAAATATTGGTTTTGTGGCCACAGAGGCTGTTTTATACGAGGAGAAATACAACTGAACAGTTTAAAGATGTCTAGCCATCAGAATCAAAATCCGTAAAGCACTGCCAATGGCTATAGTGCAGAAAACCTCTGGAAAATCATGACAAATTATCAAAAACTATCATCAAAGCAAAATGGGTTTATTTTGCCAACTCTTGTTCCGGTTTTAAATGGTTTGATTTCCTTTTCGTGAGTACCTGTAAGTACTTCTACATAGTATGTACCGGTAGATGTCAAAACTTTCCATTTATCGTTGGGATTAGTGTCAATTTTGGTCACGGTTATCAGACAGTTGGATCTTAAGAGCCAAGGTCAAGTGAAACGCTGTCCTCTGATCAGTATCAACCGCGTTTATATTCCACAGTGCAGCGAGTGTGTGAAATAGACAGTAAGCCGGAATGCATAATGCAAAGCTGTGAAATCCATCAAGGGATTTGCAATGACGATCAAGTGGGGATCAAAAGTACATCAAATGATTAACAGTGCATCAAGGGATTAACCGTATCACTATATCATTTTTTTAGAGGCTCACATGTTAGAAGCCTACGTACATGATCAGCCTTAGCAGATTTTTTGGAAACTGATAATAATATGTAGTTTGTTTATTATTTTTCCTCCCGAAACTAGCATGTTAGTACAATAACCCACTTTCGGCACACTTTTAAATTTGAAGCTGATGCAAGCCAAATTCATGAGCACAGGAGAATATTCTGGGAATTGTATACATGTAGATCGTTTTTCAATATGATGGTCACGAATATTAAGAAGGTACATTAGAAGATTTGTACATGTAACCTACATTGTAGACTCACTCAACATACATGAAAGATTCTTGCAGACAATACAGGAGTGATCTCATAAATTTTCAATATATCGGCTTGTATTGGTTACATGCAGTAAGAGTAACGTGAGCAATATGCAAGTGTTATATTACAAGTGAGTGATAGACACAGAAATTGTATCATTGCTCTAGGAAAGGCAATAGAAAAAGGAGAGAAAATTTGTTATACCGTACATGTACATGTACTTGTTGTAAACTATCAACCACTACGGTGTTGTGTTGGGGTGTCTTCTTTCATGCGTGTGCATGTGTATGGTAATTTAAAAACAAAAGGTCACTTACCTGACAAAACACTTCGGTCGCGTCTTCTGACGAGACTATCCACAACGCACAGCATTCTGATTGCGTGTGTCTCTCTAACTGCAAGGTAACAAAAAACAGGAATACGCTTTCAGTATAAGCACTTTTTAAATTAAACTTGGAATTTCTTGAAGCATTAAAAAACTTCACTCTATCTCTCTCCACAAAAAAAGTTCTCTAGATGTAGGGACGTAAGTGCCATGTACATTTCCAAGGGGTTGGGGAAGGCATGAGTAATTTGTGAAAACCTAAACGTACTCCTTGAAACCTTAAACTGAAATTTAACATTTTGATTTTGAAATTGGTTGACCTGCCGTTTGCAATTTCAAATCCTGCTCCAGCCAATTTCTTTGGCCTGTTTGGAATTTATTAGAAGTGAAAAATTCCCGTCTGTGGTTCGTTTGATGAAACTGTTAACTGAAATTTGAAACTGTCCTTGTGTGATGCTGCAAAGTAGCAATTGTTTATACCTTGAAATTGAAATGAAAATTGTAAATCACAAGCTGGAAAAAAAGAAGGGAGGAATGAGTACAGATAACAGCAACGAACAGATTTTTATTCTTTTTTTGGGATCAAAATATGAACTTTCTGAGAAACAAGTGGTTTCTCACCACAACACTGAACAGTAGAGAGACAAGGCCACTTTAATTGGGGGAATTTATTCATGAGATGTGGGGCTGTAAGTGCACTGAAGTTGGAATAGCCGACATAAAATAGTGCAAACTGCAGAAGATCAACAAACAAGACAAGAAGATGGGGCATCGTAGTTCAGGAAGGCAATATTGATCCACACAGACTCCTACAAGGCTTCACTACATCCAGGTATTGGGAACATCCCCCAACCTCTTTTCCTTCTTTTTTGTTTTTATGTCAATCATCTTTCCCTCTTGTTTGCGACGGAAACTGAAGATGGGCCAGTGATTCTCCGCAATCAATACGGCATTTACTGTCCCGATTTCTTGTTTGCTAGAAAGAGGACTACGGTACAAAAAAGAAGAGGACGGTAGAGGAGGAGGGGAAAGAGAGACAGTCCAACATCCAGCGACACTTGACTGCGATAAGATCGACCGGACTGCCCATGGTAGATAGGTATCGTCTGGGTTTGTAATACAATACCCCCGACCAGATTGTTACGCAGAGGCTGAATGAATACCAAATCTGACTCTGGAGTGAGGGGAGAGGGGTGGTGTTAAGACGGAGGGACCGTCGATGAGATGGTAATTTGGCCGCTGGGCTGGGCCTGGTCAGTAATTGAATTTAGGGGGATTTGTGTCATGAATTCTCCTCATAAGCATTTCAAAATGTGGACTTTACGTACATGTCCAGCTGTTTCAAAGTGGAACAGGAGAGAAGTGGGGGTACTGGGATTTGCATATGTGCCGGTAGAGTCCAGCTGATACCCACAGTGACCAACTTACATCTGATTGTGGGTGAAGTTACAAAGAAGTGGGTTAAACAAATTTTGGACTTGGATTATCCAACTTTTTTTTCCAAAGTCTGGAAAAGGGAAACATTTGGTGGTATGAGGAAATCAGCCTACAGATGAAACAGTCAGTAATAAAGTTACATCTTATGTACTGTGACTGAACTTAAACATTTTTCAGTTACATTTAAAACAGTAAGCAGACCCAAATTCACTCAATGTGTATTGCAAAATACATGAAAAGGAATGGAAATGAACCGGAACAACTTCATCAGCAGTAACTCACCCATACATATGACAGCGTATGCATCATTGAGGGCAAACTAAGTTGAACTTTGATATTTTCTGACTGTTTCCCATTTTTGTCTGAGCAAGAATGGATGAGCTCCAAGTGCTGTATGAACATATGCGTCAGTCCATAAATTAGGGGTCCAAAAGTGCATCTTTTTGTCCCTATTAAAACCTGACGTTGGCAAATTGCCCTGCAAGTATCATTACAATTGACTTCAACCTATTTTTTATTTGTTGGCGGGCACCGGTACTTTAGGTAATCACTCTTGGAGAAGGCATTAACCGTAAACTCCCCCAACCCATCAAATCCCAGCGGCATGTTTTGTTGGAATCTGTCAGGATGGGTACAGTACCCCTAAACTGACAGTCTTTTACATTGGGTTGGCACACCTCCAGAATCAAAGTCAAAAATATGTGTGTGTTCAGTTTCCCATATGGTGTTGGAATTTGCCAGGATGGGTGTGGTTCCTAGTAAATCATGTTAGGGAGTTAGGGTTAAAGAATGTGTCCTGAATTTACACAATCTTATATCAGATGTAACAGGGGGACACAACAAAAAGTGGACTCCATATTTATGGAATGACCCACATGCAAGTGTCTAAGTTACAAAGGAAAGAGACATTCTGCAACTGCAAGTGCCAGCTCAAAATTAATTACGCAAATTCTTTTTATTTGAGCATTATTTGGGTTTCATTTACTCTTTGGAAAAAGACATGGAAATGTGGCTCTGAGACCAGTGACATTGGAATATGCACAACCGTGTACTTTCCCCTGAAAAACATATCAGCTTTGGACCAGCCATCCCTCATTGTGGATTCACGGCAGCACGTGGCAGCCAAGGAAGCCTGAGCACTCGGAGTAGTTAATGGGGGAGAGAGCTGCTTGTCAGCCAACCATGGGTCTGTCAAAAAAAGACTGATGCGCCAAATTGTCGGGGATCAGCCACAAAACAGACTGTAGGTTTGTTCCTACAACATATGCGTTGAAGGACAAGATCAGACAACAATGTCGCGACTATCGGTGGCTGATTAGCAGGGGGTTTGGATACGTTCCTGGGATGATGAGGCTTGGTCTGGGGGACAGCTGTTGTGAACATGGTGAACGAGATTTCTGCTCGGCAAATGAATCAGAGCAAAATTAAGATTGCTGTTTTCTGTCCAAGCTAGACCTTGATGTCTCTCTGACTGCGTGACATTTCCAAATGTGAATGCATTCGTCTTCAATGATTAAAAACTTGATATCCCGTAAAAAGAACTGTAACGTGTAAGGATAAAAACACAAACTATATGCTGTACAGATGGAATTGCCTTGCAGCGTTGGATAACGTAGCCTAATTCCTTTTATCTCTGTGCCTGAGGAAGTCGTTGCGTTGGCATTAAGGTATCGTAATAGTCTTACAGTCTCCTTTGGTATTTATCGTGCCACAGGGAAGTCTGAATCAGATCACGGGTACACTTTGCTCTTTTTTCTGAACTTGGAACATGACTACGTCTTATATAGTGCACACATCTGAAAAATTGTGCTGCGATCCTGATAACATGTATATGTTACATGTAGTTGGTGCGTTACGATTCGTCATAGGTGGGTCAAGAATGCTGCTAAATTTGGTGTGTCACGTACTCTGACGCAGTGGTCTGTACATGTACATTGTACGTAGATTCCATAAAAGGATGGCCCACTCTTGCACAATGACAACCATTCCCGGGGGTCATGAGGTGCATCATACAATTGACAGGTGCATAAGACACTGCAGGCTTGAAACTTCCTATTGGCATGGACTTGAAAGACAGAAAATCTGTGCAAAGCTGTAGTCAAGTCAATTCATGAGGCAATATCATGTCAATCACAAGTCAGTATCACGAGTCAATATTGTACGGTAGCATGGTGATTGGTCAGGGCCTGCAGCCAGACATAAGAATAACTCAGAGAGAACACATTTTAAAGACTACATATAAATAACTTCAATTAGAAATTTGGATCCACCTACTTCCAAGTTCTAAATGTATGGGCAACTTAAGGCTACAATTTATTAAAGGCAATTAAAGCGAATTACAAAGGTAATTGTTGCAAGGTAAATGCAAGTATAGCACAAATGTATTAGAAATTTAAAAGGGCCGGGTTCGGTGATGGAACAGGAAGAGAGGTTGCTTATGGTAAAAGTATCATTACTCTACTCCCAACCTAGATGGTGGTGGGGGGGGGGGATTCGACTATGTTGTCCTGCCCTACAACTTGCTTGGACATTACAGCAAGGCTTTCTATGACCACGCCCAGGTAAAACCTGCACAGCCCTCCACAGACAACCACCTAACCCTATCCATAGCTCCATACCCTAGACCCCTAGCATCCAGGCAACTAAACCGCACATGGCCTTTTCAAATTCCAACAGTAATTCTGTACATGCGACTTCCTAGCTGGACTGATGAACAACCAGCTCAGGGGTGTGATGGATGAGAGGGGCGGGCTAAAGCAAAAAGGCAGAGAGGAAGGTAATACTGAGGGGCTCCTTTCATTACAATAATAAGAAAGGTTAACGTAACACGGGATGATGAGTAGTGACACAAGCATGTCTTGGCCAAAGTTCGCGAAGTCAAAAAACAATTTGTCACTGGACCTGTAATGGACATGTTACTGACTTGTGATAAACTGAAGACAAACGTGAGGATGTCTCCAACTCGCAGTCTATGAGGGAGGTGGGCAGGGCAAGAAAGGGAGGGGGCATTACTTACATATTTGACGACCTTCGTTTGCATTGATGCGGGGTCGTTGTCATGCAGCTCGGCACACAGTTGTAGAATACCATCATCAAAGGATGACCCTGTGCATGGTCCGCCATTGTGGGACCCCGAACACGTAGTTGGCGATTTGGAGGTGGCAAGCGGCAACCTTTGCTGCGTCGCCATCTGGTGAAGTCTCTGAACACACACTGCGAACTACACAGAGAAAAAAATGCTGACATCATTTACAGAGAAAAGACATCGTTACACAACCAAACCATGAAAAAAAAGAGAAATTTGTTTTAACACATCAACCATGTACATGTAGTTGGTGGTCATCTAATACTTGTCTAGGTAGAGATAGGATCACTATCCACGTGCAAAATCCCTTTTTGTATTTTAAGAACACAAAAATTGTGTTTTAAACAAAGTAAGAGATACATTTTATGCTACCTGGGCCAAAATACTAATCCACAATGTATTGAAATGTCACGCCGAACAAGAAACATGTGTAAGTCGATGGCTCACAAAAGCTCAATTTGGAATTTGAAATAACGTGAACGGGAAAAGATTTCAGCATGATCGTCTTAGTTCGCTGCCAACCAACCAACCGTTCACTTTCAAACTGTGCTCTGCAATTAAGATGTCATTGGTGTTCTCTCTAGGACTGCCTCAACATCTGCTGCCCTTTCAATTCAAGGCAATGGACGGAACTTAGCACACTTTGCATGAAGATCATGAGCACTGTCAGCCCAAGATGCCATCGGCTTGGATACAAGGGGAGAAGCCATGCATCGCACTCTGAGCGTAACAAGGGGGTAATATCCAACACTCCAACTGGCAGGTGGGTCTGCGTGTCGTGGCTTGTCATTTTCGACTCATTAAAGAAACACAAAACTGCCAGCCCCCTTCGATGCTGGTTCTCATCTCCAGACACCATCTGGTCTCCTCACACTGCTCCGTCAAGCATAATGCTTGCAGTTTACAAATACAGTCTGTTTGAAAGTCAGCCTTCCAAAATCATTAATGTCCAGCCCTTTTCATGTAACTGTGACGTGTACGATGTATCACTGGAGTTAATGAAACATTAGCCGATGAAAAGTTTGTCTATAAGTCAATGTGATGCATCACTGAGCTAAATATTAATTTCAGCTACCTCCCTTTTTGTTTTGTTTTGTTTTGCTTCGCAATATAATTGATCAATAGCAATGTCCCTTACCACTGTTTTCTGAAACAGATGTGTTCTGATCACAATGCTGGTCAAAAATAGCGTGCATTAGCAATATCCCTTACCACCTGGTGTAATCTCATTTCTGCTGGGCACAGAACTTTGCCAAGCAAAGATTTTTGTCTCGTGTGTTTTATTTGCTTCTGTGTTTTTTTTTTCAAGGCTTTTTTGTTCTATTTGCTTGCTTATTTGTTTGTCGTTTGTTGTTTATTTATTCACTTGTTTGTTATTATTATTTTTTTTTTTGACAAGTGCTTAGATTTGTAGAGCAACTTTTGCCCTAGCAGCTCCACCTAATTGGGCCAAGACGTCTTAACAAGCCAAGTGTATCACACTTGGATGCAGTGGACATGATTTGTGAGATTAACTTGCAAAAGTTTGGACTCCTGCACTTTTGCAAGACACAGTGGGTGAAGGTAATAAAAAGGCCTCTTGTCAGGCCAAATGAACAAATCCAGCAGGGAGACCTGTTTTAATCAAGCAACAGCTCGGTAGGAAACGCAAACCCCTGTTGCTGCTGGAATTGTAATTAATTTTTCTTTTGGGGAGGTCCATGTTCCAAGCTCCTGTCATCGAAATGTGCAAACTTGCTTTCTTCCTGATCTCACACTTGCATGTTAAAATTATTATTATTTTTGTTTCATTCAATTTCCAGAGAAGTTAGACATACACTTTTCTTGCTGCACATAATCAAATTCTGCACACTGGCTGTATTCATGACATCATATGTTTACTTACCATACATTCGGGGGGGGGGGGGGGGGAGGGAGAGGGGGGAGAATCCATATTTCAGGACTTCATCAAATCCTACACACACATTCGCTAATGTATTCACAATCTCATTTCACTCACGAGAATCTCTTTTCTTTTCCACAATGTCTAGGTGTCTAGACTCACATTATTTACCTTTTCTAACACCTAATTTTGTGCACTCCGAACGATTCCGCAAACTGGTCATCCTTTAGGCAAAATATTTGCATCTCCTAATTGTCTACTTAGTAGGTTTTCGTCGATTCCGACTTTACAGCACTGTTTCTCTAACCCGTTCACTTGATTGATAAACAAATCAGAGCGGACATCAGAGGCGAAATTTATCACCCGCGAAAAAGAAAGTCAAATTTCCTGCCCTTATTTTCAGCTCCCCGGGGAAGGTTCGGCAAACTCTAAACACAGCCTTTAACATCAATCTGTCAGCATCGACTTTAAACTAACTACATTTTTTCCCCCTTCTTTTTTTTTTTTTGATAGCCAATGGGAAGACAACTAGACAAGCACCGCTGACTAATGCGAGCATCTTCGGTGATAAACGAGGCTGTTTATTACTCGGTTTGATCCCCAGCAAATTACCATTAGATACCTGTGCTAGCAAGTTATTTTCTCCCTCCGCGGGGCATGCAGGTACATCACTGAGGGACGGGTTCAAGTTACATCCTGTCATTTCAGCTGAGCAGGTTTGGGAGTTTGGGGCTTAATTCATTTTGTCAACACAATGAGTTTTGTGTGTTTTTTCAAACCGTGGCTTTATATCCACTCTTGCCTTCAGGCTCCAATTTCATGATATCTTTTTTTTGGTCACTGATATGTGAGACACTAGCTTAGTGTTGAGTTCATTTTTGTGTCGCCTAAAGGAAGTCCTAAATTCTGTATCCCTGTATGTTAAAGTTTAGGTTAAGTTTTGAGAGAAAAAAATGTATAGGCCTTAACAAGTTTCTACATGCTTTCATGGATTTTAATGAGACTTGGATGCAGTGACCCTTGGGTGGGAAGATAGAATTCTCCATGGGATTACTGAGGTCAGAGGTCATGTCAGGGCCATTAGAGGTCATTGTTCAAATGCTTCAAAAGTTTCTTTGTCTACAGAACTTCTACATAGTTTAATCATGGATTTGGATGGAACTTAGATCACTTCTTCTACTGAAAATGAACAGCTTCTGCAAGAATAAGAATGCAAAACATATAGTGATCGACCGCAAAAAAAGGTGACACATGCAATCCGTGGATCACCTTGTCTACATTTGAACAGCAAATCACAATACGTGAGGCCAAAAGTTACATGAATACATCTTGATTGCTCCTAAATTATTATGGAGCCAGAGGCAATGTCACATTTTGTAAAATACCGTTTAACTCAGTGTCTTACTAATGTCTGATTTGTACACATTAACTTTGCAACTTTCTAAGGGCAGATGTTTCACAGAGTTTCAAATGCTTTTGGGGTGTGAAACTCTAAAAACAAACTTTTCAAATTTAATTGCCAGCATTTTGAGGTCTGAACTTTTTCTCAAGCCATTACACATTTTAAAAGTATTATTGTATGCATAGTATATATCCATCGTCACATGAACTTCAAAATTAAAAGAAAACTTTTAGAAGACCAAATAGGCTGCAGAGGTTGCAGAAAGTACAAAACTGATTAAAAAATCTCTCCTAAATATGTAATCATGGAAAAATCAATAAAGTGGAATTTGTTTTCAGCACTGCACGGCATTACCAGCTTTAAGCAATATTACATTCATTCTCTAGTCAGCCTCAGTTTAAACTGTGTTCCCCAAGGAACGCAGCAACGCTGTAGCATTATGTACACATTAACGACTGTACAAACTGATATTTTTCCCCCCTCTTCTGTCCCAACCTCGGACAGTATTTACAGTCACCGGAGAAAAAATTCTGATCAAATCACTAAAGGAATGCTCAATTACTAACGGCAACAGCGTCATCGCTGTGGAAGGGAAAAAAAAAATATTTGGTTTATTATTGTACAGGATGTCCAATTACAGGCAGACCGAGGAACATTCTTGAACCGCCATGATATCGGAGAATGCGCGTCGCGCAAATGCCAAACCCTCGTCACTTGAAGCAAATTAATTGGGCAAGGCGACGTTGCAACGATTAATTTTGAAAATATCAAATCCAAGCTTGTCAAGTGCGTGAAGAAAGGAAAATGATCTACCGGTGAGGCATGAACAGAAGAATGGCATTGATGATGGGCAGATGAAATTGTTTGTTTTGATTGATTTTTTTCATATACAGTTGTTGGTATTTTATACAGCAATAGAACATTCTTCAAAATGATAGTTTTTATTGGTGGATATTTACTGAAAAGATTTTAAAACACGTGTGCAATTCTCAGCTGAAATTTTTATTTAGCTCAGTGAAAAAATGATAAACATTCCTTTAAAAAAATACTATACGTGCCTTTATCTGGGTATACTAATTAGAGGAAATAACATTAACGCCACTGAGCTTAATTAGCACGGGGTTGTGATATCACAATACAACTATTTTTATTTCAGACTTTGGGCTCCAAAAAAGAAAGGTCTAGGGACACAAACATGTTATTTTAATGGATCGTTAACATTTGAATGGAAATAAAATCCTACCAATGTACAAAGTCGGTGTACGTTCTACATGGTAAGATCCAGCGTTTTCTTGCAATTGACAAAAGGCAACGCACGTCATTACCCTCAAGGAAATCACTTTCCTGCACAAATGTTCAAGGAAAGACTCAGAAAAAAGCGGGGGAAAATGTCTCCGTAAACAAGGACTAACATAACGCAGCCGTTATCCCTACTCAAGCCCAGTTCAAGTACCGGTTAAAGTCGGTTGCATTTCTCTGCAGTGGAGATATTCTAAGTGGGCTCTAATGCAATGAATTTTCCATTAGTGCACTGGATCAATGCGGACAAATTGAGTTTGCATTTTTCCGTCACCGGCCCACACTGTGGGCGACTATGGAAAGCTCTCCTTTTTTTTTAAGCCAGGGAGAGAGAAAGCAATAACTTGCAAAATGTGGTAAACAGGGAATCTCTGTAGTTACCTTTGGTGGACGTGTGATTCATGTGGGGCAGAAATGTTTTGTCTGATTTTTTTTTTTTTTTTTTGGTCTTGTTAAATAAAAGCTGTAGCAAATATACATTGTAGCTCCTCTGGCAAAGGCAACATGCATTTCATGCAATGCAGTCTGCTGGTTTGGATTAAGTACTGCGTACACGTTTTACACAAAAGGCACGCAATACACACATGCAGATATTGAGCAACTTTTCTAATGCCATGTGAAATTTCACTAAAGATTTGGAAAACACCCAAGGGCTTTATTCAACGATGGTATGTTTTCGAGGCAAAAATGTTTGATTTGCCTCAAACCCTACATGAACGACAGTGGATTTAAGCCAAAGCAACCCCCACACTCCCACGTAAGCAAATACTGTTTGTGCGTGTAACAAACTCAAACGGCTTTTCAAGAAATCATGTTTGCTCCGGGAAGAAAAAAGAAGAAATCCAACACACGGCGTGAGCTGAGCTGAGCTGTCCTTGATCATCCAACGGTGCAAGTTGACAAGTTGACTCCACGCAAATAGGCACACTGACCATAAAAAGGATCTGTTCCTGCCGATTTGGGAGCAACGTTAGCAAATTAAGCACTGAAAAATCAAATTAGAACCTCTTTTTCTGCGTCTCTCTTTCTCCGCCCACTCCAATGGTGAAAAGTCCAACCGATGCGCAAACAACACTGAAAATGGCCGTGTCAATAAGTTAGAACATTCCTCAAAGGGATCGATCAACAACCAAAACTCAACAAAAACCAAAAAAAATCCAAACATACCGGTACATGTATGCCAAGGCATGCCCCACAAAAGTCAATGCACTTACGTGAGCGTGCATTAAAGCAGTGAGAGACGTGACTCTGCATGCGCTAGCGAACGGGCTGAAATTCCCAAACAGAACTGGCGCATTGCAGGTGATGGCTGGTAATTATTTGGAATAGCTGTTTAGTACACACGTATAAATCAAGGATGGGTTTTTATTGATGGGTTAATTGAGTCATTAGCCTTGGCAATTGCGATCGCAGCTCCCACGGTCATACACACGTACATATGCATGTACTTACTGCGGGGAAAAGGGATGGGGGGTAGAAAGACTTGTATGAGGCAGAGAACACTTGTTTTATATACATTATATCCATGATTACCCTCTTGGTTAGTTAGATGAATGGAAAGGATTGAATAGGCTTAGTAATCGCTGTCGAGACTTTGCAGTGAATGACTAGTGAGTCAACTGTGACAGAAACAACTGAACTGACTGTTTTATTTGAATTTTTTTTTTATCAGGGCAAAGACATTTTACTGAGAAAATATTTCATCTGTGTTTATTGGAATCAAGGGGAAAGGTGCAAGGAGTAAACTTGCAATTTACAATACCAATTGGTGCTATTGGCTAAGAAAATCCCTGCTGAACCCAGAGCACATTATGAGAAAAATTAGCATTCCAATGAAAACGTTTGTTAAAAGTATTCATTTTGCAGTGACTGACCTGGACTAAGCAGTTTTACACTTCTTAGAACACACAGTTTCAATGTTCATAAGCTGGAATTTTTCATGTGAATAATTTTTTTTTTTAAATATTATTGTTTGGTTTTTTTATGTTGGCTTCTGAAGCGCATTTGTTTTGGATGGTACTGCAAGCAAACATTGAGGGACAGACTCCCATATACGTTTGAATTAACTCACTCGGCTAGCGGAAAAGGGAACAGTGCACTGATTAGTTGAGCAGAGGTAATGCAGGCAATATTGCCCAGATCCCTCCACATCAATTGTCACAGATAGAGCAACGCACAGCCCAAAAGCTCAAACAACATAGAATCAGGAGGGGAAACTTTCTCCAGGCTCAGTTGATTAATTTGCTCCGAAATTTCTGGCCGCCTCGGATCAAGCTCAGAGCCACAGACCCCTTCAGCTCCTCTTCCTCCTCCCCCCCCCCCTGTCTTTCTCTCTATCCTGGGCCCCTCGCAAGCAGCTGACAGACGCAGCTGAAATGACAGCGGGCAAAAAATTCTTCGGCACGAACATCACAAAAATATTCCAAAAGAAGCAACAAAATAGAAGACTGGCGCAGCTATCATCTTCTGGAGAGCCGGTCATATTCCTGAATGCTGAAAGCCCCTAGAGATAGCCCGGGGTTAGGAATCTGATGAAAATGTGTTTGATCTACGCTGGTAATTAGAACCAGGGACTCCTGGTCTTGTACCCCGCGGCCTGCAGGTGGTTCAGTGTTGGACGCTGTTTTTTTTTTCTTTCTCCTCTTCTCTTTTTAGCGCTAAGGTCTTTGAAGAGTAGATACATACGCGCACTTTGTGTGCATGCAAGAATACAGTGTGGTAAATGATTATGGGAAAGTCAATAACTCTTCTTACAACAATTTGTTTCATACGGTGTTGAGGTGAAGTAGACCGGCTTAACCCAGCTCTTGTGCATTTATAAAGCCGATGATTGTAACAATGAACGACACATTCCTACAATTGAATTTTCTGAACGGTATCCATATTGGAACAAATTTGTTTCAGCTTCAAAATGAGTGTCATGAAGACTGCTCGCACTGAATGGAGACAACCCGCCTGAAGAAATTCCTTTCATACGTTTGTTTCAAAAAACAATTTAAAAAAAAAAAAAAAAATTCAAATCTGAAATTTTTGTTACAAATCTTCTGTGGTTTCACTCAATTGAAAAATTGGAATTTTTTTAATTTTATTTTTTTAATCGGTGCTTACCCTTTTTTTTACATTGTAACACAATCTCTCCCTCACAAATCTCTCCTTTCCCACAAATGAAAATAAACACAAAATTGCACCAAACCAGCAAATTGCCCAATCCAACTTGAAAGATGGCAAGGACCGTTTCAAAGTCTGCAATTTTAAGAACTTATTGAGGACTATTTTTTTCCGCAACGTGACAAGCAGTACTGTTGTAAAAACAACCCAGAACGCCGAGGGTTTGGTCTGCGATCCATTAGGTCAAGGAATCTAATCCAGTGCAAATTCCACGTCGGGCGAAGTCACCGGGAATTTTGTTTTAAAGCTTTTCTATGCAGTCCCGGTCGGCTTACATGATAAACAATGAGCGAGCTTGACTGCTGTTTGAATAAGACGGCCAGAATCGATGTAGCGGAGATATGGACAGCAAAATACATAAGTGAAGAACTAGGGGAAGTTCTGCCAACCTCGGGCTTTGTCTCAGGATTTTGCCTCATCTCCAGCTTCGGAATAATGTAAGAAGTCTTTAAATGTTCAAACCAAATGAGCAGACTCTGACATTTGTCCTTGTTTGTATTAGGACTTCACGTTGAGTTGCAGGAAATGGACCCGACATTCTTGAAGCCAAAGTTAAGAAAACCCCTATATGAGAAAGAAGAACCGCTCTTCCTTGTAAACAACTGACTGAAAATCTTCCTGAACACAACTGTGAAATATGTTTTTTGGGGTGAACCATGAAGTGAGGAATATGATAGTTTTGTTGCACCACAAAATGACGGATCGTCTATGGACTTTGTGCACACAACTCATCACTTCGTGGTGCAGCAACTCTCCACGATTTTGTATGAGTCACAGTGATTAATTGTTGCTATAAACAAAAGAAAACAATATTTTCTCGCAAATAACTCACAGTTGACTGAATTGAGGAAAGTTACAAACTGCATTTTGAAAACCACACGTGTTCAAAGTTAACAGAACTTTTCACCAAGTTTCAGTTTCCCTGACATGCATTTTACTGGCTTCTTTGTAAAACCTTCATAAAAAAAGCAGAATAACTATTCAACATGGAAATTTCAGCTGCTGTTCACCATTCCGTCTCTTGCATTTTTTTCCCAGCCACAGGGGAGAAATACAAAGGTAAGGAATCTAATTTACTCACATGTCTTCCCACCAGGGATAGTCTCTTTTCCTGATTGCTTGATACAGCATCACATACAACCTGCAGGAAAGCACAACAGAAGATAACAGAGATAGTAAGATGGAATTGTGTTGTCCAGAGGCTTACTCCTTGAAAACAGGTTAACCTTGTTTAACCTGTTATTACACTGGAGGCAAACAATCGAATGGCACATCTTTTTTTGGCAAATCAAGTTACATGCACCTCCAGTCTTGTTCCTACAATGTACATGCATTGAGTCACTGAAGTGTCAAAGATTTCTGGCCATTCAGAAGATGTCTACTGACGTAAACTCTTGTCATTTAGAAAGCTTCTGCTTAGATGATCGCATTGGCAACTGCATCTAATGCGACAGTGACGTCTACATATGTAACAACTTATAGCACAATTTGAGCGCCCACTTTTTTGCTCATTCATCTGGCGGAGCATTTAAAAATGCCAAGGCTTGATTAAAATTCCCATCAAGCTGAAAAAGTGGGCTTTCTGCTCCGCTCAGACTCAATTGCATCAACCTATTGAGAAAATCCCTTGTCCCACGTACAAGCTAAGCCACTTTTCATGCGGTTGAATGTGCACGAAACTGCGACAGTAAATGACAGTCCACGCTCGTAATCGGAATGGGTAAAGCCGGGCCCGGTGGGGGTATTAACGTTGCGACGAAGGAATGCGACTTCATGCCCACTGTATCTCCTCTGAATATAATTGGCGTAGAATGAAAACACTATGTACTGCATGCTTGCATTGAACATGGTCCCCCCCCCCCAAAAAAAAAAAAAATCGAGGGAAAATTCTTGACTCGGGGGTTCAGGTTGCAATGGAAACATAAGTAAGTTCATGAATCCCAAATTGAAGGGTATGTCAACACTGCCGGGGCAAAGCGGGTCCCACTTCAGTTGGCTAAATACACACTGTTAGGAGCTTGGTTGACTGCATAAGTGGATCTCTTTTTAAACAACGCAACACGCTGTGAAAGAAAAGTATGGTATTAAACGCATTGATTTTTCCTTCAGAAGAAAATATCCTAGAACTCACTCTGTGACTCTTTAATTAAAAATAAAACAGATTTAGATGAAAAAGGACAACATTGCAGCAAAATATTCTTTAAAGCTTACCAGTATTGCAAATGGAACCCTATGATCATTACCAAATGTCTTACAACCATAAATCGTCGCAGTAAATTATAGGGCAGCAAATTACCGGTATTAAAATACAAATTTATTGTCAAGTTATTGGTATGATGTATGTATGTGAGTCATTGCTATATATGCAAAAGGGTCGAATATGTGAGAGAGGGGGGGGGGATTTTACCATAGCGTAAGCGAGGTTTCGTGTAATGTACAAGATTCAGTGTTACATGTAGTTTAGTTGTGGGGGCATACACTCATCTGTACAAGGTATTTGTGGGGACCGAAAACACTGTGGGGACAGCAGAAAGTTCCCATAACTCGGTCCTTATTTGCCTAACAATAAAAAACTTCCCCATAACGTGGTGTAGACCTGTACATGCGTGCCTTTTCACAAGTACCGGTACACTGCAGGGAAAAAATGAAGAAATTGAAGAATGATCTTGAATGGAATTCCACATGAACTAAAACTTGTCAACCGGATACATGATGTACAATATGTCCACGTGTGCTGCACTCACACTGCAATCTTTCCATTATCGTTATTGATTCAAATTTACAATTCAAAGTTGATTCCATTCCAAGAATTCAGCTTCCTGAAAGCAAAAAAAAAAAAAGAAAAAAAATCCATAACGCCCGAATAATTTTTCCTTTTTGAGAAGTTGAAAGAAGGATGAAGAGAGAGAAAAAAACAGCAACGCATGACAATCTGTCAGGAAGTGAAGTGAGCAACTGTCTGCTCAGATGGCACGTTGAGTTGTTGTCTGGCACAAAATCAATTTTCAAGGAGGAGACGGGAGGGAGAAAAGGCATGTTGGGGATGAGGGAGGGGAAGAAGGGCGGAAGTGGGGAGAAGAGAGGTCCATTTTAGCACGGGATTGGAGAATAATTTTCATCTTTCTTACATGTAGTTGGGAAAGAGATCTACATGTAACAGTACGGTAAGGATGAAGGCAAAGATACTGTATTTTCAAGAGAAATCCCAGCTCAATTGGCCTGAAATGGTGCAATTGCCTGGTTGTTGGGCCTCTAATTTCACTTAAAATTAAAATGAGCAAACAGTTGAGTTTGAAATAACATCTAAGATTTTAGCGTAAAAAATACAGTACATGACAAAACACAGGTGACTTTTTGAGAATCCAAACTGACTGGTGCAAAATGAGAATTTAAATGTCGGGTTACAGCAAATTCACCAAAAACATCACGGCTTGATGTCAACATAACTAGGCATCTTTATTCACACGAATGAAAATGATTCGCCTAGATAAAAAAATAAGAATCTGGTTGATGCCTTGACCAAGTTGTGATTTAACTGCCACAATGGCACGGGTGTGTTGATGGATGGCTGTTATGAGGCGTCCCTTAGGCTGAGTATCGGCAAGACGTCATTACTGGAGGCTGGCAGGTTGATGATGATACATCTCCCTATGAGCAAACAAATAGCCCAACCACTCCAAAGTGCTACCACTCCCGTAAATCACGGACTCTGTAATGCCAGAATTTTCCCGTCTTTTTCCCCTATACATTGCCTCCCAGCCGTTTTTGACTTCAAGCAGAGTGCCGAATGTGAGACTGCTTTACGCATCCTATCATTCCCGTCACGTTGGGGATTCTCGCTGTGTGCCTGACTCTAATGACGCCAATTAAGCCGGATCGCCTTACCTAACGACACAATCCCTCATCATCCCATCGCGCCGGCAGAATTCTATCCCCCCGCGTCCTTCTCCTCACTCCCGGGGGTTCGCTTCATGTAAATCCCGCCGAATTGAGTTACCAGCTGTAACGGGTTTTAAGCCTCACGATTCGGCCACAACTCCCAGAGTGGTCGTTGGTTCTGAATGCACGGTGTCGTTTACCGTGAAGCATCCCTGTAAACCTTCCGAGTATTTGCACGCTGCTTTTGGGGGGCAACGCGAGGAAGGTGGCTTGGGCAGAGCCATCATCACACACTGGTTTCCTGCTCTGCACTATTCACCATAATTTTGAGAAGTACTTACATACATGTAACCATCGGCTAGCCTGACTACAACCAAGGCTTTAATTTTGTAATTGCACGCCCGGCCACTTCTCAGGAGAGAAGCCTAGTTTCCCATTTATGAAATGAATCCATCAAATCTTTTGTTAATTAAAATCTCGGATCTCTTCGTTTTTCTCTAAACTCCCCCCTCCTGTTTGTCTCTTATATTGTAAACAAGTCGTTTTGAAATTGATATACGGTCCTATATATGAAGAAAGGCAGGAAAATGCCGGACACACAGAGTGGATTGACTTAAGGGTGTTTGCTTTAATCATCAGCACACTCTAGGGATATATTTCCAGCTGCAGCCAGGACACGTTCGGCCAACATCGGGGGGGTTCAATTTATTACTTTGTCTTGGCGCGAGTGACATTCAAGACTGGATGACGTTAAACTAAAGCTCCCCTCCCTGAAGTGGGTAAGGAACTTGGGGAGTACGACAGAGCCAGTAAGCCTAAAGGGGAAGCGGGAGCTGGGAGTATGCAATATACAGCAGGCCACAGCAATTGTAAATGGAAGGGGGAATCAGTATGTTAAGAGGGGACGGCATTGGAACAAATAACGGAAGCTATGTCAAAACAATACAAAAACCTTTACAAAGATATTAGGTATGATGGGAAATTATAGTTTCATTTTGGTAGTTATAGTTTCATTTTGGTAATACCAGCCCCTCATTTGAGATATATACACATGCAAGTGAAATCTATTGTGGCATCTTATAAATATAACATATTTTTTTTCTTCACTGCCAATGTTATTTTTCCTTTGCCATCAGTGGATCAATAGCATGCCTTTGAAACAACAGCATTCTTAAGTTTCAAGACTGCAGAGGAAAAGGGGGGGGGGGGTGGCATTTCATGTAATGTACCCCGGTACATGCAGTATTCGTAAATGTAATATGAACATGTGTGTATCCTAATGACATCCTTGAATATCCTAACACATCTCCATAAATTAGTACCGGTTTTTAACTTTAAAGGCTAAACAGTCAGTTCATAATTAAACTATGAACATGTACATGTACGCCAGTTTGATGATTTAAAACTAGACTCAGTGGTGAGAAGCTGCATCAGCTTATCTGAAGTTTGCAATAAATTGGCCGACAAAGGAGAAGTTCAGGTAAACAAAACTTTTCCAAATTACGGTTGAATCATTCCCTGTGGTTCACTATTACCCCAGCTGCCCTTTTTTTACATCTGTACTAAACCAAACAACCATTTGAGGTTGGAATTATTGGCAGGCGTATGCTGTACCGCTTGCGCATACATGTACATGTATGCAGGGTAAATTGACATGAGTTGAAGAGAGAGAGAGAGAGACTGCACATTGTTGATTCACATCACATGGACAGGTGGCTTCAACCAATCAATAGTCGCTGTAGCTATATCCACAGGTGAGGCCGTGCGATGGGCAGATATTCATCCCCTTTGTGAGTTAGGGAGGATTACGTGGGACAATATGCAGGCTTTCCGCAATGCAACTCCTGCAACCGTGCCAGTGATCTTTTGGAAAGGGGAAGCGCGTGCAGTTTGGCTGAATATGGTGATTTGGAGGGTGTAGGATTTCGGTCACTGACTTGTTTTAAGTACAAACAGCAGAAACAAAGTCAAATTTTGATTTAAACAACGTAATTTCCTAGGGAGAAAAAAAGAGTAGTCGTGTCATATGAACACAGAGAATTACTGACCACGCTTAGTCACTAGACCTTTTGGAATTCAGTGAAAGCTTCTAGAAACTGCAGGGAATTTCAAGAAATGATGAGCTCTTTGAATATGATAAGGGCCGGCTTTATCATGTAAACCACTTGTTTTTAAAACATGTACATGTAGATCATGTCTAACAGTTCAGCTGTTAGTTACCTATAACTGAAGAAGTAAGAAGTGTATACACACACACACAAA